CATTTTTACTTATGAATTTACAATAATATTTTTAAAATATCAGTAAAATATTTTCTTTAACAAAAAAAAAACCATACTGAAAACAGCAACTCATGAAATACAAATATAAATAAATAAATTAACCTAAAATAACAATGCTCAATATCGGTTCTATGACTGTTCTTGAGGATAACAGCAAATAAATATCACATTGAGAAAATTTAGTGTAATAAAATACAGCTCTCCATGAACAATCTATAGTACTGTACTTTTTTAGGTGGCATACTTATCAAACACTGAAAGCATTGTCACTCACAATGCGAGAGTGACATGAAGAAAGTTAAAATTTCTTTACTGCAGGCATCTACTCCTATAAGAAAAACATCATTTTGGTAGATGAGAAAAAATTAACAATCGAATATAACTTTTATGATATTCAAAGCATCATCTTTGTTATCAAATGCATATCGATATACAGCACTTCACTTCAAAACAATACAAAAATTAAGTAAATCATGAAGTAATTGAATTGGCAAATCTTTACAGATGTGTCAGTAACAAGGGATATAGAGAGCACAAAAAATAAATATTCACACAAAAAAAAATATTAATTTAAGAGTAAATTTTATAAAAACATATTTTTACTACCGCTTCAATGGCCTTAAGACTGCTGAGTTCAGTAAAGATCACTTTTGAGAATATTTACAGTACAATCTCATAAATCAAACATACAGCATTAAAATATCTTGTAAATCACGAAATTCATAAATTATATTTTGTCAAGTCAAATATTTCAAGCCTTCATATCTAATTGCATGGCTACTGGAAACTATGCCCAACAAGGCTTCTATATAATACTCAACACATTTAATTTAATGGTTCAATTTACTTTAATATCAGCCCCATATTAAGAGGCAGATGAATATCAAAAATGGTTAAACAATGAGTACATACTCCGCCAACTATATGTATGGAAAATTCAAAGACAAGACAAACTACTTAACTGAAGAGATAGAAATCACATCTCCCCTACACACATTGACAATATTATTCTCCAATCTAATAAGTTATAAAATTATTGACATAAAGGAATCCAACACACACAATATGTTTTTGGCAAAAACTACACAAATGACACAGCTTAACTCAGACTTTCAATAACAAAAGTACATAACACACATTGCCTTACATAACATAGATTGATAATATCAAAATACATAATTAAATTGGATGTATCATCTTACAACTGAGGAGAATAAACAAAGTGAACACACTGATTAAAAAATCAAAACAAAATGAGTACTAAAATAAAGATGATACATGATACAATAAAACAAAACAATGATAAAAAATATTTAAGTAACCTGGAGCCATGGTTACATTAAAAAGGACAAAAATAATTCCCATGACTCTCGCAGTAACAACAAACATAACTTCAGTCTTGTGAAGTCACTTCTATCACTACAACCAGTAATAAGCATAGCTTGTAATCATTGATAGTTGCTGTACCTATTCTCATGCTGTACAATTTAAAATTGAGCTATAACACAGTTGCATTGAACATTACACAAGCCAAAATGCCACACAAATTGCTAAATGACAATGCACAAGCAAAAAGTGAAGACAGATTGGTTTTTCAAATCACTTGTGTTTTTTATTTAGTTCTAACTCATTTAAATATTACTCTCCATTCAGTTTTAAGAGTCCTCTTCTAATTGGTGAACTGACTCCGGTAAACAGATTTGGGACTTATAAAAGAATACTAGTATATTGCAATAGTATACTGAGACTAACAAAAGACACTTCCATTTCATTTCACAGGAATAAATTGAAAATATTATAATTAAAGCAAATATTCTCAGTTTTATTTGTATATGTAAGGGAATTTCAAACCTTTCACATTTGATTCGACTTGTTCTTCAATCCTATTACATATTCATCAAACAAAAGTTGTATGTCCACCTAATAACAGGAGCAGTTAGAAATTTTCTGACTCATTGAAGACTTAAGGATAATGGTTTTAGAGAGTAGATGTAGTAATAGCATAGGGAATTGAGATTTTCATAATTTCATTTCTTTTAACATAGAATAATCTTATATCCAAAATGTTGTGTGATCTTAGCAGCTTTGGCATTAATGGTCAATAGTAGTTAGTACTTTTCAAATATCCAAATTTGTAGCCAACACTTCTTAGAAATAACTTTTATTATTTCCTTAATATTACTGTTGGTAATCACATTTTTTCATTTTACTTAATGTGATGAGCTACAAATATAAAATTAAATAATTTAAAAACACAAAGCTGCAACTATAAACTTCAATATTTACATAAGAAAAGGTTCACAGCACATAGTATGTCCCTTTTCCCCCAGATGTAATTCCTAAAAAATAGCAATAACTTTGCTTTGCTTTGGAAATTAGCTTTGTCAGTTGGATACCAAAGTCGTTTCGAATCCTGCAGAAAACCAATGAGGTGGGTAAATGATGGATCCTAGAACAAACTCCAAAGTACGAGAAGGAAAAATGTTTATTTTTAAGAACTAATACTTCATGTATTTAGCAATATACATAATAATTTTGTGAAAGTTTGTGTTAAAATATGTTCAGTAGTGAGTTACGGGAAGGGCATCCATGGGGAAGTAGATTTCCATGTTTCTTTTTTTAGGTTTCCACAAAGCAATTATACATGGCGACAGTTTCAAATTGTTTTGTAAATATCTGGGTGTTGCAAAGGAAACTATCACTTAGGGTTAAGAAAGGTACTATGATGAAGACAAATGTTTGTATTTCTGTTTGAACTATTTATGCTTTGTGTCAATCATTCCTGAGGAAAGCCCACATGTGTTAGTAATTAGTGCAGGGATGTCTAACTGAATGCCAGGGTGGGCAAAAGTTGGAGGAGGTCATGCCTTCAATTTAGCAAAGAGAGACAGACAGATCATCAAAGTTGACTCCAAATTTCACTGGCAAGATCGAACTTGGAAAATTGAAGTACAGGCAAGAAATATACGAATTCACAGCAGTGCTTAAGGGTTGTTTTTTTACAGGATGTTGTAAGATATTTATTTTAATGGATTGGTAGAAATATTGCTTATGATATCTGAGAAATGAAAAAGAAATAGAAATCGAGAAATCAAAAATTTTTGTTAAGCATCTGATGCCATTTCATTTTCTAAGGTTAACACAACTGGGATGTGTTATTTATGAGATGGGAGGAAAGATGCACCCAAAATTTAGTTTATTCTTCTCATATTTATCTGCCTGGTCGACATGAAACTCTAGCAAAATTCTATTGGAAATCTCTGGTTTACCATAATACGGAAAATCCCTTATGGAGTGTTGAGGAGAAATTGGCTTCAACTGGACATAACCCCTAACAATAATAAAAATTTATAACACAAATATTTTCATTGCTTCATGCAAAAAATAAGATATATAAGATAAGTACACAGGAAGTTAAATATATCCAAAATTCACCGCAAGAAGAGATGCCCTTAAGCACTTTACAAACAGTAGTAAGTTTCAAGAAGTTAACTGTGTTACAGCATGATTTTCAACATTTACTCTAAAAACAATTGCAAATTATTCACTTATGACAATTTGGAAAACAGTGGAAACTGTGTAAGACATTTAACATCATAATCATCATATATAAACTATAGCATTTGCCTCAATAAATTGATGGCAATAACGACACCTGGTCAATTCAAATATTTATGTGTATATATATATATTTATATTTATATGCTTGAGATCACAGGAAATGAAGTCATGTTCTATCCATGACTATGTTTAGGAATTCTTACAGAGATGGGAGGAAGAAAATTCCTATTAAGAGGAATGGATACAACTTTTTGCATAAGGTTTGGGCACTGAATCGAGGTTTACATAAAATTCCAGTTTTCAGTCACTTCTCACTATTTTCAAACTTTCCTTAGCATATCACCTCAAATAAATGATTTCAAAGAATTCTTCATTTCTGGTAAAAAAAAAAAGAAGCAAAAAAGCTCTTGTCCATTCATTAATTTCAAATAATTTACACTGTCTCTTACAACTACAATAATAATAATAATAATAATAATAATAATAATAATAATCAAAAAAAAGAACAACAACAACAACATGTTGTCTAACACTTTTACAAAAGAGTTTGAAAGGAATTTAAACTTTCAGTACACTTTGCCATTCTTACTATTTTCTTGTTGTGTAATTATTGGTGTTTGACTAGAAAATACCACAATGCAGTTTAAAAACCAAGTATGCACCTGTTCAATGATATATTTTGCAGGTAAAAATATCACACACATTCAATGATTAAAAAGGAGAACAAATGCAATAACAATTATCACTACAAACTGTTCATAATTGACTACACAAGGGTTATGGCAACTTAAAAGAGTATTCCAACATTTCATAGAATACTGACCGAATATAATTAGCAAAACAACCAATATGAACTTAAAAAGTTTTCGTTGTTTGACTAGTACCAAAACATCTATCAATTTGGAATATCTTAAAATGAGCATTATGTCATAACACACTACTTACACAAAGCATATACAATTCACATTATGTGATGTGAAATAGAAAATGCAGTCCTAAAAATACTGGCATATAAAATTCTTCAATAAAGCCTTTCAGAGGATATAATGTTACCAAAAATTGGCAAATGATTCTGACAAAAACAATAAGAATAACAATAAAACAGCCTTCAAGAAGACTGTTTCAACGATGCTCTTCTTGGGTATGTTTCCTACACATTCACCTTTGACTTATGTATCAAGTATGCCATAATCCCGAACACTGAATCATTAGTTAATATTGCAAATAACTCGTTGTGCATACGACACAATTTTTCATACTGAACTGCACAGAGGAAAAGAGACATGAACATCTCTATTTCCTCTATTGCTTTTGTTACGCTTGAAAGAATAAAGTAACAAAATGAAATATATTCCATAATTTGCAATTATTCTTTGTTTTTCTAACATTGTGTTCATAATTCAATAATTCTCCTTTCCTTATGGTACTGAGATATTTTCCTCAATGTACACATTTGTGAGCATATTTATAAAGTTATAGTACAAAAATTGCTCAGCAAAAATCCATTCTTTCTCAAAATTATTTTCCACACACTATCTCACAATCTAAAATTCTCAGTGAGTCAAATTTTCAAGATAGAATCACATCACATGCATTTCTTAACTTTTCACAGAGCATCTCCAAATCAGCAGTGACATTCATTTGCTAAGTTAGCAAAGAGAGGCTTCAAAATATTTCAATTAAGTGCCATAAGTCACATGAGGATGAGAGATTGGGACTTATCTAAAAGAAGGGAGAAGTTAACAATAAGAACCTTTTGGTCAAGGAGCTACACCTGATCAGCAACAGGTGAATACACACTCAATGAGATAAGGTTAGTGCCTCTGTTTTGACAGTACCTCTGTCTGCTACGCCAACACCTGCAAGTTCATAATGCATTATTAGCATAGTTACATTATGTTTTTTATACATAACATTGGCTAAATGTAAAGAATAAAAACAAAATCATTTTTTTTCAAATATGAAAACATCCTTAAAATTAACAAAATTCCTAAAATTTTAATATACTGTAAATTCTATAGGCAAAGAAAAACGAGGGCGAATATTAAAACTATCAAAATTACTTAGTCTTTAGAAATATGACAACACACAATATTTTAATTTTCTGCAACTAAAGAACCAAATAAGAAAATTATTCCATGTAACAGTGATAATTTAACAACTTCATCAATGAAATATTTTGATACTGAATATTTGGAAAAACAAATCACATTTTGTGTAAATATCTACACATTGAAGGATTGGTCTTTTGTGAAACAGAACAGGCAATATGTCTATTAATAAGCAGTACATGATTATGATGATAACAACAACAAAAATAATTTATTGTTCATAGCAATGTGTGTGCGTGTGTAGTATTGAAAGTAGAGTAGAGTATTGAAAGCTACTAATTTCCATTAAGGGCAAAGATATTTAATTACTTTTTCTTCTCACACCAAATAACTATTACACTTTAACATACAATTCTATACAATTCAAATTAGGGACCCTGCTTAATTTTTTAAGAAAGTAGTGACCTTAATATTTTGGATGGGGTTCAAACTCCCCTGCACCCTCCCCCCTTCAAAAAACTAGTGGTGCAGCTAAAGTACACACTATCTCACATTGTTTCTAAATGCTTTGCAACATTATACTACTATATAAACCAGCAAAATATTTTCAAACAGCAAATTATTTTTTTGCACCAAGACTCAAACGCAGATCCTCTGAGTTAATGTGCTGACACTCATGCCCCTACACCTAAGTGCTGCGAAAGGTTCGAACTTGGACAAAAGCACAAAAAGGTAAATGCCCAATTCATGTTAAAAAAATTCAACAATCAAATTATCCGTTAGAAACTTCGAAAGTCTCCAGTCAATTTAGATCGATTGGGGAATATCAATTTTGAAGAAAATCAGAATGGTTTAGGCGCTAGCCTTGACCACAGATGAGCAGAAGGATGTTTTGTCGTCAAACGATTTTTCGGTATGAAGAACCAAAAAACAAGGGTTCTGGCTACACCACAAGTTAGAGGAATTCCCCCCCCCTTAAATTTAGCAAGACACTTTTTTGTTACCAGAACCTGGCAATAAGGTTTTTTTGGCGATATTTTAGCATTTTCTGGCGCATGATTACATAATTTCCTCATCTTACGAAGAATTCGTAAGGCGAGAAAGTAATAGTATTAGGGTTATGTAAGTTGGTCCCATGGGTACTGGTTATTTTCTATTTAAATTTAATGTTGATATATTCATTATTTTAATTAAATTGGTTCATACATATGCACAGAAAGATGAACAATTGATTTGATGGATTGTACATTTTACAAATCTAACAAGAGATGTGAAAAACTGTTCAAAAGTTGAAAATTCGAAAATCACATACATACACATCCAGTTTATTTATCTTAATTAAATCTATTTGTGATTAGAATTGCGACAAATAATATTCCTCGACCAAGATTCGAACCAGTGAACTTCCCCCCCTGAAGAGCTCAGTCCATACCCATGTGTTAGCCACCTCGGCCAACCGGGTAGTATATGGCTTTTACACTTATATAATAGTAAAAAGCATTTCAGTTCTAGCATTACAAAGCTGAAAATTGAAAAAATGGGAAAATAACATTTCTTTGGGAGGCCAAAGAAGGTATCTGGGAAGAGAATCAGGCACAACCAAAATCCTAGTTCAGACTAAAGAGATTAGAAAACTAACTATTGTGAGAAAGTCTGTGCCATTCTACAGCACCACTAGTTTTATTTATTTATTTATCATATGGTGTAAATATAAGAAGAAACTTAAATGAAAATATTTGTGCAGATATTCAGAAAATATTTTTAGAAATGACATAACTTTCAGACACTAATTAAGGGCAATTAGCTCATTTTTTCAAAAAATTATACATGGCCTTTTTTAAAGACCTAATTTTTTAACAACAAACCTTGTTTAAAGCAAAAACCGCAGTCTCCAATTTTGAAGTTTTGAAATGTTCACAATCTTAGCATTTTCGAAAAATTGGAGCAATAGCCAAAAATGATAATTGTACCATATTATTTACTGTCCCTTATTACATAAGTTGAGATAATTTAAAGAAAAAATTTGGAGCAGTTTTTGGAAAAAAATTTGTTAAGTGCTAATACAAAATTACTCTTTTTTTTAAAAAAAAAATGTATATGACCTTTTTTAAAGAGCTAACTCTGTCCAACAGACTTTGCCTGAGGCAAAAGTCTCTATCTACAATTATTGTAGTTTTAAAAACATTTTTTTGCAATTTTTGTATAACTGAGCAATATCCGAAAATGTGATTAGCATAATATTTTTTTACCATCCTTTAATACAAAAGTAAAGAAAAATTAAACAAAAAATTTGGAGCGGATTTTGAGAAAAATTCAGTTTGGCAATTTTAAACGCAAATTATGCAAAAACCACTACCTTTTACAAAAAAATTGTACATGGCCTTTTTTAAAGGTCTAGTTTTATGCAACAGTCTTTGTCTGAATCAAAAATCTCTATCATCAATTTTATAATTTTTATTTTGGACTCTGGCTACACCATGAGTAAGAGGGTTTTTCTCCCTTCAAGATTTTCCCACTGTGTAGAAGGAACAGTATGTAGAAGTGAGTGAAGTGTGAGGACTGGCATATTTAACTATGAGAAGTGTGCATGAGAGAGTTACATGTGCATATTAGTGCAAACACATGTGCATCTCTATATTGGTCCTTGATGCAAGAACATGTCTAACAGTCAGATATGAGTGATCTGGGGATCGATAGATGTGATCATGACCAAAACAAAAAAATAAAAATAATATATTTTGAATATTTTAGAGGGGAATTGGATATAAGCGACAACAAACAATTATTTAAGCTGTATTTGTATAAAAACTGCAGAGAAAAGGTCATAAAAGAATGAAAAAATCACAAATGAATTGCTAATATTAGTGCATTGAAGTGCGAGCACTCTTGGAGAGTCAACTGGTGGCTTCATTTAGAATTCTTTGGCACAGAGACAAGCACTGCTAATCACTTCTTTGGTCAGAGAATCTTATCTGTTCTCAGCCGTGCTTCGTGAAATGAACCATTACACAACTAAGAATGTGAGTGAAAATATGCATTGTTTTTGCAGGCATAGTTTGCATTGTTAAATGCTTTTATTCCATGTTAGATAGTTATTAGAGTTCTCTTAGATGTCCTGCATTGTGAAAAACTTGAAGATATCATAATTAAGCTGAAACAAAAATGATTTGATTTTCTTAGATTTCAAGAGAAGCTTTCAATTGTGACAAAACTTTTAAAATAACAGCAAATGCATAATTTCTTGAGAATCTTGCCATCTAACAAAGAGTTAATTCAGACATTTTTGATTCACAAAAGGTTTAAAATAAACGGATTGTGGTTAATAGAATTGGAGATTTTATAATTGAAATACTGCAAGAAAATTTGTAATTTTTTGAAAGAATAAAATGTAAATAACCAATTAAGGAAATTGTTTAGTAAAATTAATATTCAGTATACCAGTGTCAAGAGCAAAAGAAAACAGCAGTTTTTGGCTTTAAAGACAATAAATAATTATAAAAATAACTAAGAACAGGGAGTTCACAACTTCATCCCCTTATCAATTGAGAAAGAACTTCTGGAATCCTTTCGAGATACAGAAAATTTCTACAAAACTGTAATACATAAATTTGCCATAACAAGACAGGAGTTTCTACATATTAAGATGGAATGTTCAAGAGTATTTAGAAATGTTTTCTTATAAATTCATACACTACAGCACAACAGTGACATAACATCCTTCCAAATGCCTATTTTAGAACAAATATTATATAAATTCATCAATTTAAATAATTTAGAATCTGAATTTAAGTGGATATGTACCAAATGGATGAGTGAATAGCATTGACTACCATTTCTTCATTCCTTTTTGCTCCATCCACTTTGGAAACTTCTACGATATTCAAGTCGGTCAGACAGTTGTGACAGACATTTGAGAGTTCCAAACACTAATAAGGGGTGCAAAATGTTGAGTGAGAAATCTGAGTTGCAGCATGTATAATTTAGGGGATCACATACAAAAATGTCCATTATGTGACCCCACAGAGTCTATTTTTTATACACAGAATCTCCACTTGTGGGGGGTGACAATTTGGCCCAAATGAATAATTTGGATCCAGCATTCACTGCATCCTGTGAAACAATAACCTTTTGATGTGTTGAGGGCTGAAATGACAGTGAATTATCAATCAACTGTAGGCCCTTTTTGAATTTCTGTGAGGAATGATCAAAGGTCTTGAGAAGCATGTAATAGTAATAATGAATTATAATAGAATCAAACATATCTTTAAATAATTACACGTATTTCATTTTATATTTATAAGAATGAATGAATGAATGAATGAATGAATTTTAATTTTGCTCCTGCATCAAACTTAAGATTCCAATTTACACTCATGGTCACAAGAATGAAACATGAAATATTTCTGAAGCCATTTCAATTTCAATACTACCTTAAGGAAGTCCAGGAGATTTATCAGAAAAATTTTGAGAAATAAGCACAAATTTGAGTTTTGAAATGATAGAACACCCTTCAATATTGTGACATCCCCTCATTCCTACAAGAAGATAAGACATAGATACTTAGTGAATCTTGTGATGATCAATCAAAAATGCCATGCCTAGTCACTGTTGCTAACATTTAAGAATTGTTCAGGCAACTTTTCTTGAATGATTGGCTGCCTATTCCCTCCCAAGTACAATAAACAGTCGGAAGGTAAAAGCTTTCACTGAAGACATTCCAATCACACCATCTTGTTGGTGTGAAATTTAGTAACCATTTGCAAGTAAGAACTGTTTGTGTATTTTTCCCCCCCTGAAAAAATTTAAGGAAATAGCTGAGACAAGATTAGGTCCTTCACAGGAGACACCTGGAACTACATAGTAAGTTAAAAGTATGTGTAAGAGTGGTGAAAGAAAAATTATTGTAAGTTGTGAAGGTAAGTAAGTTAGAAAAAGGATACAAAATTCTAATGTATTGTCTCATACTTGGATTGGGTGTCTGCTTGTAAGTGGACCAAGAATTTCGACAAAATGGAGAAAACAAATCAATAGAGATACTCAAAATTCAACAGAAATGCCTGGTAAAATAAGGTAACACCCAAAGTGACAAATTTATCATTTTCTAGGTCAGTTTTGAACAAAAACATTATCTATGTCAGTTTTGAACAAAAACTACTTTGCAAGTTGCCTACCTGAGCCTGTATATGGCTGATAACGCAACGGGGACATGCTAATTGGAGAGTTGGTGCTCCTCCTCGGAAGGCACCCTTGAGGAGGCGAGCTGTGCCAGGTAACGGTATAGCTAACTGACTCAGAGCAGATTCCAACTCAGGCAGCACAGTCTGCTCAAAGGTGTCTGAACCATAATGGTGACCACACGAGAACACCAACAAACGCTCAGTATTGGAAAGGCCACAGCCTCTCAGGTCCTGAAATGAGAGAACATCCAGCAAGGTAGTGGCGACTGCAGAAGTAATACATGCAGATGTCAGGTTGAAAAGGAAGGCAACAGTGGTGAAATGAATTTTCAGGCAGGGGCATCATTTAAAGCAACATTTCTGTTTATGGGAGGAATGACAGGGTTTATATATCATTCTTTGCACCTTGAGAAATAATTTTTTCTTGAATACTTTTGTACCATTAAACTCATTCATAAATTTTTACTTTCCTAACACCCAAACTTATTGTCAACTTAGTTTTCTTCAGCCAGGAACAATACTCACCTCCTGCGTGAGAGTGATATATGGCTGGGAAGTGGGACCCGGAGTACCAATGGTGTGCATTCCCCGCAACCCACTGAGCAGAGCCTCCAGCTGCTGCTCAGGAGCTTGCCCAGGTCCCAGGCCACTGGTACATCCGTTGAGCCCCTGCACTGCAGCTGCACGTGACAGTGCCTCAACATATTCTGGATGGGGTTTTCCTGTTCAGAGAAAACTCAGCTGTTGAAATTTGTCTTGGTAGAAAGTTTTCCAGTTTTCAGAAAAATGACTTAAGGATTAATGTAACAAGGGGGGAATGTGATCATGAATGCAAGGTACAAGAAGAAGAATGATATACAATATGTATCCCTTTAATAATTTTCAGATGAATAAAATAATTTTTTCAAAAATTGTAACATTCTGAATATCCTATTACTTCCTGCATCTTATCATGACTACAGCACAATATCCATTAGCTTTTGGAGTGGTTAGAATTATTTCTGTGCAAACATTCCATACAACACGGTATGATTCACACTATTCAGAAAAAGAGAAATTGAGAAATGGAATTTGTACATGTTTTAAGTGGGCCTTGTTACAATTGTTAGAAGAACTAAAGTTTAGGAAGAATTCTCAGATATTTTCAAAGTCTTTTTCTCTTCCACTAAATTTGAAATTCACAGAGGTCTTTCATTTGTCCCAGCTTTTGCATGCAAGATAAAAATAAAATGGAAGAAATGTGAATACCCAAATTAAATGTAGAATTCACTTAAAATAAAAATTGCAAGGTACAATGTACTGTTCATGCATGAGGTTTTCTTTTATTGCGTATGTGTGCATATTATTTATGATAAGCATTTTTGTTAATTTCTTTATGCTACTATTATGTATGTAACCAACACTAACAACATTGGTGACCTGCATCAGCACAAATGCTACTCAACAAATCCTCACAAAATGGTTTTACAAAAAGTAGCAGGCACACTACTCAATAATGACAAACAAAATGCTCTCAAATAACAGTATAATAAATTAAATATTTTAACACAAACAATTTTCATGAATACTGCAATAACAAAGTATAGCATGTAGAGTACAACCGTTTTTTACATACCAAGAGAGTTGCATAACGCAACATGGGAATAGGAAATATTTAATAGCAGGAAACCTCTTTCTTGGAGCTTTGCTGTCTCAAGATGTCAACTGTGATGCAATGTAAACAGTGATGCAATGGGTTTGAGAATTCACTAGGTATGTGCGGTAGGTGGAATAACACAATCAAATATTTGCATTTTTCAGTCAAAATAAAACCGGTTTCATTGCTTTTGCATTTTTCCTCAGTTCCTAGGTATCTAATGAAAAAGGCCAGAGACTTAAAGAGTTTTCTTTCGATTTCTGTGTGCATTGGAAATTAGTAATATAGATATTGAAAATCTGAAAAGTCTTCAGCCGTTTCAGGGTTTAAAATTTTGTGGGAAAACCCAATCATTCATTCACACACTTGGCCCTAGAGACTGGCAAAAAATGTAATATGAAATGTCAAAATATGTACATAAATATGTAATGAAAACTGTAAGAATTTGTAATAAGTATGCAAAGACCACTATTATATGTAATATTAAAATTCAATAATTATAAAACACATTTACATATTACAAAATTACACCTATAAAAAAAATCCTAAACAAACTTTAAAAATAATATAATTGTTTTAAAAAGCATTGAGAGAGTACAAGTTGATGCACACCATACAACTTTGCCATCAGCAGTAGAAGTATCATCTATTGCTATCCAGGTCTGTATTTCTGTAGCCTGACTTGAGGCAATAAATATATTAACACCATAGTGTACAAACTAGTGATATCTACGACCAGCAAACATTCACCGTGAAGAACTCTCATTGAATGTTTAACGACGGCTATCGCCAATGTTTCTCTGAAATTAAGGTTAAAGGTCACGATCAGAGATATTTTTCACCCTAAAAGTTGGAAATGATCTCAGATGCTGCTGTGCACATCCCGCCACTCTGATAACTGACACTAGTGCGTCGGACTGTGAGAACATAACGCGCCGACATATAGGGTACTCAGAGTTGACAGCACGCAGTAATAATAGGGGAAGAACCCTGATAAGTAAAACAAACTTTTCGTAAAAAATATGTAATAGAATCAAAGAAAATTGATAAAAGAAAATAAATTATTTTATTCAAGTACCAAAATATGTAATATAGTACTGAATGTGATAAATATACTCACTTTGATTTATGTGGCCCAGAAGCACTGAGCAAAGCTGCAAGCAAAAGCGCGTGGACAGCTGCTGCAACAAGGCCGGTTCGGAGCCAGGTGGCTCTCCTGCATCCCCCTGGGCTTCACTGGTCCGGCTGCAACCAACCACACACACATTTAAGAATAAAATGAGAATGGTTGACAGTTGGATTTCAGAGATATGGTGTTGCCACATACTACATTTGCAATACAACCAACAGCATGTGTTACTTACAATTCCTGCACACACAACAAATGTCATTTATGACACTTGTAAAAACATTCAACTGATTAATTACATTTGGCCCCACATTTCATGTGTTCCATAATTTGAAGAAACAACACTGAAAATGCCAAAGGTTCTGATTTGCGTTAGCTTAGGTCATGGCATAGTCGTTGTCACCAGATGACAAACTTTCAACAACCTTCCAATTACATTCTAGTGTATGCACAAGCAAGGTTTGCAAGAGAGATTTCGCAATTTGGGCTCAGTGTATCGGCACTACCTGCCACTGGGCTCCCTATACCCTCTAAGCCTCCTGGTTTATGGAACTGTTACAACAGTAATCAGGCTGACCATCCCAGCTTTCAGGGTACAGACAGTCTGGGCATGAATACATTAATGTTTCATGGGACTAGGGAACTCCGGTCTCTTGATGTCAGGCACAAGCAATACCTAGCATCATGCTTGGATGACCTTTCTATTTCATCTTGATTAAGACCCCCATGAAGTTTGATAAGCTTGGTTCAATCACTCAACCACTTTGTTCCACCTCACAATTGGAACACTTAATTAGTGAACTTTAGCTTGTCAACTTTAATTAGTGAAACCTCACATTAAAAAAAATATTCATAACACACTCAACAAAGAAAATGGCCTTTTAAAAAAAATCATCAAATAGTCTAAGATTGATTGATTAGTGTTTCTGGTCATGACAACTACTAAGGTTTCACTACATTGGTCCCATAAGTGTAGCGCATGTTTTATCTTGGGAGATAGTGGTGATTTTTTTCCTGCTGTGGTGATATATGGTGCCAACCTACATGTCAGCTTGTGGGGTTTTCTTCAACCAGGTACCTACAATCAGTGGGTACCAGGCCCAAGCCTGAACAAACTCTATGCTCCTGACTGGTCTCCCAAAATGTGTAGTATAGTACAGGTAAGGAGCATGTGTAAGTGTGTGTGTAAGTAGGGGGCAGGGTATAGGTCAAAGAAGAGGAAGGAAAGATCATACACAGTTCATGTTAGGGTACAGCTCTAGCATTCAGCTGGTGTTGTTCGGAGAAAACATGGAAAATTATAGATAAGAGCAGCCGACAGAATTCGAGCTAGCTTTCTAGCAACTGTCAAAAATCCTTCCACCACGAGTAAAACTCTAACCCTAGAACCTCCTGGTTAGACACTGCAGTGACCATCCAATATATTGCTTTCTGAATGCATACAAAACTATGGCATCATTACATAATCTACAGCCTGAGCATATCTGTGTGTATATAAAAATTTGGTGCTATTTTTCAAAAATTCTTGTTTTTAATATTTTTAATGTTGCCCATATATAACTCAAAATTATGTGAAAACTGCTAACATTTTCAAAAATATGCACAAGGCATTAATCTAATAATTAATTATGGAGAACAAATTTCTTTGAAGAAAAAATATCTTCAATATTGCCAATAGAGGAAGACATTGAACAAATGTGTGAACTTTTACAATTTCCGAAAAATCAGGAATTTCAATGAAAGTGAGTTCTGCATCATTCTCTTAAGTCCTTTAAGCTATCTGACAACAAAATTTAATAAAAATATTTCAAGCCACTTTTAAGAAAATTTTGAAAATGTCTCAGAGGCTTTATGTAAATTGTAAAACCCACCAAAATTTAAATTTCTGTTTAAAATTTATGGAGCCGCGATATCAGCCACATTGATTGGGGAATGTCAAATTTGGTGAAAATCCTCCTTATGGTTTAGCTGCTAGTGTTGTTCACAGACATTTTGCCATCAATTGAGTTTTCAAGGATCCACAAAATTATGAATTCTGACTACACAATGTGTTGAGGAAGTAATTTAGTATATACAGGAACAAGATTTATCCTCTTTTTCACTAGACCAGCAATAAGAGTTTTTTGGTCGAAAATTCACCACGTTTTCTTGTAGCATTACAATATTTTAAACTGCTTAAGCAGTAGTGAGAAAGTACAATAAAGGCCATCAAACAGCATACATTAGCTCTCCGAGGCAGGCCAGAATATGTCGTGTTCCCACGGTGAAGTTGCCTTATTTCAACCCATTTATGGGCTTCTCTAATTAACATCTTTCCTGCTGAAAATATGCACTGCCAAAAGGAACAACTCCTTACCAGAAGAGTAGAAGGCCCAGAGAGTAGCAGAATTTGGGTAGATGCCGCAGAAGAAGGCTCTCCAACTGCTCTACCGGAAGAGCATGGCTCAGCCAAAACTCAAATCCCTGCAACACATCCAAAGGGAGCTCCTCAGGCATATGCTACTATTGCAACACACAATGTGGTGAAATGGAGTTACACTGTAGACCATAATGAAGAAATGCAGCAGAAGCATTCCAACACTAGTAGTGCAAAGCAAAGAATCACTTGTTAGGTCTTAAATCACAAAGAAAATGGTGTCAAATAAAATCAGGTTTAAATAATATTGAATATATTCGACACTTTAAAAACAAATTCCTAATTTTTGATTGATTGGTTAGTTAGTTTTTTTGTGGAGTGTCCCCTACCATGGTCATTATTCCCTTAAGTGTAATGCTTGTTATATTCCAGAAGGAGGTGGGATTCCTATTCTGCTGGAATGTGAAATCTGGTGCTAACCTACACTTTGTGTTGCGGGAATTCCCCTTCCGCATGTCCCCCTTTGGGGTGGCGTCCCAGCTGGGACAAGCTCCTAACATGTGTTAGTGTAATGTATGTATACGGGGAGATGACAGGACAAAGATGAGGAATGAAAGGTCAACCGCAGTCTGTGACCTGTTTGTTGAGGTATTCCCCTGGTATTGATCGAAGAAATTGTGGATAACTACAAACCAGAACAGTTTGCCTTTGGAATTTTTATTCTGACAGTGGCTGAATTCAACCTAGCTATGTAGCTAGTGTAAAATATCAGCCACAGTTTAGAACTTGAATCCTAGGACCTCCCAGTCAGTAAACCTGATTTTTTCTGGAGATTTCCAGGCTAGTTTAATGGATATTCTCAAGGAATGAGGAGAAACCCACCTGCTGCAGAAGCTGGCTCATCATGGTGTGGCTGTCTTCTTCCATTAGAGACACATAGTACTCGACCAATGCTGAAGCCTCTTGGACAAGGTCATACCCAGACGGATCCTTCTCTGTGTTAATCTTCTTGCTTTCTTCTTTCTTCTGCTCACCTGCAGTGTCTGGGGAAATGATGAGGCTGGTGGGCTGAGAGGAGGTTGAGTCCTCTGCAGGGGCAGGAACTTTGTCTATTGTAGAAGGATCAGCATTGGTGCTTGAATGAGGATCGCCTTTAAGGTCTCCTACTTTGGGAAGCCCTACACAAGAATTGAAGATGTCAGAAGTGTTTGAAATAAGCACTACAATGTGCATATCTTTATTAAAAGGCAATCTAAAAGCTATGTAAAACATTGCGACCAAATTGGTAAATTAATCGATATTACAATAGAAAAGGCTAAACAGTGTAAAGCCATTCTTTTTAGTAGATAATCTTAAGAGTGACAAGATTTACAAGAACGTGAGATTGAAGCTGAGTAGCAACTCTAGCCAGAACTGAAGAAAAGGAACAACAGTAGAGCTCCTATTCAACTCAATTTTATTCTTTAGGGAGTAACTCATCTTCAAAACATTGATATGGCAATATAAAAGGCACACAACTAACACATTTCAGAGAAACATTAATTTAAGTTATATAAGATGAAAAAATAAGGTGCAGCAAACATTTTGATTTTAAAAAGATATTGTTTTTGAATAGTATTTGAAAAGTAACTTAAACATGTAATTTATAAATTAACAATTTACACATAACACTGTCAGAAAACTTGCCTAATATTTTATATTTGTTCTTTTATTATAGTTTTGTTCAGTCAAATAGGCATTAAATTAATTGTTTTTTTACAAACAATATAGAAATATGTACCCACTTAGTAATTAATTAAATTTAGCTAATGAAACCTTCTCATTCTGTACAATCAACCTTCATATTCTGTACAATCTACTATCTAACTGGAAATTGTTCAAACTTCTGGCAACTGAGTGCACACATGAGGATAAATAAAGCACTTTTTCATGTATTGTTGGATGTTTATAATGTGAAACATCAATTCATTACAGAATCGAGTGGGAAGGGGGAATTTTTTCTTAAATTATAAGAAAAATTAAGTTAAATGCGTTTTTGATTACTAATAGAATAATATATTTTTTTAAATCATACAGGGCAAAATGCACCAATGTTTTAAGCAGAGCTCACCAGAATCAGAGGAAGCAGGAGGGAGATCCAAACTGGCAGGCTGATGTGCAGGTGATTCAACAGGCTGGGAGAGACCTGAGTCAGGACTGCCCAGATTGCGGCCCTCTGACATCTGTTCTCTCCCTCCCTGCACAACAGAACATCCATTGAACATCCAAGCAGTAGTGGCTGCTCTCAGAGGACATGGCATATCCACAGTGCATGTTTTGAAAGCAAACATATTTTTCATACATCTATGTAAGCAAATGATAATGAGAATGGGCCACTAGGCAGACTGCTGCAGTCAACATGTTGCATGTAAGGCAATGGATGAATGTGTAAGTGTGGGGGTAGAAAATAGAACTTAGTGGTAGAGTCCATGCCTATTAAATAAGCTATAAACATTAATCCTTTAATTTGATTTTGTAAATTACTTTGATTGCCTGCATATAAATGTCTAAAAATCTCTATTTTCATTGGCAAAATTAAAATTTTGTTTTCAATGTAAAAGATGTCTCAGACAAGAATTTAAATCTCTTTGCTAGCTAATGGGTCATACTCTTCATGGTATAGTTCATTGTCAATCACGAATATTCTGGTGACAAAATATATTTGATTGTTGAGACACATGTTCCCATAAACATACCGAACACAACTAATTTAGGCAACTGCAAAATAATTTGGGTATACCAGGGCATACAGTAACTATTATTGCAGCTCTGTAGTGATCAAGAAGCAAGAGTTCACAGAGCAGAAGGAAACCCTAAGTGATTTGCAGTCAACAAAGGAGAATTTTCTCTCCTTTGAGAGCATTGAGTTCTCTCTCCTGGCCTGTTCAATTTATACACAGAGTATGTCATAAGAGAAGCAAAACTGTGCATTAGCACATCGATGAAATGAGTATTGACAAAAGAATTGGGGGATGTCAATCCAATATTTGTTATGCAGATGACACTATGATAATGGGAGAAAGCAATGTAGAACTAGAACAGCTACTAGAGTGATAGAAAAAAGCAAGAAATCCTCAATGAAACTGAACTTAACAATGACCATTGTAATGACAACAGGAAAAGAAGAGAGAATACAGATAAATGAATGGATAAAATCAACAGATAAAGTAAAGATTTGGAGAGTAACCATAACAAAAGATAGTCATTGTATTAAAGAAATTAAAATAATTATTTTGGGAAAGCCTTGAAAAAATGTAATAATTTTCATCAAAGACTCAGGGTTATCAATAAAGGCCAAAATCAAGCTAATATTAACAAAAATATTCCCCACTGTTCTTCCATATGTTCCTATGTTGGACTTTAAGTTCTATTGACAGGAGAAAAATAGATGCTTTTGACTTTATGTGTTGGAGGAAGCATTGAAAAATTCATTGAGCAGACAAAATAACCAACAAATCCATTTTGAAAGAAGTGACGCCTGGATGCTCTTTACAAGCTAGAGCCCTCAAACAAAAATTCTTTGGACACATTGCAAGATCAGACACTTTAGAGAAGAACATGATGTTAGGAGTAATGTACACAACTAGAAGATGTGGAAACAGAAAATGAGATGGCTTGAAGAAATAAAAAAAGGAACCAACTTGACTGGCAATGAATATGGCACAAGAGAGAATAGGATGGAGAGAACTCACAATCGAGATGATATAAAAAGGAAACGATATTTTGAAGAGGAGGCTGGGAACCGACTGCTTATCATCTTAAAGGATTACTAACGATTGCATGCAGCTTACATATTACTACTACTACCAAAATAATTTGAGCACTGAGCAGTAGTTTGACTAGGCATGGTCAACCATTGCTCCAGTCAGGTTGCATTAGTTAAGAGAACCTTCCTTGGTTCTTTGCATGCTCCTGATGTTATAGAACTAATAATTGTGCTATGAAATTCACTTATCAGTTATGCAAATTACTGCCTGCCTCTGCTGAGACTAACACCATCATTGCACTGCCCATCTGTTGTACGAGGTACTGACCAATGTCTGGACTGGTGGCACCAGAGGAAAGTGCCTACCTGATCAGGGCAATGCCTACAAGCCGACACAAAACAAAGGGGTGGCGAACCTCTTGAATTAACATTATGGCAACACAATTGAAGTATGCAAGGGCCTTTTACATGCATTATTTTATTTTTGTTATAAAGCAAGTGGGCATTGTGAATGTCTATGTCAGAATTATGTTAACCCTTATACGGGCAACCGGGGTCCATTGGACTACGCTGCAACATTTTCAATATTTTACGTGAAAAGTATGCAAGGCGTTGGGATAGTGTTTTGTGACTCTTTGCTATGATGGTATTTTAATTGTACCCTTAACCATTTTTTATAGAAGTGTAACTGAATAATAAATTTAAAAAAATCTTTTATTTTTTCAACTACAACCAGGCACGTGGGATCCATTGGACCCAGGTCTCTTAATTTACGTGTAGTATTGTACTTTCTGGTTTTCTTTGCTTGATTACTTGACCACAGCTTTGGGTCCAAGGGAAGGATGTTGGGTTGCGCAGCGACACTTCAAAGTGGTGTTATCTGAGATAAGTGTGAGCTTTTCTAAGAACGATGCCTTTGTAGACAGTGTTGTTGTGAGTTAGTATGTAGCGGGTTAGTGAAGGTCAGGATAGTGAGTGTTTGAAGTTGTGTGCAGTCCAAATTTAGTGAAAAAATGTACAGTAACAGGTATGTTGCTGACCCTTACTGAATTTTAGAAAACACGAGATAATATTGTTTCTCATTGCAAAGGATATGGTTCATACACAAAATGTAAGGTGGCAATCAAACAGGATTGAATAACAGGTTTCGTCTGTCAATCACAAATGTTATCACAACAGAAGCAGCTCCCACAACTCAGAAAATGTAAAACAATGCCAAAAAAAGATGTCATTTGTGCCTTTGGAAATGAAGAAGGGAATAAAGAAGTGTAGCATCTATTCAAAGCCAGTCTCAATGAACTTACCCAAGATAAACAGTGTGTGCGATCTGTAATAAAAATACTTTTTGTTTCATTGTTCATGTCTGAAATGTACATCTGTAAGCATAATTCCATTGCAGACACTCCTGGGTCCTGGGTACTGGTTGTGTCAGTAAAATTGGTTGCTCGGAAAAGGGTTAAATACATCTCCTTTTTTACTGCTATGGATTAAATTCATTGGATTATTCAATGAATTTGTGTGATTTTGTAAATGTATAACCTGTACCTTTGCCCTGATCATTAGAAAAACTAAGGTATTCTAAATTAATTTAACAACTTCATGGTTCAGTAGGGTACACAAATGTAAGTTCAGTAAGTACACAAGTGTTGCTGGGAGCCCTTTCTCTGATGGATGTCTCCAACATTACTTTTATTTCATCAAATTCATGAGCTGCCAACAGACCTGTATCGAAAACGTGTGCATCTCGGCATCTTCGCCAATGACTGAGGAACGGGTGCTGTCAGGAGTGGAGCTGGCACTGGCGCTGCGACCTTGCTCAGCCAGTGTTCGTCCCCTGATATGGCGGCGTGGACTCACATCAGCACTGCTGCAGCTGCTACCCAGAGGTCGCATGCGGGCTGGTCCTCCTTCTTCCACTGCTGAATACAACATGCAACAAACATGTTTTCTACCTGACAGTTCATTTACATTATGAACCTGATATAGACTTGGCCAAGGACAGAGAAGCCTGACAACATCAGTTTCTCACATTAAAGACAGATGAATTAATGTGACAATGGGGCAAATGTCGGGGCTATTAACACAAAGAAGGAATGAGGGAAAGGAGAAATGAGAGTGACAAATGGATGAATACAAAACAAAAATAGTGAACCAATTGATAGAAACATTAACAAAAATATAGACTGTAGTGAGACATTGCATCAACGATATTGCAAGCCTAAAGAATTAATCAATTAAAGAAAATTTTTCTTATTTAATTATTTATTGTCATACAGAAAAGATAAAATATCTTGTGACTATTGATATATGCATGCATACAGATTCAAAAGATGTGCCAAGTTACTGAGTGTTTGAAAAGAGAGGCTTCATAATTAAAATAATTAAATAAGGACTGCCAAAGAATTCATGTAACATTAGTGCAAGCTTTATCTTCAAAATTTTGATTCATCATTATAAAAGATGGAAAAGAAGTCCTCCAACACGCATCCATGTCTGAATACTGGAGAGCTGTAACAAAATTCTCAACAAGCATTTACCTGTCTCCTTGTCAGGCTTTGATGCAGATGTTGCACCTGCATCTGTAATGAGCTGCTCTCTACGATATTTAAGATTTCTTCTGGTCCCATTCAGATTGCTTCTGGAAGAAGAACCATATATATTAAAATTTATAATTTATTTTTAATTTAATTTTTGAAAAATTAGGTTTATTTCAAGACCTTCTGAAAGAAAGATAGAAGTGATTAAGATGACAATGCTCAGGTTGATTGAATAACAAAGAAAATCAGTTAAGAATTCATCACAGATTAAAAATCTTAAGTTTGGGGGTTTGTGTTGCACAAATATAGTGCAGACATTTTATAAGTCACCCCATGCCTTAGAAACCTCTCAACAGATGTGTGATCATTGCCTCAGAACATTCTGCCCTGGCTCCCATTTTTAACCATAAAGCTTTACTTCTTAAGAACCTAATAGAAGATACTGAAACTGCTGTCCCTTGACCTGCTTATACTCCAGGCTCTTCTGAAATACATTCTGGCTTTTTCTGCAGTAATTGTCACAAAATCTGAGTGGCTCTGTGAAGGAAGAGAATTATTTATTGTGGACTGTGACATCCTATGTTCTGATCTTACACACTGATTTTTCTGAGCATATCTATGAAATATTAGGAGTGTACAAGAATCTTGCACAGGACATTTGTGAGAACATTACACATTTACAATGGTGTGATTAACAGGATTTGCAGAATCTTCTGAAGGTTAATCAAGAAACTAAAAAGTATTACAGCTGAGCATGGGAACTAAGGTGAGATGTTCTTGGGTTGTGAAAGCTCAGAATTCATGATGAGATTTCCATGACCCTTGGTGTCTTATAAAATATTCACCCAATAGAAACAGAGTTGAATTTACCTATGAGCATTTTTATCATTCTTAAGGTGAACATCATCCTCATCTGCTTGTGTGCTATGTGATGGGGCTGCAGTGTTTCCATTGGAACATGAAGCCAATGCCCGCAATTGGAAAGCCAGTGCTACATGATACCGGCGATCCAAAGCTGCTAACCTTGCTGCTGCCTGATAATTTTCCAGTTCCACACACTGGCAACAAATTCAGAGAAATTTCTATTTAATTTATCAATGTATCCACACTAAGTAATTAAAAAAGTATTTAAAAAAAATGTGTTTGTTAAAATTTTTTTCTCCACAATAATAAACAAAATATTTTTATGTTCATTTTGAAAGAAAGCATATTTTTTAAATGACAGTACACTTGATATTTCCTACAATTCAAAATATGATTGAGTGTTTGTTATTGTTGTTGTTATTATTATATTATTATATTATTATTATTATTATTATTATTATTATTATTATTATTATTATTATTTAAAAATACAATTAACTCATATGCAAACAAACAAATTTAGTTTTATTTTGAATTAAATTCTACCCTGCAACCAAAATTTTCCAATGAAACAATCTTATCATTGATTATTGTTAAAAATGTCCTAAATAAAATAAAATTTCTATTTAACTCTGCGGGGGGAAAATTGATCAAGCTTTCAAAAGTTACCATGTTTATAATGTGGGTAAGCTTGATTAATTTGGACTGATTCAATGAAAATATAACACAATTCACACTCCTGTTACAAACAGCAGCTTTGGGCCTTATGGAATTGATGTCAATGTTTAGGCATCTAGTGAATAGCTTTTCTGAATATTTTTCCCAAAGCCAGTGTAGCAATGATAAGTGTCACTTATGCATTGGTTATCATTTCCCCTTTGATATAATTTATTTAATAATAAGCAATATTTTTAACATTATTTTTATAAATACTATATTAAAATATTTACAATAATTACACAATTAATCAAGAAAATCAATAATTGATTTCCAGAAAAATATTACTCTCATAAAAAGTTTGGAATTACAGAACTGGATCAAAGTTAATATGCTGGGCCATAATTAGAGACTTTGCAGCCTCAGAGGAACAGATGATATTGGGGGACATATTATATTATTTCTCCCATCCTAAACACTTTCATCTAGTTATGGTTCATGATGCCCTTAATAATTAAAGTAATTTAAATTGAATGAAACACTTTTTGATAAATGTCTTAATGATGGGTGCTAATGTCTTGTGATGAGCCACTATAAGCAAATGCTGGTTCACTCAACATTTTCACCACCAGCCAGGAATTCCAATTCTTCAAAATCACCCCTTTAAGAGCAGCTCACCTTTCTCTTGCTTTCTGTTTATCTGTCACCCTTTGAACATATCCCTCCAACAGTCACTAAGTGCACTTTCCCTTCCACTCTACACTCCTGAAATTCTGTACGCAAACTCCAAAGACCGACTGGGTCCCCATTCTTCTGGCAACCTTAAGGGCACATCAAAATATGACATACTCAAACTACCTTTTGAAACCTACCCGAGGAAAGACGGTATCCCATCAGCAATGGCTACAGCATTGAGTTGGTGATCTGCCGATTACATTAGCTTGACTTCCCTCATCGTTTTTCCTCCTCACTCTGCCCTCTCTATGAATATTCTCTTTCCCTGCTCCTTTCTGTCTCTCTTCCAGGGCACTTAAACAAATAAACAGTTCTTTGAAGTACTTCTGCTTATCATTTAACTCACCACACCCCCTTTCTCAATAAATTAAGTAAAAATCAATTCACAAGCCCAAGTGGTATGTCTCCCTAGCTGAAGTCAGTCAGTTTCTGAAAGAGCCCATCACAATATTATTTTTCATTCCAATTTAATCTTCTTTAGGAATGATCATTGGTGATTTTAGATATTTTATACCTTCGCACTATATTATATGGTCAAATTGTTCCCTGCAATCATTTTTCTCTAAAAATTATGTAAATAAGATTTTTGCAAATTCGCAAATATTAAAAAATATTTTTTTCCTCTTAAAAAAGCAACAAAAACCTAACAACAACACCACCAACTTCACTGTTTATAACTCAAAAAGATTTTTTCTTAAAACTTCTGAATTTTTTAAACTTTGAATGTTCAACTTTCTTTTTAAAGCATTGAAAAGGTTGTTATGCTGACTCAGATAGTTGGTGTAGTGGTTACATTAAATGTTTACTAAACCTAAGGCCCAAGTTTGAATTCCTGCATTGACAAATATTTTTGCAGGATCAAGTAATATTATATTACTAAACAGTTGCAAATAATGCAAGAAAGTATGTGGTGTTTAGCACCACCAGTTACATTTTAAGAATTCATCTCAACACATCAAGAGCCCAGATTTAAATTGTCTCACACAATGAAAATTTGCTCTTTCCGAAAAATACCCTTATGGAAGGTATTACACCATATAACTAACTCCCTAGCGCATTTAAAAGCTTAAACCCAATATCAACATTCAAAAATAAACTGAAAGCCTTCCTGTTAACCCATACATACAGTACAAAATAATATATACATCATAAACATGTTTCTACATCAATATAAATAAGTATTAATAATTTTTGTGTATTCAGTTGCATGTTTTGAACCCTCCAAGTGGTTGTTAAATATAAAGAATGGCCCCATCCCAGGCAGGAATCTCCTATGAAGGCATGAACCTCCTAAGACAATTTCCCCTCCTTTCTTTCTTTTTTATTATTATTGTTTTTCAATTTTAGTCTTCTAACACTTCCATTTATAAAATTAATTAGCATTGCTTTATATTGTATTTAGTACGCGAATTGAATTGAATTTTAATTTCTGTATTGTAGTATTTAATTTTTAGAAATACCTGTATTGAACATTGTATGATTATATACACATCCTGACTTGTCATACATGACTTATGCTGTATTTATGTGACAAATTTATTATTATTATTTCTATTATTACTATTGTTACTATTATTATTATTATTATTATTATTATTATTATTATTATTATTGTTTTTGTTGTTCCCACACTTGTTCTGTTTTTGGTTGAATTCTTACCTTTGCCATGAGTTGCTTAGCATCATATAGGCCATAAAATCTCTGAAGAGCAACGTGAAGAGTCAACAAACCATATGGAGGATTTTCTAATGATGCCAAGGGAGCAGGCAGAGTTACTTCAGAGCTACCACTTGCTTCTGACTTTGCCTGCAATGAAACCTCAAATTCATGCTGCGATAGTTTACCTTTAAGAACACATAATATTACAAGAAGGAAAAGAGCTTTATTTGTAATATATTTCCACTGACTATTTGCTTTATTTAGCTAATAGTTATAGTACCTTCTAAGCCTACAATACATGCCAATGATGAAGCTACTATCATAACTGAATTACGCATGTGAACATCATCTGAGATGTTGGTTGAGAAAGAAAGTTCCATCCAAGGCCCCTGTGGAGAGTTTGTGAACATGACATTGATTTACTTCAATAACTTTTTTTTTAAAGCTGGGTTATAATTTTCAAGAAATAAAATTTTAATGTAATAAGCATACAACTATTCAATAATAGAATTTAAAATATAGCTGTATATCTCTCTCTCTCTCTCTCTCTCTCTCTCTCTTTGTAGTATAAGAAAGGAACTAGATGACAAGAAAAGTTCATCCAGTTTTCATGCAATTTCTGAACAGAAACAAATGGAAATTAGACCAAAAACAGTTCTGTAAATGAACTCAAGAATGAAATGACAGCATCTTTAATTCATTTATGGGTTACAAATATTTTGAATGCATTCAAATTTTATAAAATATAAATTATTGTTCATTATTATAAAATATAATAAAATAAAATCTAACATTTACAAATGATTTGGGAATAAAGTTTTGACTTAATTGCAACAAAATAAAATAACAAGGATTTTCAAGTGTTTCTCATTTCCTTCTAAAATATTTTGATTATTTAAATTTGGTCACACATTTCTCCATACACTGTAAATAGGTATGAACAAAAATTACACCAGAAATTATTGAATATCTATAGCAATTATTTACTATTTATTACCTTTATCTTTGACCCCTCTCCCCCTCCATATGTTCTCAAGGTTTATAATATTTACTCTAAGACACCACGAATATAACAAGAAATGCCACAAAAATAACTCCCCCCTGCCTTACAATAAAAAAATCAAGAGGAAGCAATTTACTACTTATATGAACAAGGTATATCCACTTTTTTGTTACCAGGGCCCGGAAATACGAGTTGAAAATTCACTGTTTTCTGGTGCATGATTGTGATATTTTCTCTTCTTACATACGTAATGGTAAGAAAGTAATAAGTTAGTACACCTACCTGGGAGGAGTCAGAAGCAGCATAACTGAAAGCTGGGACTGGTAAGCCAGCGACCTCCCGGGGCAGATCACACGAATTGTGCATACCATGTGGGAGCTTTATCACTCGCTTCGACGTCTTCAGCATGACCAACTTGCCTTCTAGAGGCTTGCTGTCTTCTACAGGAGGGAAACCCAACTAGAACACATTGATTATTTTTCTTTTTGCAGAATGCTTAGGACAATGAGGATTCTATTGGGTGTCTTCTAAAAGTTAATTAACAGCAAAGCACAAGATTTACATTTTAAGAGTAAGGATAGTAAAATGTGATTGGTAAAACTGAATGTGAAGAGATCCTCTGGCCTTTTGGAGACCATACTTTTTTTATCAACTGTTAAAAATTTTAAAATGGTGAATAAATAAGATACTAACTGATCTTAAGTTAAGAATTTCTTGAAAATAAAAATCGTCACAATGTCAATATTCAGCTGACATGTTTTTAGCAGTACATAGGGAAGAAAAATAACCAGGACATTAAAAATCATTGCACAAACTAGACAAATAGGAATTTCATTTTCATAATCTTTCTTATTGCCTTTCTTGCTGTCCTTGTCTCTTACCCAAATTACTAATTTTTTCCCCCTCAGCCTGATGAGAGACTTGTATCTCAAAAGAACTAAAAAATTGATAATGGCAGTGTAAAAATTCACAAAATTGAAAATATTTGTAATTTGTTAAATGCTTATTCCTCAATATCAAAAATACTTTATCGAGAGGTTTAAAGTCACAAAAGACAATGACCTGATTTAGTCACAAATACCCCATGGCTCATAGACCTTAACCTTTGAAATTACAACTGTCCTCAAAACTGTTTATCACAGTGTGCAAGCTTGTGATAGGACAGATGTATGTCAAGTATTCTTGTAGCTTGAAAACTTCTAAAACTAGGGAGGTGACTGTATAATGGCAATGTAGAATTGAAGCATTGGTGTTAGATGAACCAGTGTATTTCCTATATGAACAGGCAGCACGTTAAACATGAATTCTTTTGCTTGAGTATCCTCTTAAACATTTTATTCCTTTGCATTGAGCCAGATTACATTGTTATTTTTTGCTCATCCCCTACAGTGAGTTAGTTTAGAATAATAATTTAATTGATTGTGCTCAATTAATGTACTTTTTATGCTTTGTTTTTTATGTAGGATTATATTGCATACCCAGTCACTTCAAGAGAATGCTTGGAGGAGCTAAAATAATTCAGTTGTTTTAGCTTTCTCTGGTTCGTTTAAGTCAATACTTGATTATTGTCACCCCTTTTGGTGTACCTTAAATGTAGTGGGTTGTTCATTCATGCCATAAGAACAATGGGAGCATTTGTTACCTGTGCATGTGCGTTGCTACCCCAGGCCCACACTCTACCACTTCCAGTAGCTTCCAGAGCTACAGTGAACTCACAGCCACAGCACACCTGTTGCAGGCACGCTCTGTCCAGTACAGATCCAGGCAACACATTGGATATTCCTCCAACTGCAGTTGCTTGCTGTAGAAAGGACAAAGATCTTATTTGAGCTATGTTTATAATGCTATTTGGAAAACCTAACTTAAGTTTAATGCACTAAAGTATGAGTAATTGACATGTTGAGATGATCACCTCAGCAAAAATTATATTTTTGAGTATTTAGAAAAACATCACTTTATATATATCTGAAAGACATACTATTCAAATACATAAATTTAAAAGTGGCAATTGCCTGTAGAATGTATATTATTAAATTTTCAATACACAAAAAAAATTGGAACAAAACTATGCTGCCTTTGGCCGAATGAAGGATGTCCACCGTTTTGTTAAATACCCAGGAATTTGTGAAAGATTTAAAAAAATCAATTTGATTTGGACAGAAAAACACAAATAAATGATTGTTTTATTCCACTAACTCTCATATTGGATGACTCAACTGAAGTCTCATGTTCACTGTGACACAACCAAGGTCATAAGACGCCAAAGCTCTAAGGAAGAGGATGTCTGCCTTTAAATATTTGCCATTCATCTCTTGCGTTACAGATCAATTTTTCTATATTCTTGGTTTGTAAAGAGCTGTTAATATAATGTATCTATATCTATATATCTATATACATATATAATATATATCTATATCTATCTATCTATATTATTGTGTGTGATTTTGTTCAGCAGTATTTTTGTTGCTTTTATTGTATTTCAGGTTGATTTTGGCCAACAATGGTTGGAAACTCTTCTGTTTCACAATTTATCAAGGTCATTTATTGACAATAGAGGGGAAAGGAATTTTCTATCAGGAAGAATTTTGAAGAATTCCGACTAGTATACAACTTGCATATTGCATACCTGTTTGATGAAATACAGCATCAGTAGTTTTGTTTGGTCCTATGACTATGAATAGAAGAAGGTATTATCAATGTTCTAAATGATATTCTGAAGAATGAATCTGAGGCCAAGTGGGTGGATTTGTAATCGAATGAAGAAAGGGAAGAATATGTGGTTTCAGACATATCATCAGAAAATGATAGAGTAAATGACTTGATGTACATAATGTTGAAGCAGGTATGCGAGTTTGCATTGTAATCAATGAGCTGATTACATACATTCCTTCTAAAACATTTAGGTTAAAACAGTTATGTTTGTAAATATAATTGATAATATAGTATGATTAGTACCTTAATGCACGACTCATTTACATTCCATTTTGCAAAATGGAATGTAAATGAGTCGTGCATTAAGGTCTTGCAATTTATGATTACAGAAAAAAATTTGGAACACATAGTAACTTGCACTCAACTCTCTGACAGAAGCATGAGATATTGCATCAGGCAATTGGACTATGAAAACTGCTAAACTGGAAGCTTTCTTAGCAATATTGTACATGCATGATGCTGTACAATTTAGGAGTTTAGAATGGGACACATAGTTCGGTGAAATCAAGTATGGCTAGAAACAAGTTCCGAGAAATAATGCATTTGATCTGCAAGTTTGTTAAGGCTGGAAGAAGACAAGTTTGCACTGGTGTCTGAAATCTGGTATGACTTCATTGATGCAAATGCATAAAGTAGCTACATACCAGGGCCATAAATAACAACTGATGAGCAACTTTTTCCGTTCACTTAATACATGCCTTCAAAACCAAATACAGGAAAAAGACATTGTATGAGTGCTACACAAAGATTCCAAATACATTGTGAATGTTTTCTCTCATCTAGGAGAAAATGAGAGAAATCAGAATGATGGGTGTCTGAGGATTTTGTTGTTAAAAAATATGAATAAGGGGAGAAATGTAAGTGACAATTTTTGTCTTCCCTGGCGCTCCATGAATATTTAAAAGCAAATGGTGCAAGTATTGTAGGTACCATAAATCAATCTAGAAGGAAAATACCAGTTTGCTCCAAAAATTTAAAAAGAGGGATTACAGAGTCTGTTAAAGATGGATGATACTACATAGACCATTCATCAGGGAAACCAAGAAGAACATTCTGTTTCTTACCACTGTGTATTTTGATGTGAAAACTGAAACTGGTGTAAAAAAGAAGTCATATACAATGTAATTTTACAACTCATCCAACCATGCTGTCGACAGGCTCATTCAAATGGCTCACAAATACTCACACAATGCACCCTCGTGACACTAGCCCGTTCACACACTTAACAAGGTGCTGGGCTTAACTGATCATAACTGAGTTCTATGCAATTCTCTGAATGCCAAGAAATGCAAAGACTTCATTATACAAAATAATATAAAATCACAAACAGAAATGGTGAATAAAAGTGACCTATCCATGGACCTAGGCAAGACACAACATCAATGGTTCTAGAGTCAATATAATTTAATCACTCTAAAAATTTAAATCCCTAATTATTTGTTTACATTTTAAATACCATAAAAGGTGATTTTAAAAATTCTAACATTGCCAAAATAATGACCATCCATACAAGTAAATATTTTGTAATCTCCAGCCTCACCTTTAAGCTGACAGTGGGTGTACAGCCCAGAGGAGCTGGTGCAGGAACTTCCTTCCGAGATCCGTTCCCAACTTGCCCATCCAGGTTGCGACCCCACACATATAGGGTGCCATCGCTGCTTAGGAGTGCTGAGTGATGGCAGCCACATGCAATCTAAGAAGAAAAACAACACTTGTATTAACTGAAAAATAAATTCTAAAATCCTTTAACTACAAAAATTATAAAATAAAAAATAAAACATAAACATATATTAATACAGAGTTTGTCATAAAAAACAACAGTTGTTTCAAATAATATATTTCTCTGACACAGCCCATATAATAAAAACTTTTCTCCTTATGTGAAATGATATTCCAGATATCATGACCATTCTCAACTGTGAGATCCCGATAGTCTTACTCTTCTGAAGTATGATACATTTCTGCCAAATATCTTCCTTTGAAGTTTGGGTGAATCCCAATATTCAAATACTAGAGCATTGGCTGGGACTGATCTTTTTAAAATAACCTGCAATGTGTGGCAGCAGTCTGACTTTGGGAGAATAGAGCTCACACCCCATGTTCTCTTTCTCTCTTGTGTGGGTTAGAACCTACACAATTCTGTATGGGTATTATTAGAATGGTGAGAGAACAGAAGGTGATAGTGCTTTGAACAACACATTGCAAAGAAATTTCTCACTCCAGAAACTATTCAGCCATTTTCATTTTTACACACACTCGCACAACATTGTGTAGAAGAGTGTCGCTTCTGGATTCATGTGTTTGAGTGTATAAGTGTTTCAGAGACAAAAAAGAGCATATGCAGAATGAACTGCACGAAAGTCATTTCTCTTAGTTCCAAAAAAGTTCAGAGAACCCATACAGCTGGAAAAGTGGAGGCCATATATTTTAGGGACTTCCTTTATCAGAGAATGGAGTTATCTATTTAGACTTTCTTACATGTCAGAATAAATGAAGGAAAATATCCTATACAACAAGAAAGAAGGAAGATGCAAAATATCTAGCCTTCCTTCAAGAAAATGCCCTCCCACACAATCAAAACAATCCATACACTGGCAAATATCAGCATACTGAAAATGTATCTTTCATTCTGAATTGGCTGCTCCAAGAGGGCCTGGCTTATGAAGGCATGTACATAATGAATCTGCTACTGACAGAGTTTGAGAGAAGATGTGCAGCCAATCAGGATGGGAGTACTTTGAAAGGTGTGATGCACAAATAAGTAATGGCAACGATGGACTGGTTAATTAGTCCTTGTCACAACTGAACACCCTAGTGCATCTGAATACCCTTTGTTTTTTCTGATTGCTAGTTCATTGGCTCAGATTAAATAATGTAGAAAAAATTAATTAATAACACAAAATAATTTAAAATCAATACCTAAAAATTAACTAAATATTTATATTTTATCACATCAAATCATTTGATTAATCAAAACCATTATTAAAAATTCAATTTCACAGCTTTGTTATAAATAGCATATTTTCTAGCAAAGTTATAGCTATCTTTTCTGTTATTGCAGAATACTGGAATGTTGAGGTATTTCATTGCAGGGTACCTATCAGCCTAAATATAGGCCTGCATAACATCTTGGCAACTTCTCACCAGAGACATGAGAACAGACAAAACAACACATGTAATGACTTCACATGCAATTTGAAATGCATGCTGATATGTTACCTGTGCCACAGTGCCCACAACTTGTGCCAAATCCACCTGCTGAGGCAAGAGGTGGGCCTGGGCCTCATCTGTCTCAGCACCTCCTGTGCTGCCGGCAACCCCTAGGCCCTGTACAAATCACCATATCATTTAGACATGATAGCAGGGTCAACACATGTCATGCATTGACAGACAACAAGTCTTGGGAAGAGACTTTTACCTCATAAAAAAAACCCCACAGAATTGTCATCAGTGTATAACACAACACCATATTGTATCTGAATTCTAATCATCTAATCATTCCTGTCTGGTTAAAAAACTTAACTACCATTATCTGATACAAAAAAAGCATGGGATTGACATTTGCTGAAACATTTCCATGAAAATCACCCATCTAAAATTTCTCGGACCAGTTTGAAGTTGAGTAACATAATGGCTGATTGTTTTGTAAGTTTCAACTCCATACTTATTATAATTGAAGGAAATAGTTTACAGAATTAATTATTTCAATGACACTTCTACTTTCAGTGATGAGTGATGACACAGGCATACAAAAAAGAAGTTGTCAGACCAAAAGACTTGACACGTGCTTCTCTATGTATGTCGACACATTGAATCCAAAGCTGAAGCCAGAATTGCACCATCACCCACCTTTCTTTTTTAAACACAAAAGCCTATCGTGACATTGTAATTTTTATTTCCAGGGGATGTTGTCAGATCCGAAGACATAATAGAGGTTTTTCTATGTATTTCGAGGTGCTGAATCTGAAGCCAGAATAGAGAAACATCAGCACCTCAAATATATACAGAAACCTGTATCAAGTCTTTGGGTTTGACAACATCCCCTAGAAACAAAAAATACAATGTCACGATGGGCTTTTGTATTTAAATAAGGAGGGTGATGATACAATTCTGGCTTCAGATTTGGATTCAGTGCATCAAAATACATAGAGAAATATGTGTCAAGTCTAGGTTTGACAACAGTTTTTTTTGCGAGCCTGCGTTATCAATCACATATTTGTTAAGAACTCTAACATTTTCCAGAAGATTCTTTCTTTATTTCAACTCTTGTACTCTCCTAACACATGATTCACAAATAAGATCAGCAATTCTCTCACTTCTCTATTACCCAAGCTCAAAAGTGATCAATTTTCTAATTTCCTCAAATCCATATACTTTTAATCAAAAAGTAGTGCATTAGGATATATTTAGCAAGCCTGCCCACATTTATCTTGAAAACCAATATTGAGACATAAATTTTCCGTATATCAGTAGAACAGTCAATAGATTTAACAACGATAAAATTTACATGGATAATATAATTAATATTTTCAACACTTCCATAGCCTTATTGAATAGTTTGTGTATTCTTGCACATCTGCTAAAAATTATACCAATTCCATTCCATTAGCAAGAGAAAATTTTGAGTAAAGCGTCGCCTGTGATGATTGTGAAAGTGCCCCCTTATGTGAGGTCATTAATTTCTATGAAAGATGGACAAAAATTCTTCTTAGCACACAGTGGATTCTCAATCTCACACAAATGTAATTTGTCTAATCACTGTTCACACACCAAGTACATCAAAAATACTTTTCTATGTAATAAATTAGAAACTAGAATATTAACATTAGAAGATATGGACATTCAAATAAACAGTGTTAGAATATCTTTATATGAAAAGGTGCACAAGCTTGCTCTAGACCTAAAGACTTTCACAAGAAGAGTATTTATTTCTCTGTTTACATATCGAAGTTTGGAGATTTCTAAGATGGGAAAGATATTTCATACTACTGGAAAATTCTGATAATGAATCTAAAACTATGATTTCAAGAGAACAAAGATGCAGATCTAACATTTCCAAGACTTGCTGACTGTGTATTTGAGAATGTCTGTAAGTATGGAAAAGTAAAGGGAAATAAGACAGTGAGTACTACACACTAACAGATGGACCTGTATGATAAAACAATGAAAACATAAATGAAATATTTCTCACAAAATTAACAAATAACATGCAACATTTATTTTCCATATTTAATAACAACTAGAAGAACAGACCAGGCAATAAGGTGACCATGCTACAGATCTATTTTTTGATGTGTCAGAGAAAAGATGCACAATTTTATAGACTCAAATAAGAAAAGGATTGCTAGCTTAATTCTGATCCTTTAAAAAAATATTTTTTTACATATATGCAATTACTTTGACTTGTCCTTTTGTTCTGTCAATACTTTTCTGTTTGCAATCACATACATTTGAAATAAAACTACACCAGTTTTTTAAAAAGTATTAAAATTTTTCACCAAAAGCAAGTTTATGATACACTATTCAATTTTAATTTTATTTCAAAGTACTTGGCTTACTTTTACCAGCACAAAGTTTTTAACAGTATCCTTAATTTTCTTGCAATCAACTGAACATTGACAATTACACAGCACAGTCTCTGCCAATTAATATTGGCAATTCTTTAAAATTCTGAGTCATGAATGTGCAATGCGACATATATTATAACCCATAAAATTTTGCTTCCAATAAACTTTTAGCAAAGACAACTAAATTCATTTTACATCAATTCATTTTATACACATATCACTAAATGATATTCAATACTGTATATCATTTTTTTGCTACGTTTCAGAGAATTCCTGTCTCCATCTTCAGGTTAAAATTTATACAAAACCACAACATAAATATATATTCTATCTCCTAATACACATTTCTGATTGACCATATCTAATGTATAATTTGAGATAACTGAAATATATGTAGGTGTTGAGTGACAATTAATGAACTTTGGCATGTAATTTAGGTGCATGTATGATGCATACTTAACCATGATTTTGTGGATCTATGAAATTGACTTAAAATGTTTACCTAATAGATTCTTTGACACAGGTTAATTTTTAGTACACATATAACATAAGTAAAAAATGTGTATAAGAGATAGAATATATATTTATGTTGTAGTTTTGTATGAATTTTAGCTTGAAGATTTAAGCCTGAGTTCCTGAAACATAGCAAAAGAATGATATGCAGTATTGTAAAGAGTGATATGAGTATAAAATGTAATTGATGTAAAATAAAATTAGTTGCAGCCAAAAGTTTTTTGGCCAGGTTGATACATTCTGCATGTATTTACCATAAAAAATAAGTAAATGATTGATTATTGAATAATTTTTTCATTACTAAGACATTTCATCTACAAACCATATCATTCATAATAAACAAGTGAATTCTACTATTGTACACACTGCAGTTGACCATTTAGTCAAGTTTAATCTGCCCACATCGCCTTCATTCCCATAGATGAGAGAGAAGTGATGGGATTTAGTTATTTCAATTGCAATATTATCAAATCAAATCTCTACCTTGTTTGTCACAGTGAATATTTGCAAGGAAGAAAAACTTCATGTTACGGTATTAATATTTGTCGACAATGTTCATGTTCATTTTTATTCATAGTTCAACTATGTTGGTAAAGGAGAACAGAGGAGGGAGGGACTCCGAACTCAAAAACGTGTGTGTAATATAACACACATACTACTCTAAACAGAGATATTGCCATAGGAGACAAGATACCACTAATATCGTGCAGTGTTTATGATTCACATTCATTAATTTGAATATATCATTATTTATGTCAACAAGCAGTAAAGGAAATTGCTGCCTATTTTCTAAATTTTGAAAAATTTTTTATAGTAGTAAAAAAATGAATAAAACATGAATTTTCTCAAAATTTCTTATTTGCTTTCATCCAAAAATCAAATTTTTGTCTTAGAATTTTCTTCATAAGCAAGTCTGAAGCAAAACATCTTTATACAGTATAACAAATAATTATTATCAGGAGTACAAATATAAGGTATAACTAAAAAGGGAAAAATTATGAATCTAAAAGGAATGAGATTAAAAAAATTAAAAAGAACATGGCACAAGCACATAGGATGGTGATACTCCGTTCGTGAAAGCAACAACAGTGATGCACAACAATTGCTAAACACATATATACTATATTTAACCAAATACAAAACAAGCTTTTTCCTAAATATATTACTTAATAAAAAGATTGTGTAACATTCAGAGATTAAGTCTGGTTGCTCATGTATTGTATTTTTACACTTCCTTCCCATGGCAAGCAGAAACTCAAATGCTGATGAAACCGTAAGTGGCAAAGGCAATAAATATCATATGCTCCTGTAATCCCCAATTATATTTATGGATGTATTTTGAATGGGCTGATGAAGAGAAAATCTCAAACAAATGACATTGTAGTACATGAAATGCAACATGAAAATGAAAAAAACATTGCTGAGATGTTGTTACATAATGCATTGATTTAAAAGGCCACGCAAACTCTCAGTTGGAGCCTGGCAAGTGCAAATCAGCATTTTCATGAAAAGAAATGAGAAAATTGCACTGATAGAAGTGTGCATTCTACATACAACCTCAGAGAAAGAATGATATAAATATATTTTCTTAGGAAAGAAGTCATAAGATTTTTAGCCAAAAATAATTTAATGACCTGAACACTGAATTTAAAAAAAAAGTGATATACGTAAACCCACTCACAAGAAAATTTATTATAAATATTCCAAAGAACACTGTAAAGACCTTCTTCAAACCAGTCCAATAATTACAGTGATATAAATTTTTCTTTTACTTTATGTAATTTTTTTTACTACTATTCTTACCTTTTGTCTAAAAAAAAGTAAGACAATACAAAACACTTTTCGACACCCATTTACTTGTGATAAAGCAGGTTTGCACATAGGCTTAAGCCTCTGCAGAATAATGTATTCATTATTTGTATTTATTATTACAACAATAAACTGAATTGAATTGAACTTCTCAAACTTTCAAGCTTCATGTTCTCTCCCATATTACTTGTTAAATAGAGGCACGGAGATGAGTTCTCAGTTCATAACTCGATCTCAAAAACATTAAATGAAACAAATTTCAAGTACATCCTTTTAACTAAACAAAAGAAATGAAGAAGAACATGACCGGAGGAACATTTTGGGATTACAAAAGGGAGTGTACTTAAATGGTGTCAGATGAAAGCCGAATGCAAATTCAGAGTTCAAAACTTTCAGGGTGGCATAAAAAGATGGAGTATCCCCATCATACACTATGGGAAAAGGACCAAAAAGAAACATTGACATATGTGATTGTAAAAGTGACGAAAATCATGATTAAGACGATTTGAAGGATCAAGAAACTATTCATAGCTCAGGCAATACTGTTTTAACACTCTCGTTAACAAGCCCATTTTCTAGTCAATTAGACAATTTGAAATATTATTTTGACTAAATAGTAAGAATTAGTTAAAAATGAAAACAGAAAAATAAGGATACCTCTTCAAAATATGGAGGTTGTCTTGTATTGAGTGTGAAGTGTATATATATATAGTAGTAGTGAGTAGTAGTAGTGAGTAGTGAGTAGTAGTAGTGAGTAGTGAGTAGTAGTAGTGAGTAGTGAGTAGTAGTAGTGAGTAGTAGTAGTAGTGAGTAGTAGTAGTGAGTAGTGAGTAGTAGTAGTAGTGAGTAGCAGTAGCAGTAGTAGCAGTAGCAGTAGCAGTAGGAGTAGCAGTAGGAGTAGCAGTAGGAGTAGCAGTAGCAGTAGCAGTAGCAGTAGCAGTAGCAGTAGTAGTAGTAGTAGTAGTAGTATATATATATAGTATAAATAATACAAATAGTACATGCAATGGATGGAATTCATTATAAAGGAAAATATTTACAAGTTTGTAACTATATGAACATCTGTTATCTGCACTGTATCTCTCAGAAACAAATGCTTTTTGTTCTTATTTTACTTTGAATTAGAAAAATCTTGAAATGTTTCTGCATCATTGCTATTTTTGCTCAGAGAATTTTCTGGAAACTTTCAGTACTCTTTTACCAGCCAATGTAGACTCAATAGAGCATTTGCATCTCAGCGATGTAGTGGAACTACTTCAAGGAGTGCCTTCACCACTGCAAGTAGTACTTGGTTTTTGGTCCATGAAAATTTGGATGAAAGTGAACAAAACTTCATGTAGTATAGAAATAAAAGAGCTATAATAACATCATTGTTACAACACAACAATGGAGAATATTATTCAGAGGGAATTGGATGTTATTGATTTGTCTACATAAGATCGAATGTTGTAACTGAATTCTCAAATCTTTCATGAGAAATACTCAGTGATTAAAAACAACAACTTTGGATAAAATAATATTGATCATCATGGATTAGCTACATTTCCATGAACAAATATATTTCCGTAAATATAAATCTGTATGGCACCTTGTATGATATAGGACTTTGGAAATTAAAATAAACAACAAAAGTAATAAAAGTACATTGCTTTGGCAGCATGCTTCCTAATTGCCTAACTTTTTTGAAGCACACACACACATGTACCAAGACATTCAGACATGTACCAAGTTGTGCATCACTGAAGGAGGACTTGTACTGAACTTTCGCGAATATCAATTGTTGTTGTCTTATAAGATGATATAATTCATTATTACCAGAGAAATCTACACACTAATTCTAAATTTTGGAATGAAAATGGTCATTTTAATAAAAATGTTTCTATCTAACTTCACCTCTTTTAGAGGTACGTTTTTTCATTATATCTCCATCAAAATGCCTAAAACTATTTCTACTTTACTGGTGTTGGTTTGTGTTTTGTACAGGCAAATGCCATAATCATGCAGATGCACAAGCAACTGAAAGCAGAAGGGACGGCCTTGTACAGTACATCAGCACAATGCATTTACCATCTATTGCAGCTCTCCTTGATGGAAAACTATCAGCTTATGCCACAAATTACATTATAGACTAACAATGACATTTTATCTGCCTAATTGAATACTTTATCCATCTTTTTTCAATTAAAAATTAAATGAATTTTTAAAAACTGTTGTTATATTATAATATAATATTACAAAACTTCTTGAAGATCAGGATCTCATGAGCAGTCATCAGCATTATCTTTAAAAAATATCTTTACTTCTAAAAGAAAAACTATCTGAAGAGAACAAAAATTGTCTCATCGATACTTCATTTCTATTTAGAATTTACGGAAGACATATAACCACTGAAATTTCATCAAAATCAGCCGATTATCAAAATTCAAGTAACAAAAATTACCGAGATTTAATGGAAAATACAACTATATTGTAATACAAATATTTCTTAATACTGGTAAACATTTTGCTTGAAAAACTTAATATTTTCCATTTAAACAGTTTCACAAAGCTGTACAGGAATATTATGAGGAACAGTTACATCACCACTAGCAAAATAAAAACTGCATTAAAAGGGTTTTGAGCATAAGCAGATAAATTTTTCCAGCTGAAGCCAAAACTTGAGACTAATCTCCAAGTCAGTCCAAGTCCCCAACGTAAGCATACAGAGCACTGAGGAAAGGCAGCACAAGGCCACACTTACGGGGCTTGTGGAGTTAGTGGGCACAGACGGAGGGCTGAGACCCTTGAACTCTACAGTAGGGCTGACCACAATAGCAGGGAGGCCTGGCGCGACCAGCTCCTCCGCCTCCAGCTTTGCCACCTCTGGAAACTCCTCGTCAAACAGCACTTCCGGTGTCGTACTTACTTTACTAGGCAATGACTCAGACAACCCAAAAGAACGATCGGCTGCAGTTGCTTTTCTTGGAGAGTCCCCAATGTTTTCCAATGTCAACCGCGCTTTGAGAGCCTGTCTGGTGTCTGCGTCGGTTGCATTGCCATTGGGCATGTTCGTTGTGAGGTTCTTTGTGGTCTCTCTGCCAGCTGCTGCTGAGTGAGGGTCAGGTGAGCTTGGTATGTGGGAGGCCGAAGTTCCATCAGATGAGGGGTGGGAACCAGTGGGGTTGGAAACAGAGATATTGCCATTGTCCACAGCCTCTGATGAAGGCACAGAAGATGGAGCGGCTGCTGCAGCAGCTGCGGCTGCAGCCGCTGCCTGAACGCTCTGCTGTTGCAGCAGACGCGCCTTCTTCTGGGCTTGAGCCTGCAGCCGCAAAACTTGGGGACTAGAGCCCCATGTGTACAATTTGTTGCTGCGGCTCACTGCCAACTGAAAAGAGAAAGACAAAATCACAACCATTTTCACTCATAATATACTTATTGATAATCCAAATAACAAAGTACAACACTAAAAGAGCTTCCTTTTTCCCCAATAATCCTCAATACTCTGTACGGTCAATATTGATTCAAAGAACTTTCAACTAAAAGAATTTTGCTAGTTTCTAAACCTTGAATGAAGTTACATTTTCATTAATGTAACTGCTCAGCTTATGGGCAATGGCCTCTACAATGGTATAATTCAATTAAATTCAATGAAAGAGCATTTCATTTATTGTAAATTTTATAACTTTTGGTACAATAAAAATATTTCTTACATGTTATTTAGTTTTATTAAACAAATTATTTGTCAATGTTCTTTAGAAACTCTATGACGACATTAATACATTTTCAGTCCTTTGTAAAATTTTAACTGTAAAAACAGAAGATATCACAATTCAAACATTTGCTTTCATAAAGTTGATTAAGTATGTCAATCTTTTTTTCAGAGGTTTCACTTCTGATGGTGAGTTCAGGTGCTGATAATAAGATTTAGTATCATAACTTAAATTTGAATGCTAAAGTTTGTAATATTTTATCTATTTATTTCTCTCAAAAGTGAAAAATGAGCAAGAACATTAAGCCATAGGTTTACAAATCAAATAGTTGATGTAGATTGTGATGAAGTTTCAATACTATAGTTACTCACATTATGAAAATAGCCTGTTGCAACAAGCACACAGGGTTCTGGTAGAGCAGTGACCTTAACTGGGACTGTGCTTTTGGCACTGCTACCATTTCCCAGCTGACCAAAAACATTGGAGCCAAAGGTGAACACACTTCCATCAGCTGCCAGCACTAGGGAGTGGCCGTGGCCACCACTCACTTGTATAACTGGCTGAAAACAGAACAAATACTCACCTGCTGCGTGCAATTACAGCCAAGTTGTTATGCTTATGAAAATAATTTTTTAATTACAAGTTTGCGACATTGGCTTGAATTGCAATAGCTAGAATCTCAATGTAGCCATTGTTGGATGGTCTCAGTACGATATTCATGAACAGATGATGTGATTTCATGTCAAAACATTAGAAAAAAAAAAAAAATATTAATAATTTTTTTGTTAACTTGATTACCATATTTACCTGAATTTAATATGATCCTCAAATTTTGAAGAGGCCTTCTGCACTTTTTAATTTTTTAATTAATTCTTGTTATTTTCAAATTAAATTGCAAATTGATTAAATCAAAAATTGTCTTATTAATGAGAATGTTAAAACTTAGTATTGCCTGAATTATCACTACGTTCTTGTTCCTCAAAGTCATCATTATCACGGTTTTTGTCACTACCATCTTCACAAATAACATTTTTCTTTCTTTTTGGTCCTTCTCTCATTCTGCATCTTTTCCCATCCTGAAAGTTTTGGCATTTAATCTGCATTTCTCTTTCATCTGACACCACTTAAGAACCTTCCCTTTTGAATCATAAGATTTTCTTCCTGTCACTCTCTTCTTTGTGGCCTCTGATTCTTTAACAGAATGTATCTGAAAAGCTTAAGTTGTGAACTGCATACTTGTACATCTCTGTTTTCCAAATATTACTCACGCAACTTTTCTTGAACATTGGATTGAAGAAATGTGGGTAGAGTAGGGGTATTAGTTACGAAATCGGCCACTAGATTTTATGAAGCAATGCCAATCTCTGAAGAATCAGTCTTGGCTTTGCAACTTTCTCAATAATTTGCGTTCTAACTTTTGCAGGAGTTTGAGGTATCTCTTGTGATAGGTCTTAATCTGCATCAGTCATTTTTTGAGATTTTTGGAAAAAAATAACGGATAGATGCATTCAAAAGAAAATTGTTTCTATTTCACGTCAATGAAGATGAGTTTGGAATGTTGTCTTCAGTGCTCGCTGCGAGCTTTTGCCTTCAACTGTTTATTGTGCCAGAGAGGGGGAAGCAAGGTCATTGTTCAAGAAAAGTTGCATGCGAGTAATACTAACATGGAAGAGAGCTGCAACCTTCCAATTTCAAGAAGTTTTCCTACGAAAATACTTTTTTACATATTGTGTCTCTGGGATTGTATGTAGAATACTTGTAACTGTGATTTTCTCATTTCCTCATTTGCAAAACACAAATTTGCATCTGCCAGGCATTGAAAGAAGAGGTCGTGTGACCTTATCAATCAGTGCATTGGGTAACAAAATCTCTGCACTGGTGTTTATTCTTTTTCACCTTCTATAATGGTATTTGTGATTTTCTCTTTATTGGCCCGTACAAAACTATTGATATGAATTGCTCTGCAAATTTGGAATGGATGCCAATAATACATCCATAAATATAATAAGGTATTATACATTTGTGTGATACTCATTACCTTTACAGTTTATAGTTTTTTCAGCATTTGAGTTTGGCATGTAAGGACAGAGTAAAATATAAATCCTAACCAATAAGGTTAAACTGTCAATATTAGATGATCCCTTATTTTCCAAATGAGAAATTTAGGAAAATATATTCGACTTATATTCACGTAAATATGGTATTTTAAAAATGTATGTAGAATATCAGCTAAGTATTGCTACTGTGATAATTATATAATAACAACAATATACAAACCTGTTCTGTTAAACGTTCCACTAACTTTGGCAGCCGTTCATCTTCCACAGAGCGGTGTCCCAGTTGGCCATGGACACCCCAACCCCAAGAAAAAAGTCTGGAACATCGTGAGAATACCTGGTTGTAACAGCAAATCAACAAACTTCTTGATTTTAGTTATTTTGATTGTCATTTTATTCACACACAAAAAAATATTAAGACCACAAAAGATATAAATATTCCTGCCTAGAATCAAAAACATAAAATTAGTATCTGGTTGAGAGCCGGGAAGTTTGGAAAGATGTTTTTTTATTATTGTTATGATTTCATGATTAATGACAATAGGAATCATTTAATTGGATTTCTGGAGTTGTTTTAGTAGATTTTCATTTTGTCTATATTGGCTTCTGATGCCTATTTCTGCCTTATTTATGCCTTTTTTGTTGTTATTTTCCATTTCCCCCCTCCCGGTACCAATCTATGTCAAGTCGGAATCATACCTGCAAGCCTGGACAACATGAAGGCAAGGTCATGCGTTGACTTTCTGTCAAGTTGTGTTAAAAACCTAAAAGGAAAAGGAAGATGATACCAGCGAAGATTTGTGATATTTTTCATTGATGCTAACAGACTTGTTTGCTCATGAGGAACTTGCTATATGTTTGAGTATGGCCTCAGATCCCTTTTTAGGACAGAGCTCTATACATGATACATCCTTGTCAGTTCCCTCTTGTTCTCTCTTCTCTTCTGGGGATTACACAAGTACGAAGAACGAAATCTTTAATTCTGTTTTCAATAATAGCATTTTAAGATTCAAAAGTGAGTCCAAAATAGCATTTTGTAGAGGCAGCATCATGAGAAAAATAAATTCAGTCATAGTACCGGATGGCCACATGCAATCAAGATTACCAAGAAAAGATAATTTCTTTTCTTGAAAGTGGTAATGTAAATTTTGGCTAGAATAAATATGTGAATAATTTAGCTATTAATTTTTTTTACAATAATTAGTTTTAAATAATGATTTTTCGATGTTGTCTGTGTTTAACACTCCTACTTTAGCCAGAATAAATGCCTTTTCTGAGTGCTTATTTTAGTAAAAATAAATGACTTTTTGCCTGCCTACTTAAAGTAAAATAAATAACTGAACTTCCGGGCTCTAATTATCATTTTAGATTTATTTATGACAATCTTTTGTATAAAATAAAAAAAAATTCCCTTTTCTTTCCCTTCCCTTTAGCGCTTTCCATTCCTTAACATGTTATCCTGAGACATCATTTAATGGTAACAAACTAAAATGCTATAAGCAAGATAATAAGAGATGAGCTTTGATTTTGAACTTGGTACAAATTTATATATTGTTGTATGTTATATATTTTCAGTGAATTACTTACTTCCTCATCATGAAAACAGAAGAGGTTTTCTTTCACACATTAAGAAAAATATAATTTCATTTGAAATCACTGCCTTTTTCATGATTGATCACTTTCAACAATGGGATCAAATTCTCCAACAAATCTTACACCATCTTCTATCATGATGTAAGTTGAACAATCTCTTCTTCCAATCTTCTCTCAAAACAAAGTTCTCTGATTTTTATTCAAAAACAAGAACAAGATCTCTTACTCATCTATTACTAATATTAATCTATTACTATTAATGGATGAGTAATCATAAAAATATGATCACTCATTGATTATTTGATAAGTGATCACACTTTTGATAACAAAATGCAGTTCAAAGTTCTAGGAGTGTTTATTCAAAGTTGAAATTTAAATTATATGTTCCGAAAAACTACGTTGTGTACTTGAAATGTGAACCCAGTGTGACAAATTATATAAATTATGACAAACCTGCCATCCTCTGTGAGTGCCAAGGAGTGATACTGGCCAGCAGAAATAGCAACCACATGCTCTGATGCCAGAGACTCCACAAGACGTGGGCTGGGTACCTGCAAGATGGCACCAACACCCAGCTGCCCAAACTGGGAAGACCCCCAGGCATACACCTGCATCACCAACATATTAAATAAGATTATTTCATTATTCTTTTTCAATTAAAATGGTTAAATAATTGATGAAATATTTTATTTTATTAGTATCCACAAGATATTTTAGTCAATCCAGTTGATTTGAAGATTGCAGTAAGTATTAATGGAAATATTTGTCACTATAAGAGAACAAGGTTTTGAAATGTTTCACATGCAATATGTGCTTGCATCTTCTGGTAGAACCACATGCTTTAATTATATAATAAATAAGTTATAAGAAGTTTCTATTCTTTCTATAAAATTTCTTTCTCCATTTCCCATGCTCACGTCCAACAAGGACTTAACAGTGGAAGTTAGTCAAGCAACTGTAATATTTAATAAACAACCATTAAAAGGTATAAGTTTACCCCGTTGTTTGTGAGAGCCAGGGAATGTTGCCGACCGCAAGCAACACTTATCACTTCCACTAAAAGGCTAGGGAAGAGTCCAATGGGCTGGGGGGTTGCATAACGAGACATTGTTGGCCCAGTTCCTGGAAACAAAAACCAGAATTAAGAACAGCATTGGAATCAAACAAATCAACAAGAGATGAAATGCTTTGTATTTTCACTGAAATTTAACTCTTTCACTGCTAAGATCGAGTGTAGTCAATGTCTCATATCCCACACCAGCTATGATTAAGTTTATCTCAACTGGCCTGTCATGTCATAAGAGTGCTACAGATGTGTTCATTTGATTGGTTTTCTGCTAGCTTTTTAGTTTCTTCACATGTCATGTGTAATTAGCCATTATTAAAATGTCAATATTTTATATCTTATCATGAAATACTTAATCACCATGTGGCTCCGTGCTCCAACGAACAGGAAAACCACCACATTACAGAATGGAAAATATGTTAATACAGCCCTGGAAGCTTCTTTTCTAAAAGCTTTCAGAAAGATTTCCACAATTACCTAGACGATATACAAACAGATTGCTGAAGCTGCTGAGGGGCAGTTTCAATAAGAGCCACCCTGGAGGCCTATACCAGACTACTGGTAGAGGAGTAATAATAATAATAATAATAATAATAATAATAATAATAATAATAATAATAATAATAATTATTATTATTATTATTCAAACTCATAAACATTTGACTCTCCGTGATCCCTTCCCCCTCTAAATTTATATGTCAATCACCAATAAACCACCACAGTTCTCCATAACAGAAGCATCCCCTTTGGGAATATGTGTAACTGATCAGTTTCCTGGGGGTGGCATATCACATGTGTTTAATTGCAGGCAATTGGAACTACATAATTCTTTTTCTAATACACTTAGGACTTTCCAAAATTCTACATAAAGGGACTGGAGGCATTTTACAGTTATGTGCTTGCAAGCACAGACTGACTTATGACTGCACAGAATGCGAAGATTCGTGAGCAGTTAAAGCAAAAATCAATGAGGGCTCAATCCATCAAACTCACCTAAGCATCCAAGCACTGCTCCCCCCCAAGTGTACACACTGCCATTTCGAATCATGGCAACATGAGCAAAACCTGCACCAAGGGCTGAATGTTGCACCGGCACTTTGATTGGTGGAGGGCTCTCCTGTAGAAACAAATACGAAATGGTAAGCGACTGGTAACTCTATGTACAATCAGATCAAGGAAGAGATTTCATTTAGCACACTGAAATTAAAAGCAGCACTAAATGAAATTAAAATCGGTATACTGAAAATAAAAAAAAGAACATCAACTACGTATTACACATAAATTCAAAAATATAACATTATTGGAGAAACAATTATGTAGGTTTCTAGTACCAAAATGTTTTTGTGGTAAAAATGACACCTATTTACAAAGGCAGATCAATTTGTAATACTGTAAATATTGTTCAGAAATATGTCTACCTCTTTTGCACTTGACTGTGAAAGAGATGCAACAATAGGAATTAACCCACAGAGATCTATCATATTGCAAACTAATAGCCTTGTAAATGATGATCATCAATTTAATCTGACAATAACAAAGTTATCAAGTTTGATTTCAATTCGAACTTCAATTGGGACAGGATTTATACGTGTGCATGCAAGCACACACACACACTACATGTACACTCCTGTATACATGAACACATACATGTATGAACATATTTATTTTATGTTGTTTTTTCACATTTCTTTTAATCTGATTAACAAAGGGAATTAATTTTTTTTTCTGTCAATTTGTATTATTTTTTAGTATTTATGTATTATTTACATGTAATTTTGTTTCTATTCAATTATTTCCAATAAATTGGTGTATGTCACAAGTTTTTGTGTATTACTTATGTTCAAAATAGTTTCCATATTCTACTGTAGTGTTCTGAGGAACAAATTTTAAAAATGACAAATTTAATCATTTTTGACAACACATTTTCTCCGTAACAATGTTCAAAATTTTCAGTTCCTAGAAAAATGTGCTAACAAGGTCTCACTATATATTCTTTTCCTCTTTATACTTAAGACACTAAAGTTTCACCTTATTTATTATTTCCATGCCTCACCTCTTTGTTTGGTGGTGGTGGAGGAGGAGGTGGTGGTGGCGGCGAGGGTGGCCTGCGGACCAGCCGAGGGTCGTAAGTGGGACCGGCCACCCTCCGCACAGCCAGTTGCAGCAGCACTAGTAAGAAGGTGTGGAGCAGCTGGTCCAATGGGAACACAGCCTCCTCCTGTACACATCCACACACAAAAAAGTTCACACTCAAAGAAAAATGGAGCTCATAGGATGGAAAAAAAAAAAAAAGAGGAAATATTGCTTAATTTGTTTGTATCAGGTGACCACAAACATAGAAAACAAATCCAGCTGCAGAATGAGAAGGTTCTATTTGGTTCTAAGAGAATTTTACAGGAGACCATTCTGAAAGTTTGGAGGTGTCTAATAATGATAAGCAAAATGCTATCTTATTTTGATCACACAAGTCCGATTTGAAAACTTTTTTAATATGTTGGAGATGTGACAATGGAGTTTGAATACATCAAAACCTTATTACATCAAAAATGTTAGAAAGAATCTTGTCATTCTGAGGCCGCTAAATATTACACTAATTTATGCACACCTGCAAAATAAAATAAGATAATAGTCATTCATATAAATAAATATTGTACTAATTTTTTATACAACTAATAACTAAGTTTAAAATCATAGTCTTCCCGATGTTTGACTCTGTCATAAAGGGAAAAAAATTCTTAAAATGTTGCTTTTGCTGCAAGTCGGCATTTCAAAACATATTGATTAGTTTGCACTCACAGATGTTGATTAGATCCCGCTCAGTGCAACAAGTTTTGAGGAACATTTTTAAGTATTTTCTTACTCTTTTAGGTTATAAAACTCATTTTGATAAAAATGATAGCCAATACAGGAAAAAAATAATTCCTGTTATTATAATAAAAAAGAAGAAGCAGAAGAGTCCCTTATTGGGAAAGTTTCCAATATTTTCTGGAAAAATACTGAATGTGAATTGTGCCACTATATTTTTCTTTAGCAATTCATTCTTCACGCTTGTTTTACTTACATTAACATTGGCATCCAGAAGGAAGTCAGGTTCATTGCTGGAAGCACAACTGCCAGACTCACTGGCCGTACGAACACGACTAAGTCTCTTCTGCAAAAATGGTCGAGCAGAAGGGGCTGAAGGATCATACAGAGCTGCCAACCGCTGCAAATGGAGGATTCGAAAAACAAACAAAAAAATGAGAATTTGGATTTTGTTTGTTTTTGAATGACATCTACAAAGGAAAATAATTTATGCAAAAAAATACGACAATACAGGAAAAATGAAATTATATATTTGAATGAAAGTAATCAAGTATTCTTAACAGGAGTATTAAGTCACAGATTCAAATCCATCCTCCAGACATTTTTAAGGTAGGGGATATAGATGACATGCTTGCTGGTGAATTTCCAACGTATAAAAATAGTTCTGGAAAAATTACATCCATTAAGTCAAAGTACCACACCAGAGTTTGATTTGCCTACTAAGATTGAAGTGGATACACGAACACTAACCACATTATCTAGCGGTAACAATAAATATCTAAATTGGGACCCGCATTGCTGAAAAAAGCAATGGTAACCTTCTCCATGATAATGTCTAAGTGTATTGTTTCTCTCTGCAGAAAGCTTTTACAGAAAATTTAATATTTTGGTACGTCTGTAATTTTGTCATAGAGATGCAGCTTAATTACATCTGATTATGATATTTGTGGGCTGTGCTGGTTTGAATGCAGGGGCGTGCGGTGATTACAATGTATACCCCAGCTGCTAGCAATCAAACAGCTTCCTCCTCCCCTACCATATACAAAATAGTCACGCAACAAGAGATTCTTTACCACAACTGTGAAAAAAGAAATTTTTTGAAAATAAACAATTCCAACATGCAGTTTATCATTCCCTCACAAGTTGTATATTTATGAAAGAAAACTTAATAGTAAATTTGAGTACACAAAAATAAAATCTGCTTCCTGCAAACATTGCGGTAATAAAGGGAAATTACACTTCATTCTTCTTTCATGACTCGCAAAACACTGCAGTTTTTTCAAAAAATGAATGTGAGTGACAAATGTCCTCAAAAACAGACGGTTCAATAGGCTAAAGTGAATATTTTTTCACTGGTTCAGTTTTGACCATAGGTTTTTATTTTTTTACTACATTGTGCATAGTCCTGCCAAGCACACTGACTCTTAAGAGTACGGGGTGCTACTGGAAAATTCGGGGAATCTAGTGTTGTGATCACTTGTGTCAGAAAAAAACTTGTTCATAATATTTAATAAAATATATTGGAAACATTCAGCTTCACTCTCATTACAGCAAGAGAGAAATACGTGCCTCGTAATCATTATATAAGTTATAAATTTTTCGACAAACGTTACGGTAATTTATACAAACAAAACATGACATTTAAAACAGTGAAGAATTGTGGTAGCACTGGCTTACGAGTAAATGTGAGATGCCTTCTTTGCACTCCACCGCTCTCTGGTGATGATTACTGCAATCAGGAGGCAGGCGAGGCCTCGCCTTGAAGCAAAGGAGGGGGAGTAACGTCTTCAATCCCTAGCTAGATGGCTTATAACATTATCTGCTATGGGTTCCCTCTGCCTGTCGCCTGCCCTAGGCCTAGTGAAGTCACGTGCAGGAGTCTTTCCCAATGAAGATGTCAGAGCTGGGGCAGAGTCGAGAGGGCCAATATAGCGTTCTTGGGGCAGATGTTCGATGCCAAGATAGCAGTAGAATATACAGTGGGTGCAATATTTTTGAGCAAGTGACATATGGTTCATTGTCATTTTAATTCCCAATATTCATTACATTCTCATTCCAGCTTACCCAACAGTTCTGAGGTTGCTGGGGTTGAATGCACACAACTGTTTGAACATATGAAACATGGAAATCAGAATCTTGTATACAACAAAATCTGATTAGTCATTATTTACCGGTTATGGCTAGCTGTTCATTAACTCAATGGTTTGCAACAATACGAAAAAATGTACACATGAACAATAACAACCCTTTCATATACCAATCACACTGACAATAAAAAAAATTAAACTTCAGAACAGTTAGTAACACATTCACACAGGACCTACAGCTGACCTGCATCGCTATGATCGTTTAAGCTTGTAAACCCACACCATCTTGGCTCAAAGGGTCATAGGATTATGGTTGTTTTGTGGCATGGCAGAGCTCTCCTAACTGTCACGTGTCACCTTGCAACCCACATCTTCCCACTCCTGGGCAGCCTAGGTGACATAATGGCTAGGGGCACTTGCACTCAAGTACGTGTTATATCTGGGCTGTAGGTTTGATTCCCACATAACGCATAGACATAGTGTGAGTGGTATAGTGGGGCTTTCCCACCCATCGTGTATCATCTCTCAAATGCCTTTCCAGATATCAGAACTCTCCTCCACAACTGGCTATAAGCAGCTGAGAAGGGCCTATGAGGAATCTTGTCAAAAAATATCTACACATCTGGCTGAGATGGGCCTGTGGACCACATCTGCCCGTTGAGGAGGGGGAGGGTCCTATTCCAGCAACATAGAGAGGAAATTTGCAATGAGAGAGTTCACAAAAGGACCATGACCTAATAAAAATTACAAAACAAATGAACACACAGGATGCACTACATACAAGTATTGGTTTTCTTATCTTAATTACTACTTTCTTTTTTTACTTGCATACTTGGATGTCTGCTCTGCTCACCTAGTATGTCCGCATTGTTTAGCATTACCATGTTTGCACACACAAACAAAATGTAAAAAATTTATAAGAACTTTATAAAAATTTGCTTTAGATTCTTGCCATGATTTTAAGGGAATTGACCCTTCAACTAACTTTCTACTGTCATAACTTGTTATAAAGTCTTTTCTCTCACCATCCTTTAAACAAAACAAATCCTGTTTGTAAACAAGCCTATTACTGGTCCTGATCTCACTTAATCCCCTTTTGTTTTTGACCCTCATGCCTTGGAACTGCACATTTATTTTAAACACATTCCTTGTTGGATTCATGTTGATCATATCTCATCATGTCCATGGATCACCTTGCATGAGTATCAGTGAAGGAAATGGGAAATTTTCACTGAGAAACAAATTTGTTTCTGGGCAGAAGCCCCCAGCCCAGTTTACAACAGAGATATTAATGGTGGATTGAAAATTGCATGCTGACAAGAGGATGGGTGTACCTCCAAGGACTTCAACTCGATTGTTGCCAAGTGAGTATTCACAGCCTGAAGGTGACATCTAGCAAGAGGAGGACGTATGAGCAGTGCTTGCTGAAGTGAAGGGTCTGATGCACAAAGCCACATTCCAGCTGCAAGAGAAAGAGTTTCTTTATCATTCCATTTCAGAAGTAAATTAAATTATAGTTAAGTATCAATTTGTTTGTTTCGTTTCTCTTCACAGATCTTAGAATACAAAACAGAAACTCTATGAATAGAACACATTAAATTCTTTTAAGAAATTGTAACGATCTATAAATTCTAAACTAGTCAGCCAATTACAACTCAGTCCAGAGAACTTGTATGAGGGCTATTTTTTTCAAGGTCTGATCAATTTCAAAATTAAAACCACAATGAAAATCCATTGATGTTGAACACATATGTGTTGCAGTGTATCTAAGGTCCATTTGTCCTAACTTACTCAGCCTATAAATGAACTTTGTATGTACCCTTTCAACCTGTAGTTTGTGATTGGATGTGCCTTTCGTGTGTTGATCATTTCCAATGCCAGCACGTGTCACAGCAAGAACTACCTTACATACTATTTTCACTTTAACTTTTTTTAAATGCACGCAAAATACCAGCCACAACATGCAGATAATTTGCTTGGGTTATCAGAGTACTTACATTTAAGAAGTGCACTCACAAGGTAGCAGTGAAGTATTTCAACATAATATATAGAGACTTTTCTGGGGCAAGCCCAAATCATCAATAATCACATACGGAATTTTATTTAATGTTAGTGGTTAATTCCTATGAAACAAATTATGAAGAATACTGAATGTCAAAATTTAAAAAACTCATTGCAATCGCCCTGCACTGATTTTGCTCTACTTCTCTTCTTAAAAGGGTTCAAACTGGTACAGTGCATGATGCCCTAAAAGTGAGTGCGGTGTCTGGCAGCCAATGAGATCGGGAGGTGACCATGTGCATTCGTGAGTGAAGTAAGAGGGAAGAAAGATTTAAAATGCCCATTGATCATGACTGTCACTAGTCAGGCATTGCATTTGTCAGCTCTGAGGACACGTGAACATGTAAACATGGCTAGAACGTTAGTGTCTCGCCAAGTGAGAATTGCATGCTGACATTTGATTTCTTAATGCAGAGTGCAATGCAGCCAAAATTCATTGATGAATAAGTAATGTGCTCAGTAAAATTTTCAAGAGTGACTGCAAAGTAAGGCAATGGTGCAGGAGATTTGAAGCAGGACATACAGTCATTTATGATGTTTGTGATATTTGTGATGGTAGGTGGTTGACATGCACTTCCTTCCTTGACCTCCTGCATCATGAACCGTGTAAACACATCTGTGCAATGTTATCAGATTTTCACTAGGTTTAAATTTTGTAACTGATAGGTCCTTGGAAATAAAAAAATAAAAAATATAGCTCTCGTAAACCTACATTCTGCTCATCCACAAATGGGACTCATGCAGAACAGTAAGTGATTATTGAATTAAGACAATGATCACAAAAATTAAGGAATAAGAATTCAAGAAACTAAATTCTTGCTATTAAAGTCATTTTAAAAAACATTTACACATTAATTTTACTTACAAAAAAGAGAGAGACCAGATTCATAAAAATTAGTCGGAATTGTATAGTGTTTCAGCAGATCATTCAGCAAATATGTACACATTATTGAGGGAGGGGCAGGAAGGGGACAGTGAGGGGAGGAGAAGAGTTGGATACTTGTTACAAAATTGGACGAAGGAGAGAGAGAAGAGTAATTAAAAATCGTATACATACAAAAAATTTGAAGATATTTTGGTAGAATATAAGCAAACAGTGTTGTTTTTCTTTTAAATGTTTAGCCATGGAAAACCAAAAGAAGTAGGCTTATCATTTTCTTCCCTTATACACCATTTCATTATTTATTATACTACCAATTTTACATTGTATTATTGTAATTTTGACAGAAGTAGTGAGAGGTACAAGAGGTAGAAGAATTTTGTGGCAAAGTTGTAGGTAGGTAGGTAAGGGGGTAGGGAATAAAAACTCCCAAACAATATCTTTGTACATATTTGTTGAACAATCCCTTTCTCAATTATAATCTGGGCAATATATGAAGATTTCCTACTTCTCCCGTACTTCACAAACTTTTATACTGCTTTTAGACTTCAATAATTAATAAATAAATCAATTAAAATACCCTGCAAAAACATGAAATGCACATACACATACTTTTATATTTACATACTTTTTGAAATATAGAAACCAAAGCTGGATCCTCCAAAAAAGAAGGAAAATAAAATAACTAAATAATAAAAATAATGAGTTATAAGACTTCACAAATGATATATACCACAATTACAAAGTGAAAATATCAAACCATCTGCAGTAGGGGCCAGTTTAGACGCTGATCCTTCTGGGAGTTTGGAGTCAGCCCCTCCAGAACGCAAAACTTTGGAAAGCACCTCCAAAACATGAATGTGCATTCCTCGCATTGAGCACAAATGCTGTAGCACATCCCACAGTCCTGTTTGGCCAGCCACGTTCACTGCCAGAACTTCATCATAAAATAAATTTTCACGAAGGAAGCGCCTGCAAAAGTCCAGAAAATTTCAGAATTTGTTCGAACATTTAATAACAGCATGAAAATTTTCAATAAGTAATTTTGTGCACACTACCTGCTTATAAGACCTAAAATAAGACTGGATAAGTAATTTAATTTCAAGAAAATAGGACTTTCCACTATAAACTAGATTAAAAATTACACAGTAACTTATATTGCAAAAACATAAGTAATGTACTTTTGAAATAAATAAAATTAGTCATATTAAAATATGAATGTCAGTTGATATTCCATTCCTGAAACACTCTTTCAAATAGCGTAATAAATAATTTTCAATTAATATTCAATTATTCCCAACAGGTCTATTACATTCTCTCCATCACAAAATATTTGAAATGAGGGAGGGAAAAAAATAAAATAAAAAAAATACAAAACCCAATTAATAAACACAATCGATTTCAATGAAAAACGAATTTATACAGAGTATGAAGGAAAAGTATGGAAAACATTTAAAGATTATATTACTAAGCTTCAAGCATAACACATTAATAATAATAATAATAATAATTAATAACAACAACAACAACAATAATAATAATTATTATTATTATTATTTTAGATTGAATTTATATATTTATCATATATTATTTATATATTTATTTATTCATTTAACAGGTAGTAAAATATATACAATAACATACATCAATGATATGTTATTTTGCAAAAGATTTCTCCTTGTGTGTGAACATGTAGGCAAATACACATTATTTACTCTATTTAAATTATTGGTATTTCACAACATTTTATGTAAAAGATAAACATAATTTAAAAAATAGCAAAAATAAAGGTTAAGTGATTATGTGATGTTTTCAACACAAAATTGATGAATTGACGTTTATGCCTTTAATATTCACAATAGCGGCAATTTGTTCACATTAATGTATTTACGAGCACATGTGTTGTAAATAGTCTCTTCTTCTTCTTCTTCTTCTTCTTCTTCTTCTTCTTCTTCTTCAGGTATATAGGCCTGTTATGGCTTCGTTCCCATCTGGTCACCCCATCTCTTCTTTGGGCGACCAGTATTTTTTCGTCCTTGTGGATGGTATTGTAGAATTATTTTCGGCAGGTGGTTGTCTTGCATTCATTGAATGTGCTGGGTCCAATAATTTTGGTAATAGTTGACTTTCTCTTGAACATGAAATAGCTCAAGTTCTTTACGAATTTCTAAATTCCTTATCTTGTCCATCAGCTTATAGCCACCCATTGATCTCAAAAATCTCATTTCAGCACTTTGTAGTCTTGTGTTTTGTGTGATCATTTTTGGTCATTGTCCAATTTTCACTGCCATATAAACATTTTGGGTTACTTAATACCTTATAGAATTTAATCATAGTGTCCTTTCTGACTTTCTTTTTCAGGGTTCTCAGTATTGTTCTGTTCATACAATTTAGTTTTTCAATTTCCCCTGTACATCTATTTCCCCTCTGTATGACATTTTGTATCCCAAGAAATTTAAACTTGAAACTCGCTCTATAGGTGAATTATATACAACTTATTTGGAACTAATCGGTTCCATCCCTTCAAAGGCCATGCCTTTGATTTTTGTAGAGGATATGCAGAGATTGTACATTTCGGTTACCTTTTGTAATTCAAATAGTACTTTCTGGAGGATATATTCATCATTTGCTATTATAAGTTGGTCATCCATGAATGATACGGTTATTAGGTTTTTTTCTTTTTCCATGTCATGACTATAAGATTTTAGTTTGGATATCCATATATTTAATGCTTCATCTAAATGTAAATTAAAAAGAACTGAGGATAGACTACATCCTTGTCTTACTCCTTGGTTTATTATCTCTTTCTTATTCTCGTGGCCCTTGTTACAAATTTCTGAGTAATTATAGATGTTCCTAATGACCGAAATCAGTTGTGGTGGAAGATTTACCAGATTGATGTAGCTTATACAGACTTTTCTAAAGCGTTCGACATTCTCAATCGTAGTGATATCATGAGCAAAGTAAACAACTCTGATATCCCTTCTAATTACTTGAGCTCGATTGAATCATGTCTTGATTTGCATGTGAATGTGGTCAATATGGTTGTCATAAGTGGTTTCCTTTTTTTCTCTTGTCAAGGTGTTCCACAAGGATCACATTTAGACCATTTACGCTTCATTATCACTATTAATGATATATATGTCCACCTCATATGTTTCATTCTGATATATGCAGATTACATTAAACTTTTTTACCCATTAAAACGTTACAAGACTGTTATAACTTTTAAAATAACCTTGATATTTTTGTTGACTGGTGTCTGCACTATAAACTTCCATTGAACCCTTATAATAATATACTGACAAATAACTATTTTACTTTTAATTCAATTGTTCATATATTGACCATAAAATTTCTGGTACAATTCTTGAAATGGTTAGAATTAAAAAAGATTTGGGGATAATATTCGATCATCAACTGATATTTAAACCTCATATTGAATAAGTTATTACATCAGCCAATTGCTCACTGGAATATCTTCTGAGAATTGGTAAGAATTTAAAGATTATTAAAGTGCTTCAAGTACTTTTCTTTTCAATTGTAAGATCAAAACTTGTACATGCATCAGTGGTGTGGTCTCCGAATAGAATTGAACTTATTAAAGCACTTGAACCGTGACAAAGACATTTTGTCAAATATTTTGATTATAAAGAAACAGGATGTTATCCACCTCATGAAATTGATAGAGAATATCTAAACAACAGATTCAAGCTTGATAGTCTTGAAAATAGAAGAAATATGCAGATTATTATTTTGGTGAAGATTATTCAGGGAACTGTACAAGCCCCAGAACTTTTGAGTCTGATTTCACTATCTGTTCCACAAATTTGTCTTGCATAAATCAAGATTGTTTCAAATGATGGAGATGTTTAAAGTAATCCCACATGACATATTTGCATGTGATTTTTGCTGATCTGTACTAAAATGGCTCTAAACATTTGGCATTTGATGAACAGTGAGCTACTGCTCACCCAATCCTGAGCAGCTGGTGTGCTCCACGAATGTTTGCTTATTTTAATGTGTTTGACAGACTGACACATGGTAGGTAGGGCAAGCACTGAATGTTCATCGATTGGCAAATACCAAGCAACTCATCCGCTCTACTCAGGATTCGGTAAGCAGTCGCTTCATAATTGCCGAATACTGAATGTAAGCTTCTTTTAAAATAATCTATCTGAACACAATAACAAAAATGAAAATTGTTCATTCAACAAATGTCAATTCCACACAAACTTATATAAATTAGAACAATACCACAAAGTACGTTACAAGGCAAATTTTCTCATCTGAACTTGAGTTTCATGTATACAAGAGCACTATTTGCTTTTATAATTTTTTAACTTTTATTACTATAAACTGTGTGTTCTTGTTATTATTGCCTTTTAGCACTAAGAAAGGTGATTCCTGAATCATTGTGAATTGGCAGAAGTGCCATTCAAAATTCTAAAACAAATGTAAAACTTCTTAACTGGTTCTTTCGGATAGTTAATTTCATAGTTCACTACGCAAATGTTTTCGAAGTGCTACCGAAATATTAAAAATTTGTTTCAGGTGTATATATTCAGATAATTAAGGTGATGCCAAGAAATTCCATATAAGGCTTGGCCTAATGTAAAAATTGTCATGGAAATTCAATATGCAATTTTAAAGTGAATAATTTTATATGCACAAAAAATTTTACTTACAGGAAATTTTTATACATGGTGCGGGCATGTGGATTTCGCAGCACTTGCTCCGTGTAGCTCATTACAACCAGATTGGAGAGATGAATCTTCTCTGAATAGACCCAATAGGTGCCTGTGAGGTCAAGCCCTGATGTGGTGAAAAGAACGTTCACATAGCTGAGCAGTTCTGCAGGGTGACCACCAGCAGCGAACTTCAGCACACTTTTCAAGTGTCGACACTGCACATATACCCAGATTCAAACTGTATATTGGATCAATTATTTGAAGAGTTCCAATGCAAATAATTATAACTGAGATTTCATAGGAAAATATGGAGTAATACTACACAAAGCAAGCAGCACATACCACATAATGCACAAGAGAATTATCACTGCAATTTGTAAAATTCAGTTCGAATATAGAGAGAGGTATTCCCTCTCCTTCACCAACCATCTTGACCAGAGCCCAGATTCCATTATTTGCACCCAAATGGCTGATTTGTAACTTAAACTTAAGAAATACTTACAACACTTAAATTTGTTTTTAAAACAATTATGATTATACTTACAATTATGAAGTTTGCTGTCATTACATACTTTCAACACACACACTTTCTTCAAAAATATCTAAACTCTTGGATGTGGATATAATTCTACTTCTGGCTGACTTCATAAAGAATTATTTGTTTTCTAACTCAACAAGACGGTGTACCATATTTTAATTCCAAACAAGAGATATGCACATATGCACAATTTCTAATGATTAGAAAATTAAAATTAATGAAAATGATCTTTCCTAGATTTCTCACTCACCCTTGAGAGTTTGTAGAAGGCAATGGCATTAGGGAAATCCCTGGAGGACAAACGCAAGTCACCTGCATGCTCCAAAAGCTGTTGCAAGCTGAGTCCAAACACTTGTGCCAAACGCTCTGCCCGCTCCAGAGCTTGGTGTTGGAGTACTAGCTCAAGGAAGATGTCAGGGGCAGGACATCTGCAGCAACAAATCAATGGAACAATAAAACAAGTTTTGTCATTGATTAACATATTGAGTTGATTCTTTGCAAATATTATTTCAACATTTTCAGTGAAAACATCCTAACCATTGAGCAGGTGCACCTGGAAGAAGTGAAATCACCAGGCACACATTGCACTTGGTGCAACATAGCAAATCTTGCATTTAATGTTCGTAAGAAAGAAAAATCTAATTATATATCTACAGTAGAATACACTTCAAATAATTGGACAAGATGAGCTAGGAAACATGGTAATGTGAACTATTGCTGAGCTCGGAGACAACAGTGAGGGGGACAATTGCCACATGAGATCAACCAGGTCATAGTAGTGCTGATAGAACGGAAAGACGACAACACTTATGGAGGCTCAAGGATACTTACTACCTAGCTAGAGGTAATCGTATAACTATCTTCCAGTTAGCATTCACTCACTTACAGTTGGCAGTTTCCTTAGATCTAAAACATGTTTAAATAGTAAGTTTTGTGTTTTAGCGTTGTCTTTAAAAGTACCTTACACATCAACCTGAGAACTTTGACTGGCATCGCATGACCATCTCATGCTTTAACACAGCACAGTAAGAAAATACCATCAGCGCATGTGCAGAACGTAACATTCACTTTGTGTAACTGATTCACCAAGGCTGTTCTCCTTTGCCGTCTCAGTAGTTGAGGGTGTGTGAACTAAGAGCTGAGTACATAACTTTTATATTTTATTACGTTCGGTTAAATCTATATATATAAAACAAAGTTGTGTTAGTTACACCAATTATAACTCCAGAACGGCTGGACCAATTTTCATTATCTCTGTTTTGTTGTATTTGTCTCCACCCCAAAATAGCATAATTATTAAAATGCAACTATGAAAAATTCACGAAAAAAAAGAAAATAAAAGACAAAACTAAATATTTACGCTACATGCAAACCCGCAACACATGGTAAGGTATTTGAATATATATCGTTAAATAACTCTTAAAGAATGCATTCTATAGCAGTAAAATTAAAAAGTTTTGAGAGGTCAAAGACCTCAATGATACATTCATTACACCGTAATCTACAGAATGAGATTTTTTGAGCATTCTGTTACAATTTTGCTGGACCAGAGCTGCTCTCTGGGTGCCAGCGCCAGTCGAAATTACCCCACCAGCACAGAGAAGTGCAGAATCTGCAACTAAATGTGTATGAGAGAGACAGAGCTAGCGAGACAGAGAGGGGGAGAGCAAGAGGGAGAACGAGAGAGAGAGAGAGAGGGGGGGAGATAGGGAGAATAAGAGGAGAGAGAGAGGGGGTGAGCGAGAGGGGGAGAGCAGGAGAGAGCAAGAGAGGGAGAGACAAAGAGAGAGGGAAAGACAAAGAGAGAGGGAGAGACAAAGAGAGAGGGAGAGACAAAGAGAGAGGGAGAGACGGTGAGAGAAAGGGAGAGGTAAGGAGAAAGAGGGAGATGAAGAGTAGAACAACATAAGCCGGGGTCAGCTAGTTTATAAATAAACTTTCCAGGCGGTAGGCATGCTAACTGTCCACTCATTTAACATCTGAGTGTTGTGGTGGTTGTGTACTTTGGCTGCACTTCACCCATTTGCAGCAATTTTCCAACAATGTTAATGACAAACTGATCAAAAATTTTCGGCAGCTGCTTAGACAATCTTCTTTGTTTTCTTGAAGAGAATGTGTGAATGCTTGCTATTCATAAATCTAAAGAAAAGAGGAACTTCCTTTATAAAATATTTCTTCTTTTATGCCTTCATAATCCATGACGATGCATGGCATAATGTCAGGAAGCCTCTAGCATCCGTCTATGTCAGATTTGTAGAGCAGTACTGCTCTACTTTTCTTCACAACTTTGTTAGGACAGTAATATATTAAGCTATTATAATAAGGCAAAGAAGACATTAAAGGAAACAAAGAAGTTAGTTGATATCAACATACCTTTAAAACCAATACTGATCTCAATATACTGCCTAAACAACCAGAAAATTATACTACAACAATGTGATAGTAAACAAAATTCCCTTAGTAGCCAAACTTTGGCTCAACTTTTGAGCTCAGAAAATTGCAACAACATTAAGTCTCACTAAACGTGGGAGCCCACAAAGGGTTAAACAACAGCATCCCATTCCTTTCTGATCATTTCCAAGAAATGACATCAAACTTGCTAACGCAAGCAGTGCAAATATATAAAAACCAAACAATGAAACTCACATTAATAGTCCATTATACTTTTAACACACATTGATGATATTCTTGATCGATCTGAACATCTCAAGGCTTTTGCGAGTTCATTACATACATACTATGTAGTAATTTACTACATATTGGAACCATGATTTTATCACTGCTGTATCAGTATAAGTTTTTCAGTAGAAACATCACCGTTTTTTGCCACAGCATTACATAACTTTAACTAACATCACTAAACTTTACATAACACTAGGTATAATACGTACATATAGGAGAAAGTAAAAAAATAAAATACATTTTTGAAAAAGACATAGAAGATGGGAAGCACTCTTCATATCAAGTTGTAAATTGCAGGAAGAGGATGCGTGTAAATATAAGCCTTTCAACAAGACCAACGATAAATTACATACAAGCCAGGCAATCGTAAAATGCGAGAACATAAAAACAGGGTTTTACTGTATATTTGTGGACCTATTCTGGAATCCACCAAGAATTTACTGGAAGTTTCAGACAAATATTTTGGAATGGACCAGTAAAGCGAAAATCTCAAACTAATGGTATCATAGCAAGTCAAAACGAATCCTCGCCGAGATTTTGTTACACAATGTTTGGCAAAGCTGCACAGACTCTTGGTTTGAGACACTCAGTCTAGCCAGTAAGCATGTATCTGTGTTTTGCAAGAGATGGAAAAGAAAAATTCACATTGATACTCTACATACTCTCAAAATCTCAAACACTGGTAACTGCTCACTCCCAAGGAATGGAGATATATGGGTTCGCAGTTCACAACTGGATAACACAAATTTGAAGTTAATGGTTGTTAAAGAATTAGAGGACACAAACATACGTGCCTCAGGAAGAAAATTTGGTAATAGATAAAGGATTGTTCTTGGAGAGAGTCACATGAAAGATTCAGAATACAAATTGAAAGCACAAAACTTTCAGGTGGGGGAAGGAAGCTAAAAAGTCAGAGAGTGATCTAGTGTAGGAGAAGAATCAGAAAGGAAGAAGCGATAAGGCATGTAAAGGTGAAGAAGGCAGTAACACAAATGATGATTTTGAGGAATATTAAAATAATGATAGCTCAGGTAAAATACCATTTTCTATTCAATTAGGCAATTTGTTTTTCTATTTTGTCTGAATAAATAGTAAGAACTGGTTAAAAATAAAAATAATCCCAGAGGATATCATCAAAATGAAGGGATCATCTTATATTTAGATAAATATGTAACATAGCAGAAACGAATGCAACTTTTTGTTTTTCCTTTCTTCTTTTGTTTCAGAGTTACCCAGTGGTATGTGATGACTTTGTCAGGTTAAACAAATAATACAAGCATTTAAAAGAGAATCAGTGAACTTTGTCCTGCTAGAAATTAATTTTCTCAAATTTACTGCCTGCTTACAAGTCTAACCAGGTAACAAAGACACTTGCATAAAAGTTTTCAAGTTTCAAAAATCTTATTTTAACATCTCAAAATACTGTTCCTAGAGTAGACACTAATACAAGAAGTGTTCTCAAATTGGTACATTTCCTACTACAAATTTAGAAGACTCTTCAAAAAATGGACACAACTTTCAATGAGACTACTAGCTTTCATAGGTAGAAATTATCAAACAACCGCTTTAATACTTCAGAACAATTGTTTCTCTTCAAATACCTTCTGAAAACTACCTTTACCTGACCATAGCTATTTATTTAACATGCATAATACTAACCTGAGGCGTATAGTGTACATTGCATGAGAGGTGACCACAACACACGAATCTACTGGAGGTGCCTCCACAGGAGTAGGTTTGAATTCTCTCGCCTGCTGTTGCACGTGGGAGGCCTTCAAAGCCGCACGCCCAGTCTCCTTGGAAGCAGTGTCAGTTTCACTAGCAGACACCTTCGTTTCCTCTCGCCGATAATTGGATTCAGTGCACTTAAACACGCATACTATTTTCTCACCAGGAAAATTGTAAGAAATAATAACAGAATCAGGGTTGAAGTCCTGTTGAAGCAAAGTAACATAAGAAAATAAGACATTTGCATGTTTAGGAACATTTATTACTATTCTTCAGATAAAGGCTACAATTACTAGGCTAATGCAACACAAGTTAATTTGGGAACAAACTGCACAGAAAACAATAAATGAGGCATAAATGTCAACTTAAATTAAGTTTTTTAGGAATTGCAATGGTAATTAAGAAATCTCGTGTCATTTGGAATATACTGTATTTACCTGAATTTAAGTTTTTTCTCAATAATTCAATTGAAAAATACGAGATAGTCTTATATTCACAGATTAAGTTAGTTGGTTCGGGTTGATGTTTTTAAATTCCCTGTTCAAGGCACAAAACTCTAAATGTTGACATAGCATTATGCTGCAAAGACTAAAAAAATCACGTGAATCTATGATATGTAATTATATTTGCAGTCGTATTCTTGGTATCCACCTCAAATTTGCTTGTCAATTCAGAGCAATATTTTTAAATGGGTCAGTAAAGTGAGATCAAATGAATGGCATTGTATGAAATGTAATGTGAAAATGAATGTCGAGATTTTGCTACACAATGTGGGTTTGACGAGCTGCAGTGAATCCCTGTCCAATCTTGGGCGACTTCAAATGTGCATTTTACAAGAGATGGAAATGAAAAAAATTACATTGTGAGGCATCCATATCCAACCACAGAAAAGGATGATAAAAAACATACTTTCTTAGCAAATCCTTCCTATACTTGGAAATTTGCTACTGTCTCCCAAATTACCAGTGAAACAGAGGGTAACAACTAGGGAGGCTACTGTCTCCCAATATACAAGTGCTACTTTAACAAGTTCACAGTAGGCAACTCAATCACACAAACAGTAAATGATGCTAATTTCAAATTTATTCTGTTAAAGAATGAGAAAGAACTGTTAAAGAAACACAAGTCATCAACTAGTGTGGAACAAATAGAAAATCTGGTAACACAGAAGGGAATGTTTTCAGGTGGCTTCTAATGAAAGACTAAGAACAATACAAATTCAACACATAGAACTTTCAGAGTGACCGAAAAGTCAGAAGATGTTGCAGCGTGGAAGGACTAAAAAGAAAGACACATTGGTACATGATAAGATTATGAGGGTACTGACAAAAACCACAATTATGAAGATTTTAAGGAACAAGAAAATTAGTTCAGGCAGAAAGTCTTAACGTTCTCATAAATAAGATAATTTTCTAGTCAATAAGACAATTTGCAGTTTCAATTTGACTTAATAGTAAGAAGTAAAAAATTTAAAAATTCTCAAGAGGCATCTTCAAAATTAAGAGGTAATCTTATATTGAGAGTCAACTTATATTCAGGTAAACATGGTAATATTACTGTATCATTTGTACTATATCTACACATCAAGGCTGTTATTTCATAGCAACCAGTTGTTCGGTCAATTAGTACAGTGAAACTCCTTTTTACACCACTCTAGGAACTGGAAAAAAAGTGTAAAATTGATGAAAATGTAAAATCAGAAAATTGTTTTTTGCTCAGATTTTGTTTCAAAACACATTGTAAAAATAATACATTAATTGTAAATAAATAATACAGTAAAACTTAAATTGAAAAGAAATGACTCTTAGAAAAATAAATCTATTTTAAACTGTAAACTTCTTTCCACTTTAAAATTGACATTTGCTTTTTGTTTCACAATATAGTTTGTTTTCTGTGTTGTTACATGCAACCAACACACTTTCTTCTACATTAAATTACTAAAAATATTTTTGAGCACAGTCAAGACTTCTAAGAGCTTGTATGAAGGTAACCTTTTCCTCCTTGTCTTCGTCATCCTCAGCAACTTCAGATATTTTGTTCTTTAACAGTAGATAATTCTAGTATCTGGTCAACAGACTGGATCTCACAAGTTGTTATATCATCTTCCACAGTCACATAACCTTGGAAGTCACAGTCACTTGCCTTCAATGAGAGCCAGTCTTGCTTTTCATATGCTGTTAAAATTGGAAGAACTTCAATGTTTTCCATTTCACCTTCAATTTGAAACCCACATTTCTTAAAACAATTCTATATTGCTTCATGAGATATTTGTCTCCAAGCTTCAGTGACAAAAACAAGTGCTTGAGAAAGTTTAATTTCATTTTCGAAGCATCTTCAAGCATCCCTTCATCTATCATTCTTGAGCTTTTCTTATTAACTGCTTCCTATAATGACACTTGAATGAATCAGGAATGCCAGCCCATATCCGGTGGCTGTAGTTGACTAGTACAGTTAGGAGGCAAAAAAATAACTTACATTTCGCAGACCACTAGATTCTTTTAGATGAGCAGCACACTGATCAACAAAGAGGTTAATTTTAAGATTCTTGGTCACCATTCGCTTATCTACTTGTAAGACAAAGTCTTCAAAATTCTTCCAGTCATCCAGGCTTGTTTGAATGGCTTGAATTTTGTTGGAATAATTAGAATGTTTTTAAAACATTGGGGATTCTGAAACTCACTATAACTAAAGGAAGCAATTTTTTGCTTTTGTCAGCATTACATGCCAGCAGCACAGTGATTCTTGGTTTTGATTTAGTGCCTCCATGGCATGGGTCCCCTTTAAAAGCCAATGTTTTGTTGGGCTGGAGATTAAAGAACATACCAGTTTCGTCTGCAGTGAAAATATTCATTTCTTAGCCCTCATTTAGCTAATTAATCTGCAGTTTCCAATCCGAATCAGTGGCTGGATTCTCACTTGCACATTCTCCAGAGGCAGTTTTGTAAATTAGATTCTGACACCTTTTGAAGTGGTCCAGACATTCATTGGACACTTTGAAGTTTTCCAGTCTTAGACTTGCTGCTATATGTAGCACCTTTTCTTTTAGATGCAATCCATTAATGACTAAATTAGATGTAAGGACAGTTTCTAATTCTTCCATCAGAAACATTTTCAGTGATTTTTGTGACTTTTCGAAAACGACGGTCCACTATTGAATTCAAAGTGGACACACTCAAACCCATTTTGGCAGCGAGATCTACTCGTTTCCCAAAGTGAGCACCAACTTCTAAAATATAAGTTTTCAAATAGCAAAACACATAACATTTATGTTTATCCCCATCACCCTTCCTGAAACTAACACCATCATTGCCACCTTTTCTTTCAGAATGTCCATCTAAATTAAGAGTCCTGCCTTGCAAAAATCTTAATGTTAGGGTTAGAACTTCACATGTCAGGACACAATAGGACTTTACAGGAGGAACACAATAGGACTTCACAGGTCAGATGTAAAATCGAGGGAAAACATAAAATCAAGGAAAATTATGCATTACTTATTTGGATGTTTTGCCAGGATTACTCAGTTATTATGCAAATTCTGGGAAAATGTAAAATCGTGGATTGTAAAATCAAAGTTTCACAGTAGATCATTCTGAAGGTTATTTCATTTATATTCTTATATCATCCTTATTTCTGTAACGTTACTGCTGTCGAATTCTGCACAGAACGTATTTTAGAAAATATCATAGATCCCAATTTTATTACATTTGAGTTCATGGATATTGCACTGATTCATTTTTATGTAATTACCATTCATAATTTAATAAATTGTGGCATAAAAACAATTTGCTAATTGGTGCAAAGTATTCAATAACAGGTATTGGTAGCGTCAGGAATTTTTGTAAACTATTCCCACAACAGCACAAGAACATGCATACTGCAAAGCAGCTCCTTCCTCATTAGCACTTCTGAAGTCCAATCACTGGCACAGATACACATACAAACATTTACCTGAAGTCTTTATAAGTCTCCTACTTGATTTGTTTAAACAACAGACCAAATTCATTACACCCTTAAATATGAAGATCCCACAATTTTTGACAATTTAACCCCAGTTCATCAATATTTATTTAGTTATTTCAGTTTGTTTTATAAATTTTTGGACATGAGTGTCCTCAGTTACATAAAATATCAATCTTATATCAAAAGAATACATTAAATAACATTTCTCAGCATTAATACTTTCAAGAATTTCCTGAAACTCCCATGACATTTCTCAATATCAATAAATAAATGCATATCAATTCCCATCAATTCATATTTACAAATAAAAGAGGAATTTTGAACATAAATGAATAAAATTTTATGCTTCCTTAAATTTTGTAAAATAAACAAAGAAAAAAATATAAACATCTCTAGCTAAATTTATTCATAAGTTATAGCTTATAACATGAAAAATGTAGTAAATATGCACTTGGTTACTTTTACCAATACCAGTACAAAATAGATGAAATTAACATTAGGTTTACCTACCCCATCTCCATCAATACGGCACTCGGAGAGTTGACATGATACTACAGATAGGGTAGACTTGGAAGAGTCTGATATAAACAGGAACCGGTCAGTGAGAAGTACATCTCCACAATCAGGAGGCAATTTATGTACAAAGAGGGGCACTAATTCTAAGCTGGTTCCATGAACCTGTGAAATAATTGTACAAACAATGTTGTTAAATTAAATTACACAAGGTATCATTTTTAGCTACATTGAGTGGCAAAGAAAATGATGAGAAAATGTGTTACTTTTGGTAAAAAGTACTTTTCCAAATATTTAGAAAATTGCAAGAAAAGGAAAGAATTTTAAAAACCTGAAAAATGCAAAAACAAAATAAGAGGAGATGGTTTTTAAAACTGTCTCCTGTTATTTTATTACAAACCTACAAATAAAAAGCCAACTGAATCAATTTCTGATTTTTGTTTAAATTGTGTATGCTAATGGTACTAAAACAATATATTTTACTTCAAACAGTGGTTTGCAAGCTATATATTAATATGTTATTTATCATCTCTGAATGCCTACCTACGTAGTAAATCTCAGATCACAGGTTTGACAAAACCCAAGGAAAAACAAAATTCAAGGAAATCAAACAAAACAGATGGCTGGGATTTAGTAGATATATTACAGAATGTTAATTAACTCAAATAAAACTTCTACATGTATTTTGCCACCCTACGTTTCAGTGAAAGAGAAATATTCACTACACCTACATAACCATTAAAGCAAAACCACTATTCACTTTGTCATTTTAATAGGCAGTTTAAAGTAGTTGGTTTTCTAACAAAAGGCTCACTCCCAGTTCTCAAAACCTTTCCAGACCATTTGCTTTGCCATGAAAATAAATTTAATTCTTCCAAAAACCTCACTGTGAGTATGCTTGTTGGTGCATAGTATCCCGAGAGCAAATGGCGTCCTCGTGCATGCTGTGGTTGCAGGAATGTCTCTCCCACGTGGATGCTCAGTTGCTCGGGACGAGGTCCAGTAGAGGTAAAGCTGGAGCTGGGAGTTCCACTACGTTTGCTTCCACTGCCTGTGTCATCACTGCCGCTGCTGCTCCCACTGCCATTGCTCATTGTCTCTGATTCCTTCAGAAGAGCTGACAGTCCTAAACAGAGCACAGAGTCAAATGAAAACACTGGCTTTACCTGCTGAAAGGAATGTTTTGCTGTTCAGAAGATCATTTTTTGCTTGTCACACTGTGACTTTCCTCAGGGCAGCTGGATGGAAGGAGGCCTCATTCTATTAAAACTCATGTACAGTCCACCTCCCAACATTTTGCCCTGAGAAAGGTTGCAATTTGATAACCGAAATGTTGGCAACTGTGCATAGAATGCAGTGCCTCTTAGTCAGCCAATAATTACAAATCCACTAAATGCAAGACACTTTATTTTAATAATGAAATCTTAGGCAAATTAAGAGGAAACTAATGAAATCAACAGAAAAATATTATTAAGAAAAGTTGAATGAAATAACATACCTTATAATCATTAAACTAGATTAGTAAATTCTACAGGTTGTGATCACAATGTTATTATTCTAGTACTGTGGTTCTCTGACCTTCAAAATACTGTACTCCTCACATGAGACAAAATTCAGTGTCTCCATTATAAAGTTATTGACCTTTCTTTTTGAAAAAAATCTTTTATTTTTACAATATAAATAATTACTATATTGTGGAAAACGATAAACATTACAACTTCATTAACAATGCATTTGTGTCAATACAGTGATAATAGAATTTTGGTTGTACGAATTTTGGTTGTAGTTTTTGGCATTAATTTGAAAAATCGAAATTAAAAAAATTAAAGAAAGCAAGTGGGTGTATCAAAAGTAGAGCAACCAAATGTGACATGCAACTAACATGACTTGCAAAGTAACAAAAAAATGAACATAATTTGAACTTTCAATTATTTGCAAATTTGAAATTTCAGGTTTTCTCATACTTGCAATTCAGTTCATTTCATGCGTTCCTATGAGAGTTGTTTGTATCCTCCCTAAAAGCCTAAAGCGTACTCCTCATGGCTTGTGTACCACAATTTTTGAACCTCTGCTCTTGAATTTAGGATTTGCTTCCACAAACTTACATTTTTTAAGACATAAAATATTTAAAAAGTTTTAAAGGAACTAAATTTGTTGAATCATTCAGATTAACTGAATCATTTATACAGTTGAAAAACAAAATACACAAAATTCTTTAAGATCCACTATTATTATTCCCAAGAGATCAACAGAATTTTGCTCAATTATTTATTGCTACAAGGAAATCATTCTTAATGTTTAAAATGTAAATAAATAAAGATGCTCTTAACATTGGCCAGATTGCAAATGGGAAGAAAAATAATTTATCATGCACATTATTTGCCATTAAATAAAAATCAATCTGCAGAGTATGCCCTCTAGGCCAGTTCTCACAAAGTCATGAACTGTTGTGATAACTTCCCTGCCTTAATGGAGTATATTGGTTCTTAGGCAAGTAAGCAAACAAGCAGGTATTTTGTCTTTAAAACAAAGAAAACACAACATTTTAATTGCTCATGCAGTAAAATAAATCAGTTACAAAGGGATCTGCATATCCGGTGACACTGAGAAATAAACACAAGAATGGTGGATGTGTTAACAAATTTACACAATGAGAAAACCACCTCTCCTAAAAGGTAGGGCTCTCCAATTGTGAGTTTGGCAGAGTGACATTTCTTTTCCTATCATAAATCATGTAGCGGCTATTTCCATAGTTTCTGAGAAGTCTTTTCATGTTTTAGGCAATATACGTAAGGTCCTGTTCATTTGTTCAGACAATGATGCATATCCCCTTCTTTAATCCCTCCATAAACAGGGTGATTCTTAATTGTTTTCGGACCGCTGAACGTCAGCTGGGCTAAGGCAAGATAAGTCGTATGTTATATCTTCTCCTTGCAGAATCTTAAGTGTATTCCAGGCAGTGGAAGGAAAATAACATGCCCTGTGGCAACAAAACTTTCAATGCATGTCACTTGAGACCACCAGCTCAGTGGTATGAAGAAGAAAACTTCCCTGAACCAAAGCAGCAACTCTGGGTAAACTGCAGAGAATATTAGACTTTGACTGCACAATATTCACTATTTCATAAATTTGTCATTACTTGTGCTTGGCATCTTCTGTGTCATGCATTGTACCATACACATACATTATTGTAAGTACAAATTTAAGCATGATAATATGGACAATGTGTTCTATTGCACAGCAGTGTTTCATGAGCCTCTAATTCTTCACATTGCTACTATGTTTTTTCAATGACACAAGGGCAATTTCCAAATCTCTACTCACAGAATTAGCATCATCATAGATATAAAAGAAGTCCCATTTTACAGATCCGACAGCAATTTTGAATCTCCCTACATCTACCAACTCCAAATCTCCCTGGTATCATTCTGATTGTGTAATGACATCTCCCTGCTTTTGTAACTCACCCCGCTTTGCACTGCTGCCACCCATTCCCATCATTACGCCCCTGCTGCGTGTCTCAGCCAACCTCTGCCGCAGGATGGCCAACTTCTCCACAGAGAGCTGCTTCAGGCCTTGCAACCTTGACCTCGCAGTAGAAGGGATCTTGGTATTGAAATCAAGGTCTGCACAAAACAAAATACATTTCAAGGTCATGAATCTACTGAAAGAATAGCTGAGTAGAAGTATTCCAACATATTCAAAACAGCATGGGCGGGATTGAAGAAGATCAGATTACTGGATTTTGAATAAGAAATAGAATTAAGTGGGTACAGAACACTTGTGTTTGACCAAATTAAAAAGAACTGACTACACATTGTAAAATTCATTTCAAAGTTCAAAATAAATAAAGAACACATAAGTAGAGAGTAAGTAAATAGTGACTATGTTGTTTATCTTCAACATCACTGCCTAGTACCAGAGTCATTGATCTTGAAAACAATTACAATTTCATTCAGTTTTCGACTTGCAGTGTGTTGGATTACAATGAATGTTGAAATGATGGAGTGTCAGACTACACATTTCTTCCAACAGTGTGTCAGGCAATACAGTTATTTCAAATCACAATATGGGATAAATAACCATCAAATTTAAAATGGAATAAGATTGTTAATAAGTCCACACATCCAGGAAAAAATATTAGTACTTCACAAACCCTAACTTCATAGTTTGTGAAACAGAACAAAATATGTACATAGTTAAATATTACAATCTCTGCACATGCGACTTAATAAAATACAAAAACAAATAGTTTTGAATAGAAGCCCAAAATATGCCACTTATACTACAAGAGAATTACAATAAATATCAAATCAGGTTTATTCGACAATTGTCAAGTGGCTACATTAATTAAATGGCAAAACTGAATTTTAATTTCCTTGAAAGTTGATATTATAAATTCAAACTTGCAAATGTTCACACAGCACAAGAGGTTAACCACATCACATACGTTTCTTTACCTGCACTGCCTGTGCTTGAACTAAGGTCTGATGTGGAGGCGTCCGAAGTACCTGGCCAGGAGAAGCATGTACTGCGCTGCTCAAGTAGCAAACGCCACTGATCCTTGTTTTCCCCAGTAATCTGTGTATAAAACAAACTGGAAATCACATTGCAAAGACTTCAAATTTGGAGTGTGGATAACAGAACTCCACAAAAGTAATTTCCTTATAAGAAGTAAGAAATTCTTTAACAAATTACAATTACGTTGAATATTCAAGAACAGTAATCATGAACAGAAAAACTGAAAGATGATTGAAAATCTCAGAATCTCCTGCAAAGGTATACTCTGCATTTCACTTTCAGAATGTAATGTATTTCAAGTTTACGTTTCATTCTAATAAAAATATACTGGAATAGAAACAAATGAAGAGATTCAATGAAAGTGCTTGGGCTTGTAAATAGCTGTAGTAAATAGTAAATTTCTGCAAAAACGTATACATCATCAACACTGGATCTAGATAAATTACAATATCAGAAGCAAAAACTTTCAACTTTTTCATGTGATAATGTCTTGCAACTCAGACTGCAATGTTGAAGAAAAGTGATATACTCAGGTCCCTAGTAATTTGTGGTCGAGAAAGAGCACATCTCTACATATAAATCTAGGTCTGTACGTCTATCCTTGGGCTTTTGGCTTCAGTAAAAAAAATCACTTATGCTTTATCAGAATGTGGTGGAAGACATGCTGATGAACTCTAATTTTGAACTGTTTAGTGTATGAAGACTGCTTTGGCATATACTAGTTTCATTATCAGGATGCTATGATAATTAAATAAAGTTGCTGATGGCCTCAGTCTATATGAAAAGAGATATTTCAAATGCGTTCAGGAATGCATTTGTCTACACACATATATTGTTGAATTGAAATTAATAAAAACATTTATATTTTAGTTACATCTAAATTTAAATGAATCAGTCTTTTATTTTCCCTTTCATCATTCACAGACATTGTCGCTTTTTGTGCAACCAGTTCAAACAGATGCCATTAAGTGGTAATCTCTGTTAAAGACAATTTTTTCTTGGAGCTGATTGATTTTTTCATAAGACAAACGTAAAAATCCTCTCTCTTGAGAGGCCTCCCGGCCTTTTTGACGACTAGTTTACATGAACGTGATTTAATGGGGATGGAAAGCACATTTCATGAGGATGTTTGATGCTAGCTGAGAGAAGGTATGTAAACCTAGAAGATGAGAAAAAATGAATCTAAAAAATATACTGCTATTTTAAGTGTGCTAGGACTCAGCTCAATAAAACCCTTTATCCATCAATTTTTTATTTCCGAACCTCAAAGTTACCATCATTTTGTTAATCTTTATGCCCTTAGATGACAAATAATAATAATTTGACTGTTCCCTCTCTTTTGGAAATGGGAGCTGTCAAATAAAGTTACAAGATTCTGGATTACAGATACAAAGTAGCAGGCTCTTGAATACCTGTTGTTTCCCATTTGAGCAATTTAACAAAACACACTTACCATTAAGAAGACTGTATCCATGCTGTTGTCTTGGCAGATGTGCAAGCTAATAATAGGCGAGCGGATGAAAGTGACACCAATTTGTGAGCCAGTGCACAAGTTAATGAATGCAATGTCTCCACGGTCACTAGCTACAACAGCGGTGTGATTGCACTCAATAAGGCTCTGCCACCAAATAATGGCGGCTGGATGTGCTCCCCGGCCTGCACTTCCCTGGGCACCCGCAATGGGTGGGATGATGGTGACATCATTGATTGCCCAACGATGATCCACAGGAAAATTAGAGTCCACAAGCGCTAACGCAGGGATGATGAACAAAGAGTTGTCATAACCTACAACAGACGGTGAAAATAATAACTAAATGTACAGTAAAACTAATTAATTACAATGTAAATTTCATAAAAACATATAAGTAGAAGCAAATATAAAGTAGTAGTGTAAAAGCTCCAATGAAACTGTTTTATTCAATTGCATTGCTGAGTACTGAAATTATTAGAACACATATTATAATAAACTTCAATCTACCTTCAAACATCTAGATCAAATGTTTATTCGCAGAACAATTTATGATTATTAGTTTTCTCATCAGTTTTCCTTCGTGTTTTTTTTCTTTTTTTTTTTCTTGAACACTTTTAAATCATATTTTTCTGTTAAGATTCTTTGCTCACATCCATTAATTAGACAGGCACACAAAAAAAAAAAAAAGAAAGTTGTTAGACCCAAAGACTTGACACTTGTTTCTCTATGTATGTCGATGTGCTGAATTCAAATCTGAAGCCGAATTGCATCATCACCTACCAATTTTTTTAAATAGCGCAAAAACATTGTGAAATTGTATTTTTCATTTTTGGGGTTGTTAACAAACCCGAAGGCTTGAGACATGTTTCTTTATGTATGCTGGTAGTTGATGCACTGAATCCAAATCTGAAGCCTGATTTGCGCCACCACCTTCTGTGTCAATCTCAATCCAAATTGTAGATTGTAAATTTCATGGTGATTTTTAATGATATAAAAAGAACTGGAGAGTGGTGGCGCAAGTTGCAGATTCTGCACGCTGACATACATAAACAATATTTTTCTGGTCTCTAGTACTAATCTTTGCAATTATTTACATTTAGATCTGAACTCAATAAATGTATTGAATGATGCAATAGCCCTGTTCTTTTTAAAAAAATAACGATTTTTTTTCATTTCCATAGTGATTTTAATTCACCATTAAACAACAGTGAATAGTTAGAAGGTTTATTAAAATGACAAGATATAAATAGTGTCATTGAAGTATAAAGAATGTCACAGGGTAATTTTAACATTAAAATCAATATCCATGTTTAAAAAGCAAGGATCCCAGCCAACACAATTCAAAAAGTAAATTGTAGATCTGTAATCACTATTATGGAAATCGTAAAAAATCGTTGACTCCACTGAGCAAGAGGGAAAAGCACCTCAAGGTGCACTGAAAGACAGTATGATAGTACAAATCACAAGGTAAGAAGATATCAATGCATTTGATGACATGAATTTGAAATTAAACAATGTAACATCCCGAAGGCAACCATAAGAGTTTTATAATGCCATTTGCTGATGGGGATTAGTAACTTCAAAAGCATCAACTAATACAAGGCCTCTTCAGATAATGTTTTAGAATCACTGAGAAGGTCCTTTCAACAAATTCCTTGGGCAAAATCTGGGGATAAAAGATGTCCGAAAGCAGCAGCAAAAGTTCTCATAAATATCAATGAGGATCTCAGTGTAAGTAGAGTTCAAATAAAGACTGCTTACAGAAGGAAAATAAACAACACGGATGAATAAATTGCCTTTGCCCATAGATAGTGCAACATGAAGTTGTTACACGTAAGAGCTGCTTAAATTAATGAAGGAGTACTTGTATTCACAGTAGCCATCAGCTCCCCTCCCTCCTCCATTCATTGTAAAAATGTCGTTACTAATAAAAATATATCCAAAATACCATATTGACCTGAATATAAGGTTAGGTTCTTTCCTAAACATCTAATTTGAAAAAATACAGGGTTGTCTAACATTTGCAGATTAAGTGCAGCTGATTAGGATTAATATTCTCAAATTAACCATTCCCTGACAAGAAACTAATGCTGATGTAATGATAAAACACAAAGGCAATAATGTGTAAATAATAAACCATGTGTACCAACAGGGTACTTCTGAAAGGTATGTGATGGTCAATATAGTTGCAATGAACACATTTTAAAAGAAAAAACACTGAAAAAGTTTACGCTATCTGCCTTCGTTCTGAAGTTATACAGTGTGACATATACAATGACATGAGTTGTATTGTCAGAATAATATTTCTGTCCACATGACAGCTAGAGGCTGATAGGGGAGAGGGTGTTTCATTATCCAATCCAAGGCTTCACATGTTGATGATGTCACTGCAGTTGCCAATACTTATTAAGGAAAAAAATGAAATCTAAGTGTGAAGCTACTGCAAATGAAAGAGCACCATTACTTTTTTAGTTATGCATCATGTGTGCAGTTTTTTATAATTGACCGTCGTATGCTCTTATTGCGATTTGTTACTTGTTGCTACCGCTGCTGTTGTGATCTGATGCGAGAATGACCACATGTCTATTGCCCAAGTAAGTGGCAACATTGCTCTATCTCACTCCAGTTGTCAAGTAGACAGAAATGTATTATTTGGACAATAGTTCTCTATATTTTTGCCCTTTTCTCTGCAATCATAAATCCTACCTCTCTTGTGGGATGCAGTATTTCACGTTGCATGTGAGAATTAGTTACACGCATTTCAACAGCAACAGATTTGACATGGTCATTCATGGCACAGGCTTATCCAAAAAAAATTAAAAATTTTGGTATATTACAATACTTTGCATTTCAAGAACATAGACAAATAGTTTTCATTTACTGTTGATATTTTCTTTGGGCAAAATGTTCCTTGGCTTCCACTACACAATGCTGGGCGATTCAGACAAACATTTTGAATGGACCAGTTATGAAAATCTCACATGAATGTGGATGTGGTAAGTGAAACAATGAAAAATGGTGGAAAATTGTGGCCAAGATTTTATTGAGGTAAAGGGATATATTAGTTTACTGTTAGCAACTCAACCATTCAAGACTTGACAATGAAAATTTTAAGTTAATACTAGTTTAACTTGATGAAGTCATTTGGTAAAACTCAAGGGGTAGTTAGGGGATTTGACAGTGATATTTTGGAGGGCATGGGTAGTGAGCAAGATGTGAAAGGGTTGTTTGGGCATGATTACGTGGATTCAAAATCACGAATTAATTGCAATAGGGTGAACTGTGTGTAAGTATTCTAATAAGATTCTTTAATCTTAATTAACATTGTATTATTTGGTATTTAGTATGAGAATTGAAGTGAATTTTAATTTCTATATTGTATTTAATTTTTAGAACCTGTATTGTACATTACATGATTATGTACATATCCTGACTTGTTATGGCTTAGGCTGTATTTATGTGACAAATATTATTAACCATTATCATTATCATCATCATCATCATCATCGTTATTACTATCATCATCATCATCATTATTATTAATATTATTATGGGTTGGCCGAGTGAAAGGAGTTTTGTGATAGCTTTGAGCAAAAGTGTATGAAGAAGAGGTAGTAAGAAAGAGGCCATTTATACGCTTAAGTGTTCTATGCTAGTTCATGAAAAGTAAAATAAATACGAAAGATTCTAGCCTTTCCTGGGTGGGAGGGGGGTTCCCCAACTTATATGAAATAATGAAGAAATACCACGTTGGGCAGTTTCATTGGTTTATTTCAGAGCACTTTATGTAATTCTAGAGGGAAGGTATAAGAAAACGCCCCTTCTTCCTCCCATTCCCCGTTCCCTTTCCACCCTTTCTTCTCCTCTCCCTCTCCTTGCTCGCTTTTCTAGGCGTACCGTGTTCTCTACTTTAACCATCAACAAAACACAGTTGACAGATAGAAAAAAAAGAATACTTTTGATTTAGAATTCATAAATTCATTCTGTGAAAACATACCTGCTATTAAAAGCCATGCACCAGATGGATCAAAACACATACAAGCAATTCTTCTATTTGGGTCAGCAAACCATGGAATTAATTTCATCACTGGCTTATCTGGAGGTTCTCCTGGCAAGAAGTGTAAACTGAGGTCTCCATCCCTAGAGAAAAAGCACACCAAAAAGATGTTTATGCCGTTGCTATATATTTTTTCAGATATTTCACTAGCATCATTTTAAATTATTCCAAATCAACTTTCCTTCTGAAGTCACCCCACAGAATTTATTTTTATTTGATTGTTATATCTAACATTAATCTATCAATTTTTCATATTTTCATTATAATACTTAATTTCACACACTAATATGAACTTTGACTGTTTTCATTACATCTCTTTTTAGTCATGAATCCTCAAATGCAATAAATTGTTATTTCTATTTTTCATTTCCTGCAGACCTACCCATAATACTTGTCCCCTAATATTTACTCACATTATTTTCCTGTGGCTGTACCTACTTTTTAATATTTGTTTTCCACATATCACATTGCCAGAGAAAGATGGCATAATCTTTATATGTAGAACGTATCATGTAGAAACTCACCCAGCCGTAAATGCAAGGAGCTGCTTCCTTCCAATTTCAGCACGTGCAGCGACTTTTATATTTCGTGCTGTAAAATGTTTTTTCAAAACAAAAAGTTCCTCATCAGGAAGAGGTTGGGAGTCTTTTTCTTCTGTATCACTGGACGTTGTTGTTTCTTGATTCATGTTAATGTTAAGTACCTGTAATAATAAGTGTTATAAACGTAATTCACAACTTCTGATGTAGGATAAAGACAAGTATAAAATAGTTTACAAATTACAACACAACTAACAACTTGATATATTTTTATCATAAATTATTTTGTCATTATCCTCTTTCATATTTTAAAAGAAATGTCATTAGAAAAAGGAAATAGGACAAAAGTTTGTGAGTCTCTGAAGCAGTTTAAGGATTATGATTTCTATGAGGTTTTCCTTTATGTATCCTCTTTCTGAGGAACAGGGGTCAATAAATATTTACATTTTCATAATGCAAAATCAACAACTCTATTAGGATACCTCTTGCGCGTGAACTACAAATAATTCTAGATTCAATAAAACGTGAGATTATCCTCACTGACCCGAGGTCGAATAGCAGAAATCCGAAAAGTCTACTTACTTGTCACGAAACTGAAAGAAACCTTTGGATATGAGGTGTTGGATCTATTGTTGGTTTCAAAGTTGCCTTTAAAAACAGAAAAGTAGACAGTCATGGACATTGCCGCAAGTTATGAAGAGTAGAGAGACATTTTCCCGAATACAGATACAAACATTTGTGCTCGGGTTGGCAGTAATGCCTCTCAGAATGTTCAGTTGGTTGACAACATTGGGAAGGGGCGAAGAACTCGTCATTTGTTTACATTTATGCGCGCTCTGAGGTGTCTAATTTCATGGTAGTGGGAGCAAGTGAGCTTATGCGTCACCAGGGGTGATTCGTGGTCTCGTTTTTCGTTCTCGTATTTGCGTATTTTCACTCAGTTTTGCCGATTTAGTCTGACGCGTTATTATTGATAGGTTGTGTCGTTAAATAGGAAGTGCGTATTATATATTTGGTGGGTTGATGGGAGGGAGAGTTTTTGTCGATAATTGCTAGCCACACCTGAATTTTACTTGGTTTTACGAAATTTAATTTTCTTTCAATATTAGTGACAATCAGGATGGACGGTGAAGATCCGGGGACAAAACGTTTGAGAGGTCGTGGTAGAGGTAGGGGAAGAGGAAGAGGTCGTGGCAGGGGTCGGGGGCGTGGAAAAAAGACAGCAAAGGTAGTCACAGTTATTAAGGTTAAATTTTTTTGTTTCTGTTGTTTTCTTATATTTGATTAATTATTACAGCCAATAGAAACGGATGTGTTATTCGAAATATTTGTTACAGGTTATAGAGAGTGATGAAGAAGAAGTTCCCATCCAAACTGGAGAAGAAGTGGTGGAAGGAAATGAAGAGAATCAACAACCTCCCAAAAGCATGACACCACAATGTACGACATCCTTCATTTGTATTGGGATTCAACTGGTGTGAGAAAAGCTCATTTCTTATTGGTTGTGTTTTTATCCTCCCCTCTCTTTCCTACTCTCTCTATGCTGAAAGTCAAACACTTGAGTTCTGAAATAAAATACGGGAAATATGTTTTTTCAAAGAAGAAGAAATAGACAAGGTAAACTGGGTAAGAAGGTTTATGGGTAGGTTGCGTTGATCTATTTGAATCATGCTTTATTGCACATTTATGTAGAGTGTTTAATTAAAAGGTATTTCAATAAAGTAACTTCTTGAAGTTATATTTGTGCTCCATTAATGTCATTACCAGGTGCAATTTGAACTTAAGATTATTATACTAGACTTCACTGATTGTGTGCATTAATCTAATTATTTGTGTTCTGATTTTTAATAATTGTAATGTGACACTTTAATATGAGATACCATCTCAAATTAATATTTTTGGTTCACATGTCGATAAATGTTGCTTTGCAAACATTGTGTTATAGTTGGATATACATTTTCATCAAGGCAATGGATTTTGTATTAAATCTGACTATCAAAAGATTCACATGTATTTATACGTCAAAAAGATAGATGAAACTTGAGACTTGTCAATCAGCAGCTTCGCATTACTTTCAGTGAACTTGAGATTTGAAACTTACTTGATAAAATGCTTGTGCTCAATGTGATGTTAATTAAATAGGAATTCATGTTTTCAATTTGGTGTAGTTCTTTGCTGGAAACAATGGGGGATGATTGATAAGAGTTTTGAATTAAACACAATCCAGTTGAATCTCATTGTATTTTTAAAAAAGTATTGTCATTAGATAAAAATAGTTAATATGTATTTTTTTTCATTATTTAGTTGACATGGAAGCTGATATTTCACAGCTAGAAGCACCTACATTTACTACAATTAACAGGGGACCTCCAGAACCTATGCTGAGGCTGAGATGGGATCATCGAGTGAATCTGATTGGGGAGAAAGTTTTGAATCCCATGATCCATTGTTGTGACAAATGTTTAAAACCAATTTTAATCTATGGTCGAATGGTAAGTGAAGCAGACTTTGCAACTTAAGACAGCAATATTTATGACCAAGGACACTATTTGCCAACATATTTCTCCATAAAAACTACTGTATTGTTGACATACTCTTGTTAAATACAAAATTAAGTGCTTCCTATGATTGGAAAAGGTAGTAAAAAGATTTCTTTTAATGTACACAACATTGTTTTCTAACATAATATAATTTTGTAAAATTTTTGGTTTACAAAGAATAATGAAAGATAATTGAATTCTTAAGATTCTTCTTGGTTGTTTTTACTAGAATTGGCAAATTTATAAAATCAAACTCGTGGCTTTATTAAAATAAGTCTGTGTGTGTGTTTTATGAGATATATTCATTACTAATATTTGGGTGCCTCCTCAGGAAAGACATTGACTTACTATTAGACTACTAAGTTTATTTGGCTCAATTCTCAGCCTTTCAACCTTTCAGTTGTTACCTTTCCTTTGTGGTACCTCCTCATTGTCGCAGGGCATGAGACTTCCTTGCAGTCTATGATCAAAAGGATTTGAAAGAATCCTAAAACACAGTAGAGGCATTTGCCTCTTTGAGGCTGAAATTGATTACCAATGAACTAGCATCTTAGAGATTGAAATTAATTGTTGCCTTATTTTACATGGCAAGACTCAGGCCATGAGGCCTGCTCTTCTGTCCAACCGTGCAAATTTCGCAATGCTCCTTTCACCAATTAGCGCAGAAAGGAGGTAATTCTTGGGCAACGAAACAGGCCATTTGAATTTAGCTCAGAGGCTTCATTTAGGCTTGAGAATCTTTTACATGCAGTAAATCTTCTAACATGGGACAGCAAGTTTTGCTTCCCCTCTGTGGGAAGGTGTACAAAGGATTGTTTCACTCTAAACATTCACGGCTTGGCTTGAACCCAGAGATGGCAGATGCACACCATTTTTAACTCATTAACAGGATTTTCCCAGCCTATAAGTTGCTTCAGAATGGAAATTTTGTGGTAGAAAACTTGCTTACTCATCATGTGTAATACAAATAATACAAGAATGAATCATCACATCCTGACAAGTAGAGTATGGCATTGGCATCTTCTCTCAGCCCACTCTACATAATATATTAATGCAGTGATTTATTGTGATCCACCCAAAGCAGCTGAATTTTCATAGCAAAATGGTATTAAACCCTGTCCTGCCACAAATTCAAAGAAAAGTCTGATTGACTTTATCTCCTTCAGTTAAGAGGTTAATAAAATGTCGACAAAGTTGTGAGAAACTAATTCTGTAATGGGTATATTTTGCTTTTCAGATTCCTTGCAAGCATGTGTTCTGCTTGTCTTGTGCCAAGAGAGAAGATAAAGTATGTCCGCGATGCATGGAGAAGGTGACACGTGTGGAACAAACTGGCTTAGGAACTGTGTTTATGTGCACACATGGTGGAACTAGATATGGCAATGCTGGCTGTCGTAGGACATATCTCTCTCAACGGGATCTCCAGGTAAATGAAATCTTTGTTTGGCAATATAAAGATCATTCTTGGCAGTGTATGATAATAGTAAATAAGAATAATTTATTATCATTATTATTATTATTACCAAACCCTCCGTCAGCAAAGTAGCTACTTTGACAGGACAAAAGCGTATATACTAATGTATAATATAGTTGTGTGTGTTACGTAAAATTCTTTTAAAAAACTGTTTGTGCAGTTAGAGCTTTAGTTGCTATTGTCATGTAACATTAATTATCTTAAGAACCAATACTTTTTTCCAAAGACAACTTGTAGATCATAACGATTTCTATTCTCCTGTCCTGAGTGGGTAAAATAACACACACCGCCCATCTTTGAATGCACTCACAATTAGCATATTCAATTGCCTACCTGCTGCTGGCAGGTAGGCAATTCCAGAGTCAACAGGTTGTCAATGCTCCTAGCATTTACATTTGGACCAATTTTATGCTGTTCTATCTTGATTATCATCTACCATCTTTTTCTTTTTTTACCCTCTTGGTTTTTGGTTTTCTTTACTATTTACCAAATTGTATTTGTACATTTTAAATTTTATATTTCTTTCTCATGTGTATCTGTTTTATCATGAACATAATCAGGATTTCCATGCCTGTTCATGTATTTAGTGAATAAAGAAATCAATAAACTTATTTGAGATACTTATTTTTATTAAGGAACAGATTTCATTCAGGAAAAAAAAAATCTCAATCTTCAATATCTTAGTTGTAGGAAGACACCCCCCCCCTCAAATGCACTTTTGCAATTTCCAAAAAATCAGCAATTCCATGGAAAATAAGATCAGGGACAGTCTTGTAAGCCTTCTTTATGCTATCCGAGGACAGCTTAATCAAAAAATTTGGTATCATTTTTGAGAAAGCTTTGAAAATGTTTTTGATGTAAAGTACCCTCAAAAATCAAAATATGTTTGAAACTTGTAAAGACTAGTTAATTCTAATTGTTTTTCCGTCTGTTTTGCCGTCAATAAATAGAATTAACATTTAATAGCAAGTTGCATGAAAAAATTCTGTCTTATTTAAAAATCTAATTTACTTAATGGTTTTTCTCTTGGAATTTGTCATGTGGTGCATCTTATTTAAAACTCGGTTACTTTATCTCCATAGGCTCACATAAACCATCGCCATATTGCTGTTCCTGTCCAGCCACTCACAGAGACAAATCAGTTCCCACTTGTGGTGACAAGTGGAAGCACTAAGCCAGCTGCTGCTGGGCAGGACTCCATGATGGTGGTGGCAACATCAGCCCAGCGTATGAAGTCCAACCACCTGGTCGCCCAACCCTCTCTTGGGGATCCACGTATTCAGCACGTTGTGCCCGTTTCCAGTTCTGAACATCACCGCAGAGTGCCCCCACCACAACCTTCCCCTCCGCCTCCCCCACCCCCACCTTACGCTCCTCATACCCCTCATCCACACCGTCCTCCCATGATAGTCTCTGGGTATGCTACTGCCCAATCTGCTCCACAGTCAAACCCTGCCAATATGCGCACAAATCTTATCACTGTTCCAATCCAAGACAGCAGCAACCCCATTTTGGTCGAGCATCCTCCTCCCAGTTACCATCATTACGCACAGGCACCTCCACCCCAATACTCCCCGTATGGAGTGCCTCCACCGGTGGTGGCACCACCACAGCCACAAGCGGCGTATTACCAAGCCCCGCCTGGAAGTGTGGTGAGCTATGCCACATCCCAAGTGCCGCAGTACAGCCAAGCAGTTCCCCAAGGCACTGCTCCAGGTCGAGCACCGCAATATCAAGAAACAGTGACTCAGCAGTATACTGCCCCACCGCCCACTCAGTGGCAGCATCCAGCGAGCACCGCGTCCTTCTATAGATAGGTGCAGTGTCCATGGGTGGTGCATATCCATGGACCATGTAGGAGGATATTTCGTTGCAGGCCATCCACGTAAAAAATAGCAAACTTAGCAGTTGTGATAAACTTGTTGGCAGTGACTTGTGCCATAAGTGTCACTTGTATATTTATATGTTAATGCACTGAATTTGTGAGCCAGTTGCTTCTAGAATGAACTATCCATCTATTTGTAGATTATTATTATTATTATGAAATGAAGTAAGTGACATGCATGCATCACATGTTTTGAACTCTGACATTGTCTCTGAAACTTGGTTTCCAAGATTCTCATGGATAATTTTTATGTATATAGAAAATGTGTAATGTATTGTGAGCTAATATACTAGATAGTTTTGTAAACTAAAATATAATGAAAAGTTATAGATGCTGTTCCTTAATGCACTTGCTGATTGTTTAAAGATATATTAATGACAGATGCTGCATTTGAAATGGAAATTATTTGCATTTTAGATAGCAGCTATTTCATTAACATCCAAGTTTCTTAGTAGAGAAATATGAGACAGCAGTTTAGAAAAATTAGTGGAAGAGGCTTCACAGAAATTCTATATGAAATTAGCTCTAGTGTCTATTGTACATAATTTCAAATAAGTGTTTAAAAAAACATTGAGATTCATTGGTTTGCTAAAGTATGGTTAGTAAAAACCTCAGAGAATTGAATATTTCAATGAGGGTATTGCAGCGAATGATGACTCTTGATAGCTAAGGGATACTTCTTGTAAAAATATAACCTGCTCTTGCCTTCGACAATGGAATTATCTCTTCATGTCAACTGAATAAACTTTTTAATTAATAATGATTGTTAAAACATTACTCACCTGATTTTTTAAGATTTTTTATTTTTTTATTTTAATAGTACTTTGAAAGTGAATATAAAAATTGCTCTTACCTGAGTAACTAACTACCTTTGTCAGTAAATAACCTTTTTTCAGTTCTTGATATTTTTTAAGGTTAATATAACAATCATCCAAGAACCTTATTGTATTCTGCACACAACCTTCCTCCCATAGTTTTTGTGAAGAAACTTGTGTGGTTTTTGCTGTAGATAAGCACAACTCACTGTGCAATTACTAGGGGCTGACAAATAACCAGTTGTGAAGTTGTGTAAAGTGTGTAGCTTCTGAAAATCAAATTTCAACTAATAAATTTATTGATTGATAATTTTAAAACTTTCATTAAAGTAATAAAGGAGTAGTACTTCACAAAATAAAAAGTGTAGCAAAATTTAACATTTTTCGAATGATTTATAGACCTTATTAGTGATTAATAAATGATACTAAAAAGATCAAACTCCCTAGTAAATTGCTGGTTAGCAGGGGGGGGGACATAATTCAGCCAAGATGTTGATACATGGAACTATCTTCCAGCTCTAATACAAACTTCTGATTAAAAACTTGATTAGACCATTAAAACAATTAATTTTTACCAGTTGACAACTTACATTACTCTGTTTTTGTTTTATTAAACTAGCCACTCAGAAAATAATGACCCCTTACTAGTTTAGGTTATTGTATAGGTGTTTAAATTACCTATTTTATTTACTTGTGACTAGGGGTTACAAGCATTACCAGTGTTACTGCCTGTTACTGTACAATGGCTGTGTAAATAGAATAAATTAAAATAAAATAATAGAAAAGAGGAATATTTTGATTCTTAACAGCAAAAATTGCAAGATATGTAATTAAAATAATTTTAAATTGTGATCCTGATTCTAATTTGTGATAAGTGGAGAATTGTTCTGAAGAAACTAAACTTTTATAAAAATCCTTGAAATTACTTCCCTACAAAGAAATCATATCAATGATTTTACTTATTATGTATATGTTAATATACCTAACATACATTAAACTTTTAGTCAATATCTACAATTGTTTGAACTCCTTTATTGATCCTTTTAATCCAACCAATCATTACAAATGCGGTGTAAAAGTAAAGAATTTCACAGAGAGGTATCATATTAAGGAATTGTTTGGAAAAAAAAAAGAAAAAGGAAAATCGCATCATCAGGAAGTATAAATGAAATCCATATCACCCACCCCTTTAAAAAGTATCTTGTGATGCTTAGTTGCGCGTAACTTAGAAATGTATCTGTAGGTGTTGTGCTAGGTATATCCAAAGCATTTGACACTTCCTCACGCTGCGAATCGGTGGACTCTGTCCAGGAAAGGGATCCTGACGCCTTTACCAATTTCGTAATGGACTCTTACACCGGTGTTTCCAACGTCATTCAGCAGCCCTCGAAAGGAATTGAGGTGCCAATTCGTAGAGATGAAAAACAGGGGGATTCCTTGTCTCTACTCCTTTTTAATCTCATCATGGAGTGCCTGCTTAAGAAATTGGAAAATATGTCAGGATACACGCTATTGGGAAGGAGTGTGTCCATGTTAGCATTTGCTGACGATCTGGTGCTGCAAGTATTAGATGCCCCGGGAGCTCAAGAATTGGTTGATATTGTGATGGAATATCTTAGGGCCCTCGGAATGACATTGTCCGTAAATTCCAATTACAACTTTTAAACGATCCTGGTTCATTGGGACCCCTGTCTGGAAAGGTTGGTGGAGAGAATTCCCCTTGTCAGCAATGATCATACTCTTACATACCTGGGACTGAACTACTCTATCTGGAATGGCTTCCCATCTAAAGCATCCATATCAAATTTAATGGAAGCAGTGTCGAGGCTTCAAAAGGCACATTTAAAGCCCTCTCAGAAGTTGGCATTACCTCATACCTACATAATGCCCCATTTCCTTTATCAATTGGTTCTATCGATACCATCAATGTCGGTGCTCAGGTAAGCAGACGGCTTAATCTATCTGGCCAAGAGAGATTGAGGACTGGGATTGCTGCGGCTCGCCCAACACGTTCCTAGAGTTGCGCTGAACCTAGGATTACGATTAGAAAAATCTGTAGATCCTATTTGCAGATGGTTGAGCTCCTGTTCGAGTTTTTACCAATGGACACTTAAGACTGCAAAATCACTGAGGCTCAACTGGCCCTATTCTGAACAAGATTTTAGAGCTTATAAGAAGAAATGCTCCGATGACGAGGTAGCCGCCTGAGAGAAGCTGGGATCCCAAGGGAGAGCGGTTAGGGCACATATAAATGATCCTATTGGAAATGCCTTTTTGAAAGATTATCATCTTCTGAAACCTGGTCTTTTTATCATTGCTCTTCAATTGAGATTAAATACCACTGCCAATAAAACTACTCTTAGTAGAGGAAGGCCCAGAGAGGATGTTTACTGCAGGAAGTGCAATAGAGCGGTAGAAACCATAAATCACATCCTCGTCAGTGCATTTTTAGCCAGCAAGAAAAAAGCGTCATAATAAGATCAAAACGTTCATAGAAGGGAAGATGCTCCGGAAATCGGACATGGTGGTGTCCACAGAAGCCACTTTCTCTGTTGCTGAACCTGACCTGGTAATAAAAGGCCGGGAAAGGGTCCACGTGGACGATGTGACTGTCCACCACGAGGATGGGTCTAGCCTTCTGAAGGCAGAGCAAGAAAAGGTGGTAAAATACCAACCAGTCATCCCCCAGGCAGCCCAACTTCATGGAGTACCCAATCCTGCCAGTGGTGGTAGGAACCTCTAGGGCTATGCCAAGATTTACAGTCAGTGCCCTCAAGACCCTGGGGATCACGTCTCGAGGTGATCTACTGACTATCTTGTTAATTGCTCTCAGTAGCTCTATTAAACTTTACACTCAATTTGTAAATTACGATGGAGCAATTTAGCATTGCTGGTAGTAAGTGGAAGAAAGAAACTTCAATGTCCTGTGGAGAATACTAGGGAACCCATTGGATCCTAAAATGCCTGGGAATTACCCAGTGACCACGACTCTAAGTGGGAAATGTACGCTATTTAATGTAGCATATAGAAAATTGTGCATAACTTAGAAATGTATCTGAAAGTCCTGAAGGTTATTTTTTGAAGCCAAATGCCTTGAGTCATGTTCCACTTGCTGTAATCCAAATAATGAGATCTTAGGAGACCTATTACAGATTTTTGGATTTGGCACTAGTTGGGAGAATCTCTAATTTTACTAAAACAGACTTGTTTTCGGATGCGATAGATTGAATTCCTGATTTTTAAGTGAAAAAAATCTTTCTTTTGAATTTGGGTAAAGTGAATGAGGGAGAGAAAATGGTTCTATATCTCTAAGTGAAACTCCTAGAAAGGTTTGGAGTGGGTTCATCATTGTGGGGGTTTAATGTAGATCATATGTAAAATCAACCAACAAAAATTTTATTTTTAAGTTGGGAAATATTTGTAGTTTTAAAAACTTGATCCATCATTTGCAAATATAAAAGGGAAACTATTAATAAATATACATTTTAAACAAGCATTGACTCATCTTCTGGTTATTGCTAATGATATTTACATATGATAGTGTTAATGGATTGCTGTAAATAAGGAAAAAATAATAAAAGAAATATCAGCATACCAGAAGAAATAAGGTCAACTAATGATCTGTTCAAAATTCTGCTGAAAAACCACACAAAATGGTTTTCTAGAATGTAGCATGTGCACTACTCAAGAACAACAAATAAAATACTCTCTTATAACACTACAATAAATTAAATGTTTTAACAAATAACAGTCTTCACAATTACTGCAACAACATATTAGAATGGCACTACATTTCTCCAACGATAATCAAAAAGTCTTGTCCTAAAACACAACCGTGAAAATTTAAAATATTTAATAGGAGCCTCTCCTTGGAGCATGGGATAACCAACTGTGGACATACCAAGGCCTGAATAACATCTGTATATGGAGTAACATCCATTAACAAATTCCACTGTACAAAACAAAAATTACATACATGTCCAGGTAAACAATGTCCAATTTAATATATGTCCATAAAGTTTGTAACAAAAAGTTCCACAGTAGAAGAATGTCTATTAGTCAAATTTGTAAATTGTTTTAAAAATATGAGAACCACACAGATAGACTTCAACATTTTTTTTGTACTTGTGCACATCTTGGACTACATATTGTTGTTGCATTCCTTCACTGTTGTTTAACCCCTTACAAATATCTTGTTTGCCTCTCATGAGGTTCTTTCCTTCAATGTTGCAGGGACCCAGAAATTCTCTGCAGCATGATCTGCTTAATGAAAATAAACGAATCAGCTTTTGTTACACACTGGGCCGTATTTCTTTATATACAGTACCAATATGTACATCTTTTGAGAAATAATAATTTGAGCCATTTACCTACCGAACAGGAGGAATTTTTTAACCATTATCACTGAAAAATTTGGAACTTCTAATGTGTGTCAATAATACTTCATTCTAGTACTATGTAATTATCTCCTTTTGTTAGTGTGAATGCACCTTAATATCATAGAAACATTTTTGAACATTGGACCCTGGATGTTTTTAAGTGAACATTATGCATTGGACATTTTTGTAGGTGGACCTTTCTGTAAATGGACATTCTGAAATAGACATTCTTACCTTACTGTCTGTATGTGCATGAAAACTTTCATTGTTTTGGATTTTTCCTTGAATTCTTGGAGGAATGAATAAAACCATAGACACTTCACATGACTGGTGGCTCCATAGGTTTCTTTCTGTTTTTTTTATGTAATGGAAATGAGTAATATAGATGATTTTGTGTTACCTGAGGTCCAATGTATGTAATAAAACCATAGATGCTTCCTTATATGTTGCATAGTTTTCTTTCAATTACTTTGCACATTGAAAATTAGTAATAAAGTGACAAAAATAAGAACCACCAATACTACTAAAACTAAAGTAATTCCCTAAAAAAGTCTGGAACTATAGCAACATTGGTTTTTGAATCACTGTGGTACGATGTAAATGAAAGACATATCTACACTCTCTTATAGTTTGGAGCGTTTATGCAGATCTGAAATGTGAAGTCCTCTGTCCTTGTTTAGGCAACTATTAAATAGGTAACAACTTCTTGAAATACAGAGAGAAACAGAAAGTGAGAACATGTGAATGAGCAGAACCCATAGTTGTAGCCTACATCACTACAACTATCAACATCATCATCCCTTTAAAACCTTCATATGCAAACAGACCAAGAAAATGTTGGGAAGATAAAGATCTTGGAAGTGACTAAGGGAATACAGTTCTCATGAAGAATCCGAAATACATAATTCTGGCACTTCACACTTAGTCTTCAATGTTTATATTCAAAATTACCCTTGGGTATGTGATACCCATCTTAGTTGCGGTTTATATTTGATTAGCTTATGGTTCTTTGAGTTATTGCTGAAATCGTCTCATGATTGTTTCTGGAACGTAAATGAAGCCTTATCTACACCCTCAATTTTTTTTTCTTTTCCTAAGTAAATAAATATTCTATTAATTTTAGCTGGTATAGCAGAGGTAGCTAGAACACATTCACTGTAAAGGGTTGCACATTCCAATTCTGCCAATCACACATGTTTCCCCATTGCTTTTCCTCGGAGTCTTTTCTGCTGATCCTAAATCTGAGGAATTTGCAAGTGTGTTAGTGTGTGGTTCTAGGCACAGTTCATTTGGGTGTAGGCCCTTTAAAATTTGCCGTAACTGGCTTTATTTGGAATCAGTTCTAAAGAGAAAAATTATTCTTATTTCCACTAAGTTTGTTTGACAAGGAATTTTAATACAAGACAAAATTAGGGAGTTTTGCAAGCAATCAACAGCAAACTCAATCTTCTGCACATGCTCAACGATGCTCAAAGGCAATGTGAAACTTGAACTGCTTATGTGCACAAGATTTATAGGGCTGTTCATTATTTTAACACTTCGCCAAGCAAAAAACACACCATTAATTTTTTTAAAACCTTTTCTTCAAAATGTAAAATTTAACTTTCTATTTCTTGTTTGCTAGCATCCTTTTTATCGTTTACCAAATTCATAGTCTTCCATTATTAATGCATTATTTCATCCAGGTGTTCAGAATTAATTTATAATAATATAATATATTATCTTCATTCAAAAACCCTTTATTCAGTGTTTTGTAATATCACATTGTCTTTTACAATTATAAGAAGCAAGCACACTCTCCACCATTTTAATACACAAAATATTGACAAAATTATTTGAGTAGTCAATGGCACCATCAAAAGTTACAGGCATGCCTGGAAAGATACAATGTCAGAATTCATTATTTGGAGATATTTTAAAAATAAAACTTGTTCAGAGAGAAAAAGAGAGCAAAAAATAATGAATACTGCACATGTTGTTTCATGAAATTATTAACAGATTTATATACCAGCAAATAATAAATTCAATGAAATTTCTGTCCTACAATCCACCATGGATTTTTCACTCATATTTTACGATCTTCCCAACACTAGTGTAGTGTGTAACAGATCACAAAATGATCATCAGTGTAATTTGTTCACAAGTTTTTCAGTGAACAATACTCATTAAAACGGTAATTAGTACCTTTCCAAATATATTTTGCTCTAATGATTTTATTTTATACCAACCTATTCTAAACAGCTATTTTCCTAGTTTCAAGTGAGTAGACTAGATTTATTGTTAGAATATCCTAGTGCTACTTTTAAATATTTTAACTTTGAATATTAAAAACATGTTAACATTTGAATAATTTTAATATACATTCGTTTCTTAACATTGGTATTCAAAAATATAGATCCATGTAAATACAACATTATTTTAAAATTAAATATGACAATAAGTCATTGTTTTATGATATGCATGACATCTGCAATAAGTACAAGTAAAAAAAAAATCCTGAAATCACAAAAATCACTACTTTATAAAATGTGTAATGAATAATCAATTCAACAACAAAATAAAGTTAGAACTTTAATTGCAACATTTTATTTCTATTATTTCCCAGACTACCATTTGTTTTGTGTGAACTGGAAGTTGACTTATTTGAAAATTGTGACCCGTGCAACTAACAACATTTGCAAAAATAAATAAATTTCTATAAAAATAAAGTTCTATGAAAGAGCTAGTGAAGAACAATGGAGTACTAACTTATTTTATCTTTGGAAGTAGAATGCTATAAGATCACTAATGACAAATGCTACAAATTGCCTTGGACACTGCTGGACATGGCAAGTAAGCCATCAATGGTAATAACTGCTGGTTTCTCTCCAGTGGTAAAGAACAAAGGATATTACATATCATGATATATATACATAACACTCAATACCACTAGCCATAATGGTATTCCAGAGGCCCCAATGGCTTCCTAAACCAGAGTTCTTGGTTTCAAACCTTGCTGTAGGTTTTCAAATATAGAACATTCTGAGTGTCATGCTTATGACATCTGGCTAAATGATCAGTAAAATTAACTCTGAAGTTCTGCAGCCTAAACAGATCTCATTTATGCTATGTAGAGAACAAGGCAAGTTCCGTAACAGAAACTGCTATTTTGTCAATAGCTGGCAGTAAATGTGGAAGATAAAAATTAATTAGTAGAGTTGGGAGCCATCAGAGCAACAATTCAGTCAGGGATAGACCAATGGAAAGTTTCAGATATCCAAGTACTAGAGAACAACATTTTCAATTATATACCAATCATGTAATGGGCTGAGTTTTGAATTAATTGAAACTAATTTGAACTAATTCTTTTCTTTTAAAATTTAAAATAATTTCTTAGTGGTAAAAGATGGCTTCTCTGGTTTGGCTATTGGATTCAGGCATACTCTTTCATTTAACATTGAAAGAAATCCTTCAGTAACTCAGTTTCATTGTCATCCCTCCTTTCTAGTTTACTGTAAGCTTTCTTGATGATGCTCCCTTTTTTTACTTAATCTATAATTAAATTAATGCGACAATTTGAGTACCTAAGACTGACTTATTGTAACTAAGTTATTTTTTCACAACTAAGAAGAGGAAAATATTCATTTGACATGTCTTTAAGAGTGAGCAGTTTTGGAACTACATAGAATGCTTACTTCCAACCTCCTCTCTGCAAAGGTTTTCTGAACATGGCATTATTTTCGTGCCTTTCAAAATAAAATCTCTCTCTCTAAATACTGATTTTAATGATGATTTTATTTTCAACCGTTTATTCAGATTAGGTCTAGACCCTTTGATTTACTGAACATGAAAAGCTCAACATTTTAAGTGTTTTTGTCACCAAAGAAGTCACTTCAATTTGCACAAAATTTTTCATATCTTATCTTCTATTTTCTCTTCTTTTCACATTATTTGAAGATATTATGCATTATCCAGTTTGACATTTCTCATTTTATTCTTGATATACATATTGAGATTGTGACTGAATTTCAGTTGCTTATAAAACTATTCTTTCAGTAAGACCCTGCATCTTTTCGTCTGTGCAAGGTTTTACTTCAGAACAGATGTAATAATATGTAATACTATAGTAGTTCTTTTCCCATAATGATTCTAATATGTGTATTTTGCATTAGTGAGTCACAGATGCTTTCATCTTTAATCATTTAGACAAACTATGAACAGAGCTTAATAATAATGGCTTCTCGTTTTATGTTTCTGGCTTTCCTGAGCATACACAGAATTTTCAATAAGCCAAAAGTAATACTGAAGAAGAGATAAAACACTAACAAAATCTAATTCTTTTTAGATGTGAACAGTTAACTTACATGCAATGACAATTTTCTATGCATTAAACTGATCATAAGTAAAGCCCTCTGGACGTTCAAGGAGCCACTCCTGTAAAGGACATAGATGAACATAAAATTATTGGTTAGTGAAGTTTGTTTGGCCTCAAACCAAAGAATATTTATCAGAAAAGCAGTTTTCTTGGACTAACATATTTGTTGAGGCATTAAGTTCAATGAAAATTAGGAATAGAAAAACTATCTACAATTATGTGTTACATAAATGTAACTAATTATACTTTGTTCCTCAGAACAATGCCCCTAATTAGATTTTTAATGGGAAGACCCCTTACAAAATAAATATTAATTTTATGGAATATATAAGGAAGGATATAATAATATAATTATAAGGAATAAATCAGTTTCTGAAGCATTCTTTCTGCAATGTAAATCAAAATTAATACTGAGATTGAAGTCAATAATTTGGCATTTTTATAAATCATTTTGGATCTTCTCATGAAAACACACATACAAATAACAATTGCACAATTATTTTGTTAGGAACAAAGGGTATTTTGAGAGTTCAAGTTTTATGAAAAATAAATATTAGTAAACAACAGTTTTTATTTTAAAAAATTTTAAAATCTTAAAACCTCCAGTTTTAAATGAATTTGGTATTCAGTGAAAAACTTGTGAACATTGGTATTAAATCAGTGACAAAATGATTACAAATATAAATATGTATCACATATAGTAGTTTACATGTTATCAAATCTTTCATTCTTTTTAATTCATAAACCTTTGCTTTTGTACTTCTAATATCACAAAAATTGTACACTCATATTAAAAAATAAATAAATCCATAAAGTAAATTTATTCCGCCTGCGGACAATTTCTTAGCCAGAAATAGGATGTTTCACCTTGGGCAAGTGGTGCGTATAAACAGCTGGAACAAGAGCTTTCAGCACAGTGTGGGTGATGATGGCAGTAAGGCCCCAGATGCGGTACTCTCCTCCAGTGAACACTGGCAGGGCAAAACTGCCTCGAAACTGAGTGTATCTGTTGCATAAAATATAAAGAGCATTATTTCACAGAAGATGGTTGACCATAATTTATAACTAGACCGAGCACATAATACAATCAAAAATATAAAAGCAACCTGATACAATTAAATGATACTTGTAATTGAAATCATTTTTATTCAATGATGATTTGAGATATATTCAACAATTTATCATAGCTTGTCCACACAAAGATTCAATTCTTGGTCTAATAAGAGAATTCTAATGAATATTAAAGGCAAATATATAGAAAAAATTTCAGAAACTAACAATTAAAATCAAGCAAATACCTGTTATTTATTTTATGGGATGCGTACAAAGTAAAACTTCCTGTAAAACAAAGATTTACAGGAAACCGATAAAAAAAATCATTTTGAGAGGGCAGGCCAGGGAATTCACTAACCCCAATCTCACAAAATGTGATCAATTATAGAATTAAAATTTTGAAATTAAAAATTACATTTATGTAGTTAAATATTACTGAAAATGTTAAATCAGTTGTAGAAAAACAAATACAAAAATTATGGTGTATTTGGGGTGAGTGGGGTGGGGGTAAGTTGTGTGGGGGTAGTGGTGCAAAGGAGGCAGGATGGCGGCGATTTGGGGGAAAGGAGCGAGTTGGGGGGAACGAGAGGCGGAAGTTGGGGAGGCGGAAGAGTGTGGGTTGATGGGGATAAGGGGGGGAAAGGAGGAAGAAGGTGGGGAAAGGAGAGGAGTGGGAGGATGGGAAGAAGAGGTAGGTTGAGTGTAGAAGAATGGCGAAGGACGGAAAGGAACGGAAGGAAGGTGGTGGGATAAGCGGAGGTAGAAAGAGACAGGAAGGTGGAAAGGACGGGAAGAATATTAAAACGGAGGGAGCAATAAGGGTTGAGAGGCATTAATAGAGGCTCACCGAAAGTTTAGGGGTGCAGAGGCGCTGCAGGGCACAGGCGAAAGCGGCTCCACCTCGTGCGGAGCAGAGAGCCAGCGCGCGCGAACGTTCCACTTCGCCCACGAAGCCCAACGAAAGGGCAGCAAGGCGGCGTCTCGGGCGCGCCGGCCACCGCAACGCCCGTGACCTCCACACGCGCACGCCGTCTGCCGCCAGCCCAGTCTTCCTCGCGCTGCCTCGCGCAGCGCCGTCGCCTCCAGGCTGCCCCCGCTCGCCGCCTGCCTGCGCACACCAAACGCCTGCCAATCAGGGCGGCTCCACACATGCGGCATACGTCGCGAGTTATGTGAGAGTTGCAGTCCCTAACCACCGCGTCGGTCTTTAGAACATGTCAAAGGGACGAACATCGCCGAAACACATCAGCTATTCGGTATGGGCGCAGCAGTAGCTCGCTGCCTCGGCGCATGCGATGTGTGAGCGCCTCCACGCGGATGAGCTAGGCTACAGTGTCGACTTTTCTGACTATAATGTCAAATTCAGCTGCTGTCTGGAGAGAAGTTCCGCGGCTACTCCAGATTCTCGTTCATGGCGAACACTTCATTAGATTTTTGCATCTTTTCATATAAATTTTTTGTTGGATAGTGTGAAGGACGTTTGAGAGAATGAAGCGTCTTTCGACAAAAAACAATTTGAAGATAATTTTTTAAACAAATGTGTTATCAAAAACAGTTCAAACTATTCAATATTTCGAAAATAGAGATTTGCGAATTTGTAGAACGCCTTTAAAACAGTTTTAACAATTTTTCAGAAACGCTTAAAAATTTCTGTCTTTTCATTTATTCCCGTATGTAGCAAAGAACTGTATAAGATAGAGGTTGATGGCGCTACTTGCGCTTTGGCGCACTCCGCATCTTTCGAAAATTGCAAGAAGATTCGAATTGTAAATTCGAATATCTGCTGCTCTTCGTTTTCAGCGTTAGCACTGTTCGGAAAATAGAAACAGAGGTTTCCAATCGTCTTCCAATTCATACCCATCATGTCATCTCATTGATTGTAAGATGTATAGAATAAATGTATTTATGAAAGGAACTAATTGAAGAAAGGTAATTTCATTACTCAGTATTAACAAATACCACGACTACTTAAGAACTTTTAATCGCTCATTACGCTCTCGTCAACACGACTTTTGTCGAGCGTTTGTGTGAAAAGGTATGAACTTATTTTGGTGCAAAGAGGGCTAAACATTTCATGTCCCCTCCACACACACCCCACTTACAACCACATACACCACACTCTTTAATTGCTATTTCGTGTCCAAGACTTTTCACTGCTTGTGTAGCAAAAAGTGGCACTGCCCCACATGCCATTTGCTATCCCTATGCTTTGAGGAACATCTGACTGCATTTTCGCTTAACAAGATTACAGGAATTATGTGAAAATCAAAGAGATACAGATGTGTACCATAACTTCAAAACTGCAATGAAACCAGATCCACCACTGTCGAAGAATTTCCATACAGAAGCCTTCAGAGCACGTGAAATTAGAAGAGAGTTCAGATTGTCATAGAAGAATGGAAGAAACGAAACAGTCTCTGGTGATATAAATAGTTTAACAAACTATATTCAGTATGATTTATTTACTCTGGAATTCATGACAAATTGAAGGAATCCAGAAAACTCAGTCTGAAATGCTTGGTGTTCCGGTAAAAGGTTGTAATCTTCTTCAAAAGAATACAAGATATGTCTTATCGAATATCCGTCATTTTGAATCAAAGACTTAGTTTATTAAGAAAATGGCTTAGTATTTGTAATGAAGATGAAACATCCTTACGAATCGTGTTACATACAGCTCCGTTAGCATTAAAATCGATTAATGATATTTTCGTCCAGTGTAAACAATACTCCTGGTTTTATTATTCTTATGTACATGTACTTTATGTAACATGTACTTTATGTACAATGTACTTATGTAACATGAACTTAGTACTGTACTTTATGTACATGTAACTTATGTAATGTACTTATAGTACATGTATACTTTAGGTACATGTGACTTAGGTACAGTACATTATGTACATGTACTTTATGTACAGAAGTTCCCTAAAATTAGAGATGCAAAAATTAAAGAAGAAATATTTGTGGGTCCACAAATGCAAGATGCAAGATGAATTAATTAAGAAACTATTGTATCCACTCGAGAAAGCAGCTTGGCAAGCTTTCAAAACTGGTGCGGTTTTTTGGAAATCAAAAAGCGGAAAATTACGAAAATGTTGTCAATTCTCTCATAGTACTTTTAAAAATTTGGTTTATAATATATTCTTAAAAGGACAGTTTCCGCACTCGCACCTCAATATCTTCCTAAAAAATGTGAGTGATGAACACGAGGGACACTTTCATCACGAAATTTTGCTATGGAAAATATGTATCAAGGTAAATGAAATCTTATTATGCTGCAGATTCTTGTTGGACAATTAAAAGGGATGTTTCACAGGCGAAATATAGCAGAAAATAACCATTTACTACTTTCTATGTCAGTCAGAATGTTTGAATAGTGTAAGTTAATAATGCAAAAAGTATTGAAATGTTTGAAATTATAAATGCCTATTCCTCAGAAACCTTGGGTGTTGGGGAAAAAGCGATATATTTGAATTCGGGAGAAAAAAAATACTATCAGCATCACATTTTGATCTTCCTGAGACAAAAAAGGTTAATTTTTGTTCCCTAATGTTATGCTAATAAAGAATTGAAAGTTTACTTCAAATGTAATCAAGGTAGGCTTGTGTGAAAGTATTCTTGCTTTTCTATATTATGTTCTGAAAATACTGTAACATTTCAATTAATTCAGGTTCGATACATTTCTGAAAGTAAGAGATGACTACTCTTCCTGACAATGGAAATAAATGCAGATAAGCACGAGAGGCAATTCGTTTGAATTAGACTTTTCGAGTTATAACTTGAGTTTTTAGTATGGCAAAAAATTACATTTTAATATTTTGTAACTATTTTCAATAACGCGAGAAAGTGTGGGCTGTTGTAGCACCTCCAGTTTGCAAAATTAAATTTTCAAAAATGATCCCACTGTACTTAACTTTATCTTGCTAGCCTTATCACTCCCTCTCAAAATCACTTCAAATGCTATTACCTTCTCTATCAGTTCTTCAGCTTTTATCATGGTTCATGTTGTACACACGTCTAAACATAATCATCAGGGTACGATCTAATTGATAAGCAAGGTTGTTTCTCCTTTTGGACTGAATAGCTTTCATTTGAAAATGTCAAAGAATATTTCAATTATTTTACGTTTAAAATGTGTTACAACAAAATATTTCAATTGAAGGCAGGGATCCAAATTTCGTTACCACAATGAACAGTTAATATTGTACGTACGCTTATTCGCAAACATTTAAATTTTACGAGCCAAGTTGCAAGAATATGTTGAACAAGTAAGCAGATAAACAAAGCTCAAGAAATATCGAGAACAGTCCAAGCATTTTATAGAACACATACCGCATGTCTTTTTTGACCTTCCACCCTTAAACAAGTGGTGCTAACAGCACATACTTTCATACCCAAAAGTACGTGAAAAATTCTCAAATTTTCGAAACCTTCTACACGACCTATCTTCAAAATCTATATTTTTAATATTTCAGTTGTAGGAAGACTCCGAAAAAAAATTGAACCCTTGCAATTTCCGAAAACTCCAGGTTTTTAACGAACATGAGACCTGCACCATTCTTTTCCAACTTTTCCACTATCCAACAACAAAATTTAATCAAAAACGATGGATCCTTTTTTTTTAATTTGGAAAATGTCCCAAGGGCGTTATGTAAAATACCCCCCAAAATTGAAATATTGGCTTCAAATTCGAAGGGCCGCGACATCGGTCAGATCAATTGGAAAATATCAATTTTGGAGAAAATCTGTTAAACGGTTTAACCGCTAACGTTGTTTAACTGCTACCGTTTTTCAGTATCACGGCCCTACAATTCGTGGATTCTGGCTACACCACGTTCTATGATTTCCCCCCTAAATTTAGCAACTGGTTTTATCTACTTTTTCGTTACCAGGACCCTGTAATAAGAGTTTTCTGCCGAAAATTCGCCGTTTTGCGCGCAGGATTACATAACGTTCACTCTAGTAGCGAGAAAGTACAAAAGTCCATACATAATTAACACAATATTGTCGTCATGTTATTATCATTATGATCGTAAGTCGTATTTGCGAGAAGTGTCTTTCCACCTATCTCAAGCTAATGCTTCCCGCTTGCACATTCTCATAATTGATCTTTGGCTCGGTAGGTGAGATTCGGCGGAGATAGGTTTCGCCACACTTTTCTGTCCTTGGTATCATGCCATCTTTCGTGGGCAATCTAAAGCGAAGTCCAGATTTCAGTCCTATACTGTCGATCTTTTAAAGATGGATGCCTATACTGTCTGTGGATACTTTTAATAATGTGATTTTGAGCGTCTGTGAACGTCTGAATGTGATTTTGAGCGTGCGCGGAAGAAATGCTCAGATGATATCTCCTTCATTTATTCATTCTGAGTTGGTGACAAGAGAAGATTACGTCACTGGGGAAGCTGTCGCTTTTGCTAATTACTAGGAAACCAATGCCGGCGTCATCACATGACTCCCAAACGCGATGACGCACACAGAAGTTTGGTTCAACGTAAAAGTTCAGTTTCGTAGGACTCGAAGTGTCAAAAAAGCGCTGAGTCCCACGCAAGAGTCGAGGGCATGCATCACAGGGATGGCGGGTTGCCAACACGCCTCCCCTACGCCCTGTGACGTCACGAGCGACAACGGAAGCTGCCCACATGAACCCATGAGGCCCGAGTCTACAGGCAGCGCCGGATTAATTCCTGTCCCTACACGCATGACGGAGCAATGGAGTATATAACAATTCTGAACATAGGCCGAAGCATTTAAGATATAAACATATTAGTATAATATTATGCAATCGAAACTTAAGAGAAAAAAACAAGATTTTTGCATAGGATAAATAATTACAAAGATCTCTCTTGAAGCCAAAAGAAACTTTACTTGAGTCGTCCAAGAGTACAATATCAGACGATTTAATTTCCGAGTTTCGCTCCGACTTCGTAGCCTATCGTTCGCAGCACTTCGCTATGTCAGCTTCGCTTCTCTTGCTAATTAATCATTATGCTCGTAAGAACGCAATCGTCTGCTTCGAAGACACTTTCGGATCGCCCGTCAGTTAACTATACAAGTCTTTCAAGCGAGTATTCCGAGCACGCAAACTACTTTGGTCATTAGTCCAGCGGGATTAATGCATGTTA